GCCGTTACCTGGCAACGCCATTCGACACATGCTGTCAAACTCCGCCAAATAAATGTAAAAGGTTGGAATATATGTAGAAATGAAGAAATAAAAATGGTCGCTGTACGAAAGGGTCCCGCTGCAGGTAGAGATCAGCTGAGCTCTCTGTCTTGCTTCCAGGATAAAATTGCCCAACGAGCAAACAAAAGAGTGTCGTAGGTAACTTACAGTTGTAAACAGTTGTAGAACATGCAGCAAACAGCGTTGATCACAGGTAGCGATTGCGATGTAATGCTAAACATGACGGGGCAACTATCTTCTACCTCGTCGGGTATCAGACAGCTGCTATGCCGACGCCTATCGCGACAGTCGGTCCAGGCAACATGGTGCATATCCGAGTAAGCCAAGGTGGCGACTATGTGAGATCGAACTAGAGCTCACATGCTTTCACTTAAAACTTAGCTGTGAGCCAGCCAAATTGAAGGTCTGAACTAGGAAAAAGAAAGGGCATTAAAATCCCGACATCCCGTGTCTCCGTGTCTCCGTGTCTCGGTCGCTTCGCCATCGTTGCAGTGCTATACCGCATACTGCTTCTTTCAAACCCAGCGTCCCGGCTTATCCCTCTCAACCCCTGTCCCAAGCCAGCCATCCAGCCAGATCTTTCTTGGTGCCAAGCGTGGGAAGCCGTGCTACAAGCGAGCAGAGTGTTGGAAAGAGAAGCGCCTCCTTTTCTCTCACGCGCAACCGCTCACCTGCTCGTTCCTGATGTCTACCGAGCTTGACACGATACCATCGCTGTCTCCTGTCGTTTGATGCTTTTACCGAACCTCACGCCGACATACGTGCATGTGGCGATATACCATGCAGCTGTCTAGCATGCAATAACTCTCGAGAAGCGCACAGTGTCAACTTTCGCAGTGGTTGCAAGCAAGCCGCCTCAACGTTGCGTAAAAGCGCCCCAGATCCATGCACCGACTTCCGAGATCTTTCAGACTTGAAAGTTGCCCGTCCTGTTGTGGGGCTGCTCGGAGGTCTGCGTACGTAATGTGCAACGGGTAACGGGCCCTGGTGTCGGTGTCAATGTGAGGCAAGGATCGAACACACAACGGGAACACTAAACTCCAGGCTCTCACATCCTTGTGGCTTTCACCCATACACCTTGAGCTTCTCACCAGCAATGAAATGCTCATATGGCTTCCCAGCGGTCCTTCATCCTCACTGCTTCCGACCTACTACACTGCACCCGATGCATGTGTACCGCAGCGTCTGCTAGCCGCGGATCAACTGTACAGACTCACACACTTGTACGCCACAGATCAGCCTTCAAACTTTGTTCTTGGCATTGCAATGCAGTGTTGTGCCACTTGTCTGCAGCGAAGGTGGGTGGGTGTGGGAGCGAGGGGTTCGAGACTATGTCTTCTGCCCGACGGATTCTTTACACGGTTCCGGCACAGGTACACTAGGATCAATGGGTGGCAAAACCACCCTTCCAACCTTGTAGTACTTGTCGTGGTTTGCGTAAAAGTCACGCCATGAAACCAGATCCTATTGTGAGGCTCGAAGAGAGAGTATTCAAGGTCAGTTAGTCCGCTTCAGAGCTTGTCTCGGGGACAAGCGGAAAGCTGGGCAAAAGACTTACGTTCATCTGCTTGTCACCAAAGTCTCGCACGTCGTAGGTAAGGTGGGTCTTGAAGCATCCTGTCACATAGGCTCGGCTGGCATCCTTGCCACTGAAGAAAGAATAGTATCCACCGGGACCGTAGATGTGTCGTCCAGCTGAAACGTCGTAGACATCGCCGAGGATGGCAATCTACAAGTAAGGCAAAGGTGAGAAGAGCAGGTAATCATCGGTCAGCATGCTTTGCTCCCATTTCCCTTCCTTGCTCTGTCTTATTTTCTGTACCGTCGCAGACACTTACATAGACAGGCTTCTTAGGGTCGCGACCATTGTACATGGCGAGTTCTGGTAGCGAAAAGATCTTCTCTCGATACTGTAAAGCGATCAAATGAATTGTTCGCGTCAGTTCTACGCACACAAGATCTCTCTAGCTTTGGGACTGAAGGGCTCTACTTACAGGCATATACGTCCTCAACCTCGTATACTTGCCTCGGTAACCCCACAGCGGATCACCAGCAATGAAGAAACCCGCCACCATCACCGCTGCGGTTGCCATGATCAAGAATCTAAACAGCTTCATGATGATCCTTACCGGACCGTTCAAATCGGTCGTCGGCTCTTCTAGGCTTCGGCTCCTACCTTTGCTCTTCCCGCTTCCACCGTTAGAGCCTTGTTCTTCCGCCTTCCTTCTTCTCAGCTCCTGCTCTTGTTTCCACTTCTGATGCACCAGGAAAGGCGAATTGGCTTTCTTCTTAGGAACGGATCGTGCAGGATTCGATGGATCGATGTCTCGCTCACCTGCGTCTGATGCTGTGGTCACTGCTGAAGAGTTTGTCGCTGCCTCGGTGGCTGCTTCGCGCGTTGGAGTGACGGTGCCAGATCCGGCGGGTGTCTCGCCGCGTGGACGCTCGGATGGGCCAGGGATCTTCTTCCACTCATCGTTGGGGACGTAAGGGTCCGAAGTGAAGGTGCTAAAGAAGTCGCGGAAGAAGTTGCGCCAAGGAGCCCTGTCAACGCACGATAGAAAGAGGAGAACAGAGTCAGGGAAAAGACAGCTGAGTCAGTGTCTAAGACCTGCTAAAACAACGAAGGTCAGCGTCACCCGGATGTTAGGCACCATGAGAACATACTGAGAAGGCAACGAGTGTCCACCGTCGTGAAGCTCCACCCTCGAGTTCTTGCAAACGTCTACGAGCGTCTGCGAGCGCTCCAACTCGACGATCTGATCAGCCCTTCCAAGTACGTGCAGGACAGGGGTCTCGATCGGCGTCTCGAAGAGCTTCTGGTGCAATTGATCTCTGCTCCTGAAACCCGAGACCGCCACGGCAAACTTGAAAGCACCTTGCTCTTTTGGCAGCTTCAAACCAGGCATTCGCTCTGGCTTTTCGAAGGCACTCGCCAGAATACCTGCAAGACAGCCTCCTTGCGAGAACCCTACAATGCCATCGAAAGGTCCTTCCGTCTTCAGAACCTCGTTGATGTAGTCGACCGACTTGTCCCAATCCAGGTAGTTTCCATCGTCATCAGCCCTCCACCATGCTCTTGGCTGCTCCTCGATTGGCGTGTTTTCGTCGATGACTTTGCCTTCTTCGGCGTCGGGGGTATCGAGGTCACCAGCCCATGTGATAGGCTGTACAATTAGCGGACCGTTGATAAAGATGAAGTCGGCCACGTCACGGCATGCTTTGCGGATAGCACCAGATCTTTTATGAAATTGGAACTTGTTGCTGGTATAGCCGTGTGCCATGAGCACCTTGAGCTTGCGGGTTGTACCTGCTGCTGCCGACATCTTGAACGTTTGAGACTGCGAACAGATGGTAGTGTGGTGAGCAGATGGTCCAGGTGGAGAATTTGTGGTCCAAGCTCACACGTCACTTCTGGATTCCAGTCGTCGCGCTAACCCTAAATATCCGCTTTCCAGATAGCCGCGACACAGAAAGTTGTTCTTCCGGCCGAAAATCCTCAGCCACTCAACGCTTTACAAGCTTACAGAGGATCACAAGATTCAATCACAGGCTCACAGCTGCGTAGAGTGAGATGGTGACAAGACGATGAATGACATTCGAGCTAACGACAATGAAACCTAATGAAAAAGTACTCTTGAGCCCTAAGGAGGAAGCAAAGAAGAAGAAGAAAGAGAAGAAGAAAGAGAAGTAGAAAGAGAAGAAGAAAGAGAAGAAGAAAGAGAAGTAGAAAGAGAAGAGGAAAGAGAAGGAGGGATCGATAATGCGAAGAGAGAAGTGATGCGACTTGACCAGAGACACAGCAGCAGATTTGTCAAAGGGCCACTTGATGTGCATCAGCACTGGTAATGGAAGTCAGTCGGGAAGATCACTCCATCGTGTCGAACGATCAGGATCGGGACTCGACCTCTTGGCAAGCCAGAATCAAACGCTGGAGGAGCCGAGCAGACAATGGTCTGCCTCGATCTCACTTCAACATGCGTGCTCTTCCAATCGCCGAAGAAGACGAAGAGGTTCGGATGGAAGTTTCCGCCCAAGATGGTCACGAGTCCCGGGCTCTGGTCGTTCGATGGAGCCGGCATAGGCGATCGGCCATCGTGACCCGGCGCCACCACGTTCGAGATGACCGGGATCGGTGTGATCGGCTGACTTGGAGCAGGCACTGTGATAAGATGCGCAATGTTGCCATCCGTGATGTTGGTCTGCGGTGCCGAACCGCCGACAATCTGCGGTGGCACATAGAATGAATGGCGTGCAATGTCCGTGCCGACGACCGTCCAGATATCTGAGTCGGCGACCTCGACGGACCACATGGCACCCGGCGCTGCACTGCCTGTAGCAGAAGAGTCGGACGCCAGAGAGCCGGTATAGGATCCCGTTCGACGGATGATCTCGACCTCTGAGAGACCCTGGTTCTGCATGCCGACCACCGATAGCGACTGTCCACGCCTGCGATTCTTGCTAGCCGCAGCCGCAGCGGCACGTTCCTTCTGCACCACCACCGAAGAGGAAACCCGACGAGGTCGCTTCACTTTGCCTCCATCCGAAGAGGGCGGCGGCTCCATCGCAGAGACGTCGTGCGAAGAGGATGAAGCTGACGGTGACATCATGGATCCATCTCGAGCCGCGTTCAGCGAGTAGCGCGTCTGTTCTGCTGCATATTCAGCTGCGGCAGTAGGACTTGTCGGCAGGAATCCACTGGATGGGATGTCGCCAGACTCCATGGCAGCAAAGTTCATCGAATTGACCGGCGTTGTTGGAGTTGAGGGTACACTAAAAGCGCTGTTGCTCACCCATTTCCTCGGCTCGCTCGGACGATGCATGCCTACGGATTCGTTGAGACACGCCAGGAATGGTCCACTGTGACCAGGTGACATGGGATCTGCCAAATCTCCTGGAGGTCGCGGCACCGATGCGGATGGATCCTCAAGCACTTCGAGCGCAATTTTGTGCAGCTGCGAAACGGGATCGCCGAATGCTTCGCGGGCGAGCGAATCGGTAGGGCCGGCTGAAGCGCCACCAAGCACAGTGGTGCCTCTTTCCACCTTGCGTACTACCATGACTGGGCTGACTACAGCGGTGTTGAGACACTGAAGCACGACAGGCTGGTTGTAGTGAATCGTCATCTGCGAGCTGGTCAGGCCTGTTGTCGGCAGGGCATTCGGCGGCGGAGGCGGGTAGCCCTTCACTGGCGGCTGTAATGGCTCTGAAGGTGTCGCATCAGCACGCTTCTTCGGATCGACCAAATAGATGATGAAGGGATCCCAGCTCGACATCTTCGCAACGAAGCAACTCGGTGGCTCTTGACCCTTCTGATCACGTGGGTTCATGTTGAGGAAGGGCTGGTTGTCTGATCCCTTGAACCAGGACGGTGCGCCCGAGACGCAAAGATAACGCGTCGAGACGGTCTGCGATCGGAGACGGTGGAAGAGAGAGATAACCGAACCGTGATTGACGCAGAGCTCCGTGTTGCGTGATGACTGACGCTTCTTACTTGGCTTGCTGATCACCTTGATGGGTCGACTTGGGAACGTGCCGAGTAGACGACGATCCATGGGCGAGGATCCAGGAACGGAGATGGAGACGAGCGCCTCTACGTGGCGCCTCTTTTCGTCAACGTCCGAGATGTAAAGCTGTTTGCCAATGCATCGACCGGAGATGGCCATCTCTGACGAAGGGTTGCCAACATCGATGAGACGTCCGCTGCTGGAGGCCCACTCGAGCGCGCCATCCTGGATGCCTGGCTCACCGCTGATGTTGATGGTGACACGAGGCGGTGACAGCGCCGTCGGCGTCTGATCCGGGTCAGTTGGGCCGACAGGAGAGAAGGGCGACAATCGCGTTGAAGCCGGACAAACATTCCACCAACTGCTCCCAATCAGAATGACGAGGGGCGGTGGGCACAAGAAGCGCTTCTCGGCACCGTAACTTTTCTGCGCCACTTTTGTCGTCATGATAAGCACGTTTCTCTCGCCGAGACCTAGTCGACTCGGTGTGGAGATGTATTGGCGGATGTAGTCATCGATGAAAGCGGAACAGTCGCCAAAATTGCGCTCGCTGACGCCAAGGCCGTGGATCTGGCGCCACTGGTTCATCTCGGCCATCGAGAGCTGCTGATACAGACTGGGCCGCATGCTGGGCGGGTTTGCCATTTGGCTGCGGAATGTTGGTGGTGCATCCATGGGCATGGCCGGTACCTCGGAGCGTGATCGCTGGCAAACGGGAGGTCCTTGGCTCGACATGAACGGTGGTTGCTGCTGCTGTTGTTGTTGTTGGTGCTGAAGCTGGTGAGGATGTTGTTGGTGTTGTGGATGCTGATGCGGATGCTGGTGGAAATGCTGGTGTTGCGGGTGTGGATGCTGATGCTGATGCTGATGCTGATGCTGATGCTGATGCTGATGCTGATGCGGGTGCGGATGGAAGCTGCCATCCAATCGAAGATCATTTTGCATGGATCTCGACATCATTGCACGTGCATCGCTGTGCGAAGTGTCCTCCTCCTCCTCGACGATGGTAGGTGTGCTGTGACCCTCGTGTGGATGAGCACCTGTAGAAGGTGCCGAGCTGATGGAGGCACTGTTTGCTAATACAGACGACAATCGCTGTTCGCTGAAGCCAGCAATCTCGAAGTCTGAAGCGAGACTGTTGGAAGAGTTGAATTGATGCGATGTTTCGATCGACGGCGAAAAGAAAGGCACCATCCCAGGTGTATGCGAGCCGAAATGCGTTTGTGGCGAGTACTGCGACTGTGCTGGCGATGTGAGTGTGGGGCTAAATTGCGGCATCTGAGGGGTCTGGAAACCTGGACCGGAGAAAGGCCCACGAAAGCCATGCGACTGCGTCATTTGGGGATGGGCAGGACTCCATGGCTCCATGCCAAGATGGCCAGAATTTCGTGGACTCGATAGATGTGGTGGTACGTCTGGGCTCTGCATCTGACCAAGATTCTGCACGCTACGGCTCTGCGCCAATCCAGGATGATGCGGATCAGCCTGATGCGATGCGAGATCGCTCTGCATGCTAGTAGTTCTGGTTAAAGCCGAGATGGGACGGACCGCAGCACCGCTGCCGGAACTGGAACGCGGACGACCTGCAAGCATCTCGCTCCTGGACGCAGTTTCAGTGCCGACCGATGAAGCGAAGTTTGCGACCGACTTGAGTCCACGACTTGCAGGCCGACTGCCCGGTCGAGACGAGAAGGCGCCAGAAAGCGTTGAGCTAGGACTGTGTTGACCACCACCGCCACCGAGCTGCGACATCATGGGCGAGCCTGGGGAAGCAGGGACGCCGAGATGGCCAGATGAAGGCCCCAATCTGTCTGGGATGCCTGGCACTCCAACAAGAGACTCGCCCTGGTGAAACTGTGGACTGTCGGAAGCATGCTCTGCGTTCCGTTGACTGAGCGCAGGAGTTTCTGAGCCAGCAGCGTGATTGGGAAAGCTGGCTTCCGAGCCGAAAGCAGGCATGAGTCCGGAGCTCTGTGGCATAGCTGCGTCCTCTTTCGATGTGTGGTTGGCAGAATCGGTCCGTCGCTGCATTTGAGCTGCTTGCCCGTCGAATATGGAAGGCTGAAGCTGCGGCAAGGGCGCGAAGCGGGTCTGTAGCGGCGTTTCAGCGGTGCCTGGCCCTGCTGACTCGGGACCGGCTCCCGGCATGTCGTTCTGACCAGGATTTGCGTATCCGTCGCCTGAGACGACCGAAGCCATATTAACCTTGAGTGCAGCTGGTCGAGCTGCGCGTTGAAGGCCTGGGGTGAAGCCACCAAGCGATGCGCCATCCTGCTGAGACCAGCTCTGCTCGGAACCTGTCTGAGACCGTGATGAATACTGGTCGTTCTGGCTCGGCATGCAGTCGTCGGTCTGCGAATCTCTGGCGTCGGAAAAGCCCCGGCTGAGGCTCTGCGCATGTTGACCGAAGCTGAGGTTGGAGTTGTGCATGGACATGGAGGAGCCATCGAGGAAGAGAGGAGGATGCGATGCCGAAGATGCATGCTGATTGTCGAAAGGATGACCATCGTCGACGTGATTGGGAGTTGAGGCAACCTGATGCGTCTGCTGCTGCTGTTGGTGATGCTGCAAAGAGTAGTTGTCGGATGCTGATGCTGATGGTGGTGCTCCATTGGAGCTTGCTGTTGAAGAACCATCGTAGAGGTACCTTTGGTCGGATGATGGTTGGAAAACCATATTGGAGGCGGCATCATAGCCGTTGTGCTGTGACAGGTGCATGTTGGGATGGACATCGTCGTGGAGGTTTGGCGGATTTTGAGCAGCTGCCCCTTGGTTCCAAGTTGGCTGAAACATAGTTGTTGCACTGACGGAGGCGAATCTAGCCATGAGCGAGACGCCTCGCGGGCAAAGTGCGGGGAAATTTCCTCTCTCGGTGTCGGAGTTATGGATGCCTGTAGGTGGATTCCGTTGGCGTGCGTGGATGCTGCCTTCTCTAGACGTGTATGGTAGAGGTAAGGACGGAAGTCAAGAGACGCAACGTCGGTCTACCTTTGTCCTTGATCCGAAGGGCGAATGTTGTACCCAGAGAAAAGAGAGGCGATGGCATGGACTGCCTGTTTGTCAGGGAGGGGCGAAAGAGATGAGGAGGTGGAGCGCACCATCTACTCGCACCTTCTTGGGCGGTGGCGCGCGCGGAGTATGGGAGTGAAGCGAGTGCGATTGGCGGTATTACGCAGACGTTGGTAGTGTTGAATGTGGAATGTTTGACAACGGCAAAGCGTTGGTGATGAAAGGGACTTTGCGTGGGGACTGATGTAGCCGAAATGAAGCAAGCTGCAGCGGCAGGGAATAATAGGACAACCGCCTTGGCTTGTTGGAGCGTGCGAAGAATGAAGAGCGATGCAAGCTGGAAGTCGGAAGCGAGATCTGACCAGAGGGTGAAGCTTCAGTACAGCATGCACCGTTGTAGGGTCGAGAAAGAGAGAGAGAGAGAGAGAGAGAGAGAGAGAGAGAGCTGTGCAGCGGCTACGTGAGATTGAACCGGGATGGTCGGTTGAATCGGGTCCAACAAAAGACGAGGCTCGGCGTGCCCGAGCGGTGTTGTAGATGGCTTGAAGAGTGATTATGAAGCGACAGCCTTGAGCGAGCGAGATGAAGTAAGTAAGTCGGTCGGTCGGTCGGTCGGTCGGTTTGCCAAGGGTATCAAGCGCCGCCGAAAAGCCGGCGAGAAAAGGTTGAGGCGTCCGAGAGCAACAAACCCATGTATCCGACGGTGGGGAGGAAAGAGGAGAGCCGACTCCACGGCGATGTACAGTGTCGAAGATGGATCAAGACGACGAATGTGGTGGTCTCGTCGAGAGAGGGGCAAGTCTAGAGGATGGCGATGAAGAGGCAAGCAAAGACAAGAATCAAACAAGTCAGAGAGCGTGTCCTGTCAAAAGCGTGATAAGTTAAGAGAGCGAGGTGGACCGTGAGTCGACTCATTTGAATTCTGAACATGGCTTGCCCGCACATGCGCTTAGACTGGCCCTGAGCCTGAAACCCCCGTCCAAAAAAAGAAAATTAAAAAAAATTAAAAAATAATAATAATAAAAAATGAGAGAGGCCGAACTGCCAAAACTGCCATTTTGAGACAAGGTGTAGTTTCTAGAATTCCATTTAATTATTTATTTATTTATTTATCTAATTATTTATTTCTTCTTCTGATTGAGCTTTTTTGCTCTTTCCGAACAGGTCGGATGACGAAAGACGAAAGTGATGGTTAGTGCTTGAGTTGATCAATGTCACCAGTCAGCTTAGAGGTCACTCCAAGCTCGATAGAGTACTTGCTAACTTGAGCAGTGAGCAGAGAAAGGGGGGACATCTGTCAAAACCACGCTAACCAATCACACACACAGACATAGGGTGCGGCACGGAAGATCCGAACTGTCAAAGTGCCCCGATATTAGTGCAGTGCTGTTTGAATGGCCGCTCACAGTGGCTAATCGACCTGACAAGAGAGCTCGCCTAAATGCCAAAAACTCGATCTCGACACCGGCGAAAGCACCTCAACAAGGTCAGCGCAAGTAGCCATGGCCTGTAGGTTGAAAATCACACCTTTTTTTCTTTTTTTTTTTTTTTTTTTTTTTTTTTTTTTTTTTTTTTTTTTTTTCTTCAGGTTTCGGCTGCCGATTGAAAGGAGCACGAGAGAGAGAGAGAGAGAGACCTGGCGCTGCTGCATTCAACGTCGAGTGGGCATCGAAGAGATGGCAGGAAACAATGGACAATTTTGCACCCTTCATCAAGACTCACTTACCCTTCTACCATGTCGCTTTCTGTTGGGCAATGCGTGGCCTCTGTCGTCGGCAACTCGGAAACGCCGTCTCTGCCTGACAGTCGCTGGTTTAGGTTGGATCGATTCCTTAGGCCGTCTCCCTGATTGGGCTCAATGACTGGTTGGTTGCTCTGGTCTTACCCTCTCCTTGTCTTGTCTGCTTCCTCCGCAGCAAGCTGTCAATCAGCGGATAGATTTGCGACGCCTCACATGGCCTTTTCCCTGTTGATCTACAAATGAGCTTTTTGACAAGCAAGTGGCAGACGGCTTGCCACCGCTGCATCTGTCCGCCTGTCCATGTCTTTCCGCGTCACATGAAAAGCATGATGCTTCTTTTTGCAGTGTCAGCTCACATGAACAGTTGCGAGTCTCAAGCATTTAGAAGTTGTCATATCCCCGAAAACAAAGCGACCATGTGCACTTCAAGCTGTCGATGATACGCACTGTGCCCGAATAAATTGCAGCATTTTTCGTCCTTAATTTCCACAACCATTTCTCATTTCTCATTTCGCATTTTGCATTTCGCATTATTGTAATCTTGTTTGGGCCTCCCGATCATTTGACCGTCGAGAAAGTCTTGAAAACCTGTCTGGACGATTAGCAGATCAACGACTGTCGTCCGACGAAAGGATTATCTCAACAGGCTGACCTTGAAACCTACTGTTCTGTGCTGGGAGGGCTGTCTTCAGCTATGTTGGTCAAATAGCATCCCACGATCTGATGACGAAATGTAGAGCAGACACTCTGCTTCTCAACCCTCCAACCGTCGTTTTCGAGGCAGAAGGTCAACCAGAGGTGACTGAAAGGGAAGACCAAAGTTAGAGCAACGATCATTTGCTATCGACTCGGTGATGTGATCCGATCAGGACAGGTCATGTTTTGTTAGATCGCATTTTGGTTTGCCTGAAACTCTAGAACGCGGGGAAAGTTTAGCTCTACAGTCAGTGCAACTGATAGTATAACATGCTGTACCTGAACATGATTACAGTGCACCCTTTCCACGGTCCCTGCATCCACACCCAATAAGCAAGCAAAGAGGATAAGGCGAAATGTCGAAAACGGCAGGGAGCAAGGTCAACGGCACTTTCTGTTCCGCTTTCGATACCAACTGAACAAGCACAATTTGCCGCTTTCTTTGCTCTGCCAGCTCGCCTATTCCGAAACCAGCGTTCGACCCTTATCATTGAGCCCTTTAGAAAATATCCGCCGCCGTACGCCCAAAGCTAAAGCCGAAAAATGGCCCGAACTTTCTCTCTCTTTTTTTTTTTTTTTTTTTTTTTTTTTTTTTCCTTTTTTTTCCCCTCTTTTTCTTCTTCTTCTTCTTGTTGTTGTTGTTGTTGTTGTGGTTGAATTGCCCGCTACTGATTCGCTCGTTCGATCAACCCCGGCGAGCGAAACGGGCGTCTTCAAGAAAGGTTTCTTATTTATTTTCCGCTTTTCCCCCTTTGTTCCTCTCTCCTCACTGTTCCTCAGTGCCTCGTGGCGCGTGCTCTCTGACTCTTTTTCTTGCCTTTTTACCCCACGCCATGCCACGCCACATATGCCGCCACGCCCATTCGCTCTCACCTCGCCTGGCCTCGCTTCCTCTTCCCTCTTCCCTCTTCCCTCTCTCCGCAATCTTTCTTGTCTTGAGATGAGAGACAGATGCAGTGAAATGGAGGGAGGATGCAACAAACGGACCAACCAAAGGATCAGGAAGGGTGTTTGCGATATGCGGCTGATACTGCGCTACTGCTTTCGATTGCTGCCCCGCTTGGTCCGACCCGCAACTTTGCTCGCCGCTCTTCAACTCTCCATTATTTGCAGCGCATCAACTCACTCGACAACACTCTCTGTTACTCTCTCTTCGCACCGTCTCGCTACAACCCTGAGTTTAAATATTCCTTCGCTTCGTGCTCGATACTCGTCCAGTGCCTTGCCGACCTCACCGGTCTAAGGGTTCGCTTTTTGCTCCGCTTCCTCCTCTTTCCAGCACCTGCTCATGGTCCGCTGATCCCTTTCCCTCCCTCTTGTTTCTCAGCTTTTTCCTCGAGTAAATCTCCCGAGTTGACGTGCGCTTTTTCCATTGACAACCACCGCCGCTCTCGTCTCTGCTGCCTTTCGACATCTGCACTAAGAGTCAAATCAGTAGCAGCAGCAGCAGCAGCATCAGCATCAGCACGTCCCTGCCTCTCGTGTCTCTTGTGGCTGCTCAGGAACCAGATCTCCGCCCAGTTTGTGCCTCTCTAGCTCTCTCTCTCTCTCTCTCCGCCCCCGCTTCCGCCTTTACAATCTGCGTTGCTCTCTTCCTTTCCCCTTCAACCATTGGTCGGATCTCTCCTCATTCCCTGCTGCTCCTCTTCCCCACTTCCCCACTTCCCCTCTTCCCCTCTTCCTCTTCCTCGTCCTTTCCCTTCTCCATCACACTTTGGATTTCATTCGCCCAATCAGCTTGCTTCTCCCCCCCCAATCATCAGCACCATCCACTCCATGGAATGATCGCCATCGCTACCATTATCACACACCGCACTTAGTCCTCGTCCAACCTTTTCGCACTCAAACACCAGGTAACGTACAAGGCAGCACTGTCGTCCACTCAATCCTATTTGCAATCACCTGACCCAGCGCATCTATCGTCATAACCACCAAACGCGATACAAGCACGCGAACGCTTTGACGGCAGGCTCCAGTTCCAGTGTGCCTGTGCGAACTTCGGCAATCTCATCTCTATCCCACCTTAACATCGAGATCTCCCCTCTTTGCTAGCCATCTGCCCTCCGTAACGACACTTTGACTGGCGCATAGATCGGCATCACTGCGCTCCTTGTCTCTTCATGATTGAATCAGACACTCGGGGTGCTCCAACTCAGGAGGCCAAGCTGCCCTCCATGAGTCCCTCTTTATCCAGACAATCGAATGGCCACGCCCCTCTGTCCAACCAGAGACATCAACAGCGCTCTCCACCAATGCTCCCATCCTCTTCTTCGGCAACAGCTTCGTCCGTTCTGCCGCCTCCGCCGCGACTGCATTTGTATCGCCACCCCATCTCAGCATCTTACGCATCCAGCAGCAGTTCTTACTACGACCCAAGTCGACAGCCTCCACCGCCTCTCTGGAAGGAACGTCGCTCGCCTCCCCTCGAACACCGATCATCGGATGGCTCCAGCTCCTCCTTCTCGTCACGCGTTCTTCCTCCTCTCTCTACCTCAAGTTCTAGCAACGGCAGCAGTGCGAGTGCTTTCCAGCTTCCATACTTGTCTGCAAGCCTCCCTTCATCCACCTCTTGGCATGGTCGCGAGAGCTCGCACGCCTCTGGCCTGAATGGAACGCATACATCCGCCTTTCGAGCTTCCAGAGAGGCACTTGCAGTTGAAGAACGCAGGACCGCACAGGACTCAAAGCTTGCCTCGCTCTCGTCCGGCCAATTTGCCGACTATCACGCCTCTCGACAATCTCCAGCCGAGCCCTCCTCGGCTACCATCGTCTCTCCTTCCGCCGATGACCCATCACAAGCTGGCCGCAAGCCTGCCAAGGCGCATGTTCCATCAGCCTGTCTCAACTGCAAGCGTGCGCATCTAGCTTGTGATGTTGGCAGGCCCTGCCGTCGCTGTGTAAACCTCGGCAAAAGCGATACATGCATCGATGTCCAACACAAGAAGCGCGGCCGTCCTCGCTTGAAGGCTCGCCCTTCTTCCCAGGCTGGAATCGCTACATTGCAGTCACTCGAGGGCAAGAGAGATGTCTCTGGCTCCCCTGCTTCCGCTTCTTACGCCCGCCAGTCTCCCGGTTCCGAACAAGGCTACTTCCGATCGCCTACCCGAAACAATGAGCTGCTCTCGCCTCCCGTGCTCTCTTCAAGCGCTGTGATGCAAGTCGCTGGACGTACTCACGGTCCTGGCGCTCATCCTCGCAGTGCCTCCAACTCGGTCTCGGCTTCGAGCTATCCCTATTCGCGTCCCGACCACATTCGTCATCCCAGCGATGCAAGCAGCTACGGCGGCGCTTACCCAACTCCATCCTGGTCATATCACCATCAGCAACAGCAGCAGAACGGGTCGCATGGGCAGTCGGCACATCATATGGGGCAGCCTCAGCATTCACATTCGCTCTCGTACGAGCAATCATATCAGCAGCACCAGCATGCATCGCAGCAACATAGCCAGGCTCACCTCTCGTCCCAGCCTCTTGCTAGCACGCATTTGGCAGGCTCAGCAGGTGACGCTGTCGATAGCGTCGTGTCGGCCGTGGTCACCATGATCTGCTCGACCAACTTGCAATGTGCTCGAGTCTCTGACGAATGCTCTGCACTGCTTGGCTATCAGCCCAGCGAGCTCAACGAGCGATCCTTGTTCGAGCTGGTGCATCCTTCCGAGACGAGCCGGCTCCAAGACATTTGGACTTCGTTGATCGACCCTGTCGGTGTCGTCCCGCAGACAGTACCTGCAGCTGCCGAAATAGTGATGAGCACACCTTCAGCTCGACTCATGACGCCCGCAGCAGGTACCATCTTTGTTCAGGAGAACATGCGTCTCAGACAGAGGAATGGGATGTACGATTTCTACAGCGTGCGACTCCACCTTGGCGGTGGCTTTGGAATCGATCTGTACCGACGAGAGACGCTCGACCGTGCTTACATCGTCGCTAGTCTGCTCAAGCTAGGCAATGATGCCGTGCACCCGGATCCTTCCATCCTTCGTTCGCCATACTCGCACGACTCGTCGCAGTCTCGAGGCTTCCGTACGCCTTCCGCTCCGCAATCAGCAGCAGCAGCTCCTACAGCTCCTGCTCCCAACCGCAACGGTCATAGAGAAGATGCCGATACGCGAGCTTCCCACCAACACGAGCAAGAATACAGACCACGATCGGAGTCGGTCAACCAACGCTCTGCTCAGTTCGAGAGCCAAGCCCGTCGAGGCAATGAGGCCATGCACTCCAGCAAAGAAGATGCGGACCACTCACCACAACAAGAAAGGTCACGAGGCGTCAAACGTAGTAGCGCCAAGATGGATCGAGACGAGTCAAACGCGACTTCTTCGCGTTCAGCGCCGTCGCCTCAGATGGCCCCTCCATTAACAAGCGCTGCTACAGTTTCAAACACTTCATTGTACAGCGCATCCAAGCATGCCGCCTACTCACCATCTCCTGTTGTTCACTCTTTGCTGTCCAAGCGCACGCGAGACACCAGTCGAGATGGTATTCTCTGCTGATGCTTCGCTCTCTCCCTCTGGCCAACCCACACATCACGAAAATCATGGTCATTTTTTTTTTTTTTTTTTTTTTTTTTTTTTGGTGTCTTCATCAGTCAAGGTGATTGCAGTGTACTTGTAATCTGTCCCTTATTTCACGGTAGTTGTTGTAATCAAACACGTTTGGATCATCCTACAAAGGCGTTTATGAGCAGCGTGATGAGCAGCGTGCAAGGCAGAGGAGACTGGAAGAAAACAATGTTAGAAAAAAGCGAAGGTCGAGAAAAAGCCAAATGACAAAAACAAAAAAAAAAAAAAAAAAAAAAAAAAAAAAAAAAAAAAAAAAAAAAAAAAAGAGACAGATGCTTCTCTTTTGAACCTCCACTCCCTGTCCTTCATCCATCATCTACCATTTATCCCCCCTTCCTCGACCGTACGGCGTCGACCCATCCCGAGGGCTGCCGGCAGAACCGATGCGACAGGAGTTCGAACCTTAAGAAGCAAGGCACAGCAAGCAAGAGCTGGCCTTCTTTACCTTCATTACGGCCGCGAACCTCTCGACTTCTCTAGTGGTCGCTTCGATGATCATCCTTGTCTAGCCCCTCTGCGTCGTTATTGCTATATGTGGTGCCTCCTTTGACTGTCGTTATACAGTAACTTATACCTTCGGTTTCGTCCCTATCTCCAACGACGATGTCTCCAAGTCAGACCATGTCTCAGGCTAGCCAGTCCAACCAGTCTCGCAAGAAGAGGAGGAGTAGAGGTGGCCGCCCTTCCTTTGCTGGCGACTCGAACGGAGGTGCTGATAACGACTTTCCTCCATCAACCCCTGCCAACCGCTTCGTTGCTCGCCATCATGCCGAAGCCTTCTCGCCTTCCAGTTATGCATCCTCTCAAGCCTCGCCAAGACCAGGTCAGCTATCGTCACCTGCTGTCATTGTCTTCGAAGGTCCAGCAAAGCGAGGCTTTGAACGAGCTTTTGACGACCTGCCACAGGAACTGCATGCGCTCAAAAGCGTGGCGAGGTCTAAGTTCAAGTTTGCTCCCTCAGCCCCGGTCGAGATGAGCTACGTCAACCCGGGCGGCATCGTATGCGACCTTGACGACGAGCACGATCTCAAAGCTCTTGCAACGCATGCAGCCTTCACACCGAGACTCACGGTCAGCGTCACCTCCTCAGCTGATACCGTCGACTCACATGTTTCAGCTTCTAGTGGTTCAATGCAGTCTCCAGCTCCGTCAGCGAACGGGATAACGACCATGATGCTGCCACTGTTACCGTCAACGCCGGCCTCATCCGTTGCCTTCACACCGAAAGAGGCTCCAGTTACTCCACAGCGGCTGACGGCTCTTTCAACCACCGACAGAACCTCGACTGAGCCTTCACAGACAGCTGTATCCAACGACACGTCCGCTGCTCACCCCACATCAGAGCACCCACCCGCCAACGGGCACACGCCAAGCACGTCAAAGCCTGCTAAGAGCGCGCGCAAAAGTTCAGCCAAAAACGCCTCTGCTCAGCCTGCATCTGTCGATCAAGACGCTGATCAAGGCACGACTGGTCGGGTCCGCTGGGAAGACCGCGAATCCCCCGCAGCCTTGCTTGCAAGCGTCCTTCCTGATCTTGAGTCCACCTCAGCGTCCGATGCTCGCGATGGTTCCATTGGGAGTGCAGCAAAGAAGAACAAGCAGGCCCAGACCCCTTTCGCTCCAACCGCAGAGGCTGTGGCACCAGCGACGACGCCAGCCAAAGAATCCAACGATTCCAAGCGAGCTTCCAGTAAACGAAAGCGTTCCGACAACTCTCCGTCAGCTGGCTCTACAGCAGCGGTGACCACAGAGACGCCAGCATCGCCCGTTGGTCCAGCTGCCAAAAAGCAAAGAGGGCGTCCCAAGAAGTCAGATGTGGCAGCTCCGCCAGCCGATGAGCCTGCGACTGCCACGGCTAGCGCTCCGGCCTCCGAAACCGCTTTAGGAGAGGCACCTGTTGCAGTTGATAATGCACTTCTCAAGGCACAGAACATCTCCTCGGTATCATCAATGCAACCTTCTGCTAATACTTGCATCTTTCCGGGGCAAGGACCCCCAGAGACGCCCAAGAAACGGGGACGACAGGAGAAGGTCGTGATAGAATCACCCACCCCTGCCACAGCATCGATGGATGTGGACACGGCGACGTCTATCGAGCCTTGCGAACCCACGCAGGCGAATGACGCAACTTCCGTGGCAACAGATTCCTCTTCTAGCTCACAAGCTGAAGCATCAGCAGCAACAGCTGCGGATTCGACAAGCACCCCAAAAGCAGCAGCCAAGACGACAGCCAGCGGCAAAATTCGAGGTCGACCCTCAAAGAAGGCGCTCGAGGCTGCTGCACAAGCTTTGGCTCCTCCGGCCGATGAAGCTGCAGAACCAGCCAGTATACCCGCAGGTCCAGCTTCCGAAGAGACTCCAGCTAAGTCCGATGTTCCCGCAGCCACGCCGGCAAAGAAGAAGCTTGGTCGTCCCACCAAAGCAGCTCTCGCCGCAGCTGCAGCAGCTGCTGCTTTGCAATCAAACGATGCTTCGGAGTCTCCCGCGGCTACTCCTGCCAAGAAGAAGCTTGGTCGACCTCCCAAAGCCGTAACAGCTCCTGCCGTTGCCGCGACCGCGGAGACCTCTGGCCAAACACAGGTTCCGATTGAGACTCCAGCCAAGAAGAAGAAAACTGCGCGAGCAACCAAAGCTTCCTCAACTGCTGCTGAGTCAACAGAGCAGCCCCAGGAAGAAACGGAAACGCCAACTCCTGCATCTGCAAAGAAGAAGTCGAGTCGACCGCCTAAGGCTGCTACAAGTGCCGCTGCTGCTTCGCAAGCCGGTACGATATCTGAGCAGCAGCAGGAGGAGGGCCAAGAGGCTCCAACAGCTACTCCTGTCAAGAAGACGGCTGCAGCAGCAACTAAGGCGGCTGCTGCTGCCACAGCTGCTACAGTGGAATCATCTGAGCATCAAAAGGAGCTGCAAGCACCCTCCGAAGCTACTCCTGCCAAGAAAATGTCCGGTAAAGCGAAGAATGCTGCTGCTGCTGAGCGAGTCTCGGAGCAAGCCGCCGTTACAGAAACACCTTTCGAGCAAGTATCGGGCTCACCTGGAGCACCCGCAGCTACCCCTGCGAAGAAGAAGGCTTGTCCTACATCGAAGGCTGCTGCCGCTGCGGATCCCACCGCAACGGTCTCGGAGCAACCGCAGGAATCGAACGATGCTGTTGCGGCTCCACCCGCCAAGAACACGGCAAATGCGTCCAAGGCGACTAAGGCCTCTAAGGCCGGCGCACCTGCAACTGAAAGTGCTGAGCCTGCTCCAGCTACTCAAGAGGCCACGGAAAGCGCGCCGACTACCGAGCCTCAGCCAGCAGCATCTAATCAACCTGCCACTCCGGAAGAACGAGCTAAATCTGCGGTGAACATGGCTGAAGCACCTGCGTCTACCACCGCCGTCGATTCTGCCGAGGCAGTGCCGTCCAGCTCTCAAGCTACGGAAGCGGAGAGCACTGCTGCCAAATCTTCTGCATCATCCAAAAAGGGCACATCAGCTGCTGCGGAAACTCGCGCATCGAAGGCGAATGGCACGAAAGCTACTAAAGCGGCGCCAGCGAATACCTGCATTGTCTGCGGAGCATCGCCCGAACATGAGAAGGAACATTGTCCCGTCTGGCAAGGCGGCTCGCAAGCGATCTTGGATCTGCTCGCTATGACTCGAAACAAGGGCAGCAAGAACAAGCAAGAGAGAGAAGCGTCCAAGATCATGGATCGCTGGCTTGCAGAACAGTTTGGAGCCGACTCGGAAGGAATGCCAGCCATCAGCCAGGAACTCTCGCAAGCTTCGCAAGAGACAGTTGTTGCGCCGGGCAGCCGTGCTCAGCCTGCTCCAACTGAAGTCGATGCTGATGCTCGGAAGGCTCCTCCGTCTCAATCTGCTGCTGTCTTGGTTCCCAAGTTTTCGCAGACATCGACAAACGAGCCAGATGAGCCTGCGCCGTCCCCAACACCAGCCGAGCTCGCTGCGGAGAAGAAAGCAGCTCGAAACAAAGCTGTTGCGGAGAAGCGTAAAGCTACCAAGGAAACTAAAGCTGCGGCTGCAAAGACGGCGGCTGCTGCTGAAGGAAGGGGTACACCTGAGCCGCTACAGCTACCCCCTCCTTCCGGCGTTCCAAACACACTCGAGAAGGCGGCTGCTAGAGTGGCACGTGCTCAAGCCAAGAAGGCAGCTGAATTGGCAGCAGCGGGCAAGTCTGCTTCTCAGTTGTCTGAGCCACAGATCTCTTTGACTCCGTCTTCTCCTCAAGTTCCGAGCGTCTTGCCGATGTCATCCCAGGATCCATCCCAGAACACGCTCAGAGCCCCGTCGGAATCGTCGGAAGCAGAGTTGGCTACTAGCCCTTTGCTTTCGGCTGTGCCACGAGGGAATGAGGACGATATGGATGTTGATCCGCTTCTCTCTCAGTCTCAGTCGCAGGCCGAGCCAGCGCGCGCAACCAGCTCCGAATCGGCAGCGAAGCAATTGGAAGAGAAAAGTCGTCGGATGAAGTTGGCCGACAAAGTTCAGTCTGCCTGCTCAGGCTCAGCAAGTCCCTCCAAGTCGCTCAAGGATCGCCTGTCTTCCCCACAGTATAGCGATATGGGCTCGAGGTCGAGGTCAGCTTCGGTGACCAGTTCAGATACGTCGCATGGAGGAGACAGTAGCGACGAGTCAGATGACGATAGCGATGTTGACAAGTCGCGATCGAGCAGGCGCAGTCTGGCAGCCTCGACATCGTCCAAAAGCAAAGCTAGTGCTGCTGCCAACAAAACAGCTTCCTCGTCCGACTCGGATGCGGCCAGCTCATCTTCTGATTCCTCGGACCCTGAGACTGAGTCTGAAGCGGGATCAGATTCCACCAAGGGCATCGATTCAGACGACTCTGAGAACGATCCTCGTTCCCCGCGTGCCGCCAACTCCAAAGCCAAGGCTGGCTCGAAGGGTTCAACACAACGTCGAAGCGCGCCCGGTGCGAATGGCAATCCCTTCCTGCGTGGCTTGACGCCTCAATCGAATGGAAACGGTAATGGGAGTGCCAAGCCAACCCCCTTCACCCGACTGTCAGATCTTCGACCGCAATCTTTACGTCAGAACCTCTCGCAACCAGGTTCGCCGCTCAGCACAGGCGGATCGACCCCGCTCAGCGCATCAGCTACGATTCAGCAAGCACCCTTCTTCCCTCCTACGCCGGTCGAGCAGCCACCTGTCAAGCCGACTGACGATGACGAGGACGAGATCGAGTCTGATTCCTCTTCATCTTCTTCAGATTCTGAGGATGAGGGAACCGCACGAGGAAGAGCAGCTCCTGCAAAGGCGAACGGGAACGGGAAAGCGACGACGCAAGTCAAGCGAGCAGGGATCAATAAGGATCCAGGGATAGGTGCGGGCACGCCTGGGACAGCGAAGAAGCGTAAGAACCCGTTCTCTGTTTTCGGTTGATGGCGGCGGTGTTATGAACATGGGTTTTTTTTTTCTCTCCAGGTGTTGAAAGTTATTTGATGGATTCGCAATTTTATCTTATCTCTGAGAAAATGTGAAGAAGTATAGTCCCGATAACTGGTGATCGGGGAGAGTCCGAGTACGATGTCACTACTACTTTTAAGGCAGAAACATATATGCTCGATTGACTGGAGAACGTATGTGGCGGGAGCCTCGAGCCTCCCGCTTGATATATATACAAATGAGTGGCACTTGCCGAATGTGGGTAGATCCTACTTAATGACGAGCTATAACAACGAGCGGGACCATGTTGAACCTGATTCTCGATTTCCGATTAGGTCGTCCCTCACCCGATCCCTTTTGTATCTGCTTACGTCAACCAATATCTTCACGTTGGATCGTCATTCTCAATAATCTCATCCCATGTATTTGCGCACGCTCGAACTCCTTCTGCATTGCTGCTGCCGTTCACGTTGTTGCACCAATTCTGTCCTATTGCGAAGGGATCAGATCCAACTCTAGAGCGCAACTCAGTAGGAAAGTCTTAAGCCTTGTTACCAGAGTGGAAACAGCCCGAGCAGGCATCACCAACATCTGTTCTCTTTGAGATGTGTACATTCTGTGACCAGTCTAGTAGTACAAACGTTGAACCTTGACCTGTTGTCCATCAGACCCTGTCTGTTTGGCAGGGAGGGTGATGGAATCGGTGACAAACTCGTCGTCGTAGTGCAGTAGGCCGACTTTTGGCATAACGTTGTACTTTAGAGTGAAAGTGACGTTCTTGACATTTCTGTTATGAGCCAAAAGCCATCATCAAGGTTAGCATTCACTTGTCTCACTTTCTACGAAAAAGCCAACAAAGAGTGGAAGGGTACTTACGAAAAGGACCTCCCCACCTCTCTCAAGCCATACTGGTTCCTCCCGCCCTTCACCGCCACATTCGCATCCTGTTTACTCCTCAAGATCCTGTCCCAGATCACAACTTGATTCTTGATATGCTTTGCCGAATCGTAATGTGCAGCTAAACTGACAAAAACTTGCTTGGTGTTCCAATCGAATAAAGGACTGAAATCGGCATCAATGTTGAAGTTGACTTCGATAAAGTCTTGAATGTTTCTATCCATGTGCCATGCTGCTTTGCCACGAACCACGTCGAGCTGGTTGATGGTAAGGTTGCCGGAAGGTTGATAGCGTGGTGTGAAGGGGGAGGCGGAAGGGAAGGAGAATAAGTCGATGAATACTACAAGAGTGAGGACGATTGTGGTGGACAGCGCAGAGACTGCGTTGAGGCGGGATAGTGTGCTGTGCATCGTGGGTCAAAGCTACGAGTGATAGGTGGTGGTGAGGATGAGATCAGGGTGAGATCAGGGTTGGTGTTGCTGTCCTAGCGAAGGGAAGCGGGAGGTTGAGGTCGGTGCAGGAAGATGAAGGCCACGTTGAGGAAAAGGTCCAACACACACGCTCACGCACTGACATCTTCTTGGTGAGTTGGACTCTTGACAGAGTTGCGAATTGAATCGATCGGCATTGGTGACTATTCTTCTCTCCCGATCGCATTTTTTTAGATCGCCGTTTTTTTAGATCGCCGTTTTTTAGAAGAGCTCGGTCTAACATATCATCTGTCTCCGGACCTGGCCTGATTCGATGCTGGTCGAGGATCGGTTGTATGCATAGTTGCGCCTGCGCTTCTTCGTGCGACTGTCCAAAGCGTGCAGTGTACAACACAGCTATTGGACCGTTTTGTCATCATACCGGCAATTCTGAAAGGCAAGAGGGATGAGGACTGCACCGAAGCTGATCCGCATGAAAGAACCTCTCTGATGGACGGTTCCTAGCCAGCCTGTAGCATAACGATGTCATGACATCATAGCAATGCTGATCACGAGAAAAGAGAGAGTTTCGCCTGGTCGCAGTGTAACGATCGCTGGCGAGCTTTCTTTAAGCGAGACCGTTTTACAGCTGCCATCTACCAGCTGCCAAATTAAGGCTCTCCCTCTTCTTCCTCCTTCCCATTGTACGTGCGCTTGCAACTCTCTCGTTGCTAGCGCAGGAAGGAGAACCGGCTTGCTTTCCGGTCCAACTCACACAAAACCATCCCACCTGCTTACCTCCCTTTCCTCCTCCTCGTTATTATCCTTGCTTGCATTCCCTCATCTACGAATCACCATCATCGACATCTCTGCGCATCTTTCTCGTCTTTACTTGACACCACATTGCATTTTCAGAAGTCGCCATCTCGGCATCAACAGCATTATATCCGAACCAACTACCACAACCTGCACCGCTCGCTTTCTAATACCACGTCACTCACTCTGCCAAGATGTCAGAAACAATAACAACGCAGGCATCGACCTCTACCTCTACCGAAGTCTCGGACATGCTCCTCTCCGATCTTCAGAACACCATCATGGAGAAGAAATTCGCTCAGATCCGTGCACAGCGTCAAGACGCCCAAAACGTCCTACACGAGGCCAAACAACGCACTCGCAACCAACAGACCGATCAACAGATCCTTCTCCTCATGCAAGCCGACGAGCGACTTGCGTCTCTCCTCCCACAAGCTGCCGACTCCATGCGAGCGCTCCTGCGCGTAACTCCATCCGCCCTTGACGCCGTCCAACTCACTGCCGCAGAACCAGAAACAGACGCTGAACCAGCCAAAGGAGCAAAAGCATTCGAACAACGAGCCCAGCAATGGTTTAGCATCCTCAATGAAGTTCAATACTCGCTTCGATCTGCTGTGCGCTACTTGAGAGATGCGCAGCTCTCTCCGTTAACAGCACCGGCAACAGCCAGCGCGAGGACAACGGGCAAAGCAGGTTCCACGGCACGCGGTCACAATCTTTCCCTTCTCGATGCCTTCGTTGATCTTTCCGGCCTAGATGGGACTACTTTCAAGCTTCCTCCCGCCAACCCTAGCTCTTCTTCCTCTCGTTCTTCGACAATGGGTAGTAACGCACCGTTGGAAGGCTTGCCAGAATCTAACCTCAGCTTGCAAGCTTTGAGGGAAAGGGAGCGGAATTGGAAGGCTCTGTCAGGCAGCTTGCAGCAGATAAAACAATCTACCAAGGAAAACCCTGGTAGTCCTAATGCCAGTAAAGTACTCGCAACGCCGTTCGAGGTTCCGTTGTTGGAAAGTATTAGGAATGCAGGCTGTAGCTCAGATCGTATTCTGCTTGATGCGCTTGTTAATACTGGTAATATGGCTCAGTAAGCGTATCCTCCATTCCTTGCCACTGCTAAGCTTGATCTTTGCATCCGATCGTCGTTTTGTCTTTGCATCTCCATATCCGAGTTGCCGTCGTCGTCGTCGTCGTCGTCGAGGCGAAGGATCGGCTCTCAATGCTTGTATTCCTAAACTTTTCTTTCATACCCTTCTCCTTCATTGTTGCATCTTCAATCGGCATCGTTTTCAATCTTTCCGGTCCGCCCGAGCGTGGTCGCCGTCTGCCTGTGTGATGTGATACGGGCGGACACGATGGATGGTGGTTCGGGAACAAGCCCTATGCGACAAATGGGAAGAAGAGACAATGTTAGATCTACAGCTAATCACACCAACAGAACTTAAGCATTGTCGGTGTGTTGATGTGTTGCGTGTCCATTTCCCAAGCTTCTTTCTTCAAGTGTAAGTGTGTGTGTCGCGCGCAGGCTCCCTTTCGCATTCAAACAAGCGGCGTTGGATGCCACCTCTCTCCATCACCCATTCTTCGTCCTTGCCTTAACCCGTCAACGACTCTTTTAACCATCCCGTCAACGCCAACCACTCTCGCTTCCCGTGTACATTCTCTCAAAACATCGTGCAGCCTAATTGTCACCCACGATGTCTCGCGCCACCCAATCAAGGGCGCAAACAGAAGCAAACGCCAAACTGCTTCGCTCCCTCGTCAAACACCCAGATAACAAAGTTTGCGCAGACTGCAAGAAGAATGACCCAAGATGGGCATCCTGGAACATCGGCTGCTTCCTTTGCATCCGCTGCTCTGGTATTCATCGTTCGATGGGTACTCATATTTCCAAAGGTCCGCACCCCACCCTTGCCCCGTCTTCCTCCCATCTTACCCTCTTTACTAACGTAGCATCCTTGATTTGCATTGTTGCAATTGAACAGTGAAATCGATCGACTTGGACATTTGGACAGAACAGCAGATGGATTCGGTCCAGAAATGGGGTAATCGACGATGCAACCAGTACTGGGAAGCACACTTGAAGCCTGGTCATGTCCCTGCTGATCACAAGATCGAAAGTTTTATCAGGAGCAAGTATGAAAGCAGGAGATGGGCTATGGAAGGTCCTCCGCCTAAAGATCCCAGTACGTTGGATGGAGAGGGAAATTCCGCTTCGACAGCACCAACGACGACAAAGCAGGCTGCTCCAGCAGCAGCACCAGTAAAGAAGGCTCCTACCGCCATCGATCTTCTGGACGACCCAAGTTCGGCTCGACCTCCCACATCAGCATCAGCAACAAAACAAGCCCCAATAGCCGCAGCTCCAACAGTAGCCGCACCAGCAGCCAAGACAAGCAACGGCGGGGGTGGTGGAGGAGGAATCTTCGACCTGGACTGGCACGAACCTTCCCCTTCCTCCACCAACGCTACCTCTCCTACCACCTCCACTGCTTCGTCGGGGACGAAGGGAAAGAACGACATTATGTCACTCTTTTCCTCTGCTCTTCCCAAACCTGCCGCTGCAACTAACACTCAAAGTGGAGGGTTTGGTGACTTTGGCTCCTTCTCCGCTCCTATTTCTCCACAGGGTAACGCAGGCTTAACGGGCGCTTTGGGAGGTTTGAACCTGAACAGCACCACCACTCCAAGCAATGTCGGTGCAGCAAACGCAGGAGGTAACCCTTGGTCGACAACTACTCAAACCACAGGTGGTGGAGGAGGTGGTGGAGGATTGTTCGATACTCAAGACGTTTGGGGGAGCAGCTCGAACAATGCTAGTTCGACAACGGGAGGAGCAGGGTTCGGTGCAACAGGTGGGTCGGTAGCAGCGAAGAAAGATGATGCCTTCGCTGACATCTGGGGTGATTTTAAGTAGATCCACATTCCCTCCCAGCCATTCCATCCGGGATTGTAGAATGGATGGTAGCCACTCATTCACACAACAAATATGCTCAACCCAGAACAGGCATCTTGAGCGCCGCCTGTGTTCGACAGCATCACATTTATTGCTCACTTTGTCTGTGTGAAAGCCGATCTGTCTCCAAAAAGCTAGCAGTGTGAGCATACCAGAGCACGATGTTGAGCTGAGCGAGGCAGCGGACGAGCGGTGCATCTGCGTTGACCAGTCTCCGTCACTGATCTGACCGTTGGCGGACAGCTATTCAGGCCAAACAGTGAAACTCACAGACGGCATCTCAACCTCAAAGGTAATCGCGCAAACCCCTTCTCTCTGCAACTTTCAAGCCTTCTGCGAGTGTCATGCATCATGATTGCCAAAATCGAAAGAAACACAAGAATGAGACAAAAAAAAAAAAAAAAAAAAAAAAGAAGAAGGGAACCCAATGCATATGCTGTTGTTGTTGATCGTCGATGATCGCAAATCACACTTTTGTGTGAGATGCTAAGTCTCATGCAACAGAAGCGATTTTCTCCCCGTTGCCCTCCCTCTCCGCCGTAGTATCACCCGTTCTGGCCATGCTACTGTCCGTCGTGCTCCTCTTGCTCCGACCCGCTCCATGCTCATCTTCATCTTCACTGCCATAAACCGCACTGACATTCCCCTCCAGGCCGAACAGCACATCGTCTCTCCTTCGGGCCAACAGTTTGGCTTCTTCAACCATGAGCATTGATCTCTCATACTCGCTGCCCCGCCTTCCGCCCGGTAGAGGTGACATACCGGAAGCGACACGCGTGGTCATGCTACCCGGATAACCGCTGCGAGTGGCGGCGTCGAGTGGAAGTAGGTTTGCTTCGCTATCTTCTCGACCGACTTGGGCTGTACGAGGAAGAGGGTTGGCGCTGCTGTTGGTGATCTCGGTATCAGAGTATGATTTGGTGTTGTCGGATGCTTGGCGAAGGTTGGTAACTTGAGAAGGAGCCGGGGCAGAGGTGGTTGCTGGAGAAGAACGAGTTTTCTTGGGAATCACCATAATTGGTCCATCTTCCTCTTCCTCCTCCTCCTCCTCCTCTCTACCCTGCTGAGTATTACCATTATCACCACCTTCACCTTCATCATCAGCATCATGCACTTCTTGCTGCTGTTGCGACTTGACCTCTGCTGCCACCACGTCATCTTTCCCTTTTTCCACCCCAACAGGTTTCTCCTGCTGCATACCTAACCCGAACAACCTCCCCTGCGACAGAACCGGCAAGTTCTCCGACGCCTTCTTCACACTCTCCGCCTCTCTTCTCTGCCTTTCCTCGTCCAACTTATCCCTGTACTCTTCGAAGACGAGACTCATCCAAGTACCCAAAAACCCAATGACTTGTTTGGCTTCCGGCATCAAACTGGACATCTGCAAAAATCCATGACTCCAACCTTCGATGATTCGCATCTGAACCCAATCCTCCGCCTCTTCATTCTCGATCGGATTAACCGGCATTCGAATCCCCGCAGCACCAGAGATGGGAGTCGTACGCAAACCCTCGCCGAACCTCGCGGAGGCCATCGCGCGGCGTCGTGCCAAATCAGCCTTCTTCGCGAGTTTCGCTTCACGAATCCTACCGGCCATAATCACCGTATCGTCACACAACGGATCTTTTTCACCGCAGATGAACAGCACCGGTGGGAACTCGGCAAGCAGATGAGCAGGTGCAACGACAGGGCTGAGAAAGTAATCGTGATCCAAATCAGGCTGTCTCTTGGGGCCGATGTAGAGAATCGCCATGGCGCGAAGCATACCTTGCGTAATGATCCGATCCTGGAAATAGCCAGCCATAGAGGTGACGGTGAGTCGGGTATTGAATGGCGCTCGTTTTTGGTCTTTGTTGCGAATATCTGCTTCGGCAGCTGCTTGTTGGAGGACTTTTTGTTCGCGTTCGAATGCTGCTTGCGCTCGTTTTTCTTGGCGATCCGCGATTTCGTCCAGCACGGCTTGATGTGCGACTTGTCCCCATGGTAGTCCACCTTTCTCCCAGGATGGAGTAAGTGCGTTCTCTGCCCAGATTCGATCATACGTCGCGCCATACGGATCAGGTGGACTGGAAGATCCGTTGCCATTCTCATCCGATGTTGGGTCGACTTCTGCATACCTCGCTCTTTCATCCAGATGCAACTCTGCTGTTTGGGTGAGGGATTGATACGATCGAGGATCTTTTCTTTCCTTCGAACGGGCTCGTTTGGCTTCTGCCCTCTTTCGATCTGCTGTAGAGTTGGCCAAGTTCGCTGCTGATCGGCGTCGTGCTGAACGAAGAGAGTTGATCGAAGTGGAAGATCCGCTGGCCGCAATGCCATCCCCGTTGCTGGAAGAGTGGGAAAGGTCGGATTGGTGCTGGGCAAGGTTATCGAGGTTGACCTCACTCTGCTGCCTCAGCAATCGCAAATGCTCGGGCTTCATCCAGCTACTGAAGCCAAAGTTCAGACTCGGGTAGCTTAGCACCATCCCAATTGGTTTCGGTAAGGGTGGTGGACTCCTGGCATCCTTACTTGCTCTACTCGTCAACGATTGGTACGCTAACTGAATCCTCGCCTGTGGATATTGTATCACCTTTAGTGCTACTCCTGTTGCTAGATTGCCTCCGGCACTATCACCAGTCAAGATGATTCTAAAGTTGGGCGACCCACTCATACCAATCACCTTACCCGCCGTCTCATGCAGCGTTCTGTACAAATCAAAACACTCCTCGAGCGCGAAGGGGTAAGGGTATTCGGGCGCTTTGCAGTAATCCACACAAAGCACCGGTTTCTGCATCTGCTTGGCCAACTGTCTTAATCTTTCCTCGTGATGCCTCGGATCCATACATATGTATCCTCCTCCGCAAAAGTCCAACACTAGTTCCTCTTCCATCCTCAACTGTCTCTCGCTTTTTGGGTAGAACAGCCATGCTTTGCTGGGCCTTGTATGATGCGCGCCGATTTCCGGTCTGGGTATCAACAACGGCCTGGCTATCGGCAGGGAAGCACGATGGAACCAAGTAACCGCACGAATGTACGGATTCGTCGTTTTCTCCCAAGTCGTTCTCATCATTTCCACAGTACAAAACGCTCTATACTTTCTTAGCTTTTCATCCGCCTCGTTCGCATAAACCATATAATACACCGAGAAAACCATCGACATGATATCCCGCAACCATTTTGGTTTGACATTCATTGCAGATGCAAACCCAGCATCTAACGCTGTCACTAACCAAGTCGTCCTGTAAAAGTTTCTCGAGTACATCCTAGCCAGCGGTTCTGGAGCTCCAAACCCGAGAAGGGAATCGAGATGACGAATGGTATACATCGAGACTGAAGAAAAGACCAATATTTGCCATGGTGAGAACTTTTTGACACGGGCATTGAGACGTCGAATAAAGGGGGTGGGACCGGATGCGTTACCGGAGAGTAAGTAGGTGAGCCAGAAGAGGATGACGGAAAAGGTTTCAATTCGTTTGAGTTTGGTCGATGGTCGACCTAGTAAGTGGTCGATCATGGTTGCGGTTGGGGGGAAAGCTAGCACTGAGGACGAAGCGAGCTTTGGGGGGGGGGGGACAAGCACGCACTAGTCGAGTGGTAGTAAAGGTGGGCGAGCCCGGGCTTACGGAGGGCGACTATGGTTGATGACCATTGAAGGGATTGCGAGCGGGAGGGAGGTGTGGTGGTGTGGTGACGGAAGCGATGGTGAACAGGAAGGGAAGGAAGCTGGACTTGGCGAGCAAACGTATATCGCTGTCAGAAACGTCAGTCCTCGAGCACGTCAGTCCCTTATTCTCCAGTCCCGGCCGTACTCAACAAAAGCTTCCCTTCCTACGGTTTAGCACCGACCTTCGCCTTGGTGGTCACACTCAGCTGTCTGTACCACTCATTAGCCGCCAATCCAAGCAAGCAAAGCGGGTTTGTTCGACAACAATGTCTCATATGAATCCCCAAGATGTGGGAGAGCCAAGTGTGTGTGTGAGAGAGTGTGTGTGTGAGAGTGTGTGTGTGAGTGTGTGTGTGGCTTGAAGACCCCATGTGAAAGATAGGCGAGACCCTCTCTGAAAATGCACCGCATATTTCCTACACGCGGGCAGCACTGTGTGAAAATGCTGATTGAATTTATGCAGAGGCTGCATTAGGGGGTATCAATTTTCGAGTGTTTTTAGAAACACGTGTTTTTCGATTTTGACGTGTTTTTATTTCGCACAAAAACCTTATGTAAGCTCACCCAAAATTGTAAAAAACACGCCTCCGGACCCGGTAAAATGGACTCACTTTTTCGTCACTCTCCAAAATGAAGTGTGGATGCACGTATGCGCATCCGCTTGCTTCACTTCATCACACTGGTGCCTCATGTCCTTCATTACCGTGCATCATGTCCTTCATTACTGTGTGTCAAATGAAGTGCGGATGCGCAACCGCTTGCTTGCTTCCTTCCTTCATTACCGACGATGTATTTGAAAATATACCTGTTAAATCGAACCGAATGTCACATTTGTTGCAAATGTGTTTTTAGAAACACGTGTTTTTTGGATGCGGGGTGTTCAAAAACGGGAAAAAGTCGTCAAAATTGAGAAACACGTGTTTCTAAAAACACTCGAAATTTGATACCCCCTACTGTGCAAAATCCTATACAGCATAGCGCAGCATGTACAAGGTCACTTGAGCATCAACTAGAACACCATCCTCAATGGTACGATGTCAGCTAAAACAACATCAATCATAGCGGACGACTTGGGTGTCTATAAGGAGCATATTCAGTATTTCTTTGCGTACTGAGAGGACGCAAAGAGAACAAACTATATACACAGCTGATCAAGCGAAAAGCAACCGTCATCTCTTCTGTTCTTGATCTTGTACCTTGCCAAACGCGGGTCGCTTAGGACCACACATCCAACAGCAACCTGCTCCTCTCCTTAAGCAACTTCATCTCCTTCTTTCCTTCCTCTGCACTACCCTTTGCCTCTTCCAAAATCTTACCGAACACGGTCTCTACATCCTGAGCCATCCCCTTTGCTTCACCGCAGATATAGATGTATGCCTTCCTCTCCAAAATGTCCTCCGCAATCTCCTTTCTCCTCTCCCAAATCAGATCCTGAACGTAAAGCTTAGATCCATCAGCCTTGAACTTCTCCCTAGAAAGCGAAGTCTCCATGAGAAACTTGCCATCGAGCTTCTCGCCGTACTGCGGCCACTCGTCTCGGTACAAGAAATCTTCATTCGCCCTCCTGCAACCGTAGAAGAGCCAGATATTGCCCCAATCCTTCAAAGCTTCAGCTGACGACTTGCCTGCCTTCTCCACCGCCTTCTCCGCACTGCAGACTCGGTCCTGAACGAACGAGCGGAAAGGTGCAACACCAGTGCCAGGTCCAACCATGATAACCGGGATCTTGGGCGAGGTGGGCAAGCGGAAATTAGATCGTCGAATGTGAATAGGTGCCCTGAACAGTCCATCCTTGGTGTAAGCTCCACGAGGACCAGTCAACTGGTACTTGGGGGTACCGAAACGAGGATCGTTGGGACCAGTAGGCTGCTCGCCGTTCTTCTCCATCTTGATGCTGCTGATGAAGTTCGTCGCCAAACCGTGGACCCAGGGACCCGACTTGTTAGCCTGGTATCGAAGCACCACAGCGGTAATGTGAACCGACTTGGGGTGCATCTTGGGGCTAGACGAGATCGAGTAGAATCGAGGTCCAACGCGAGGCAAATCCGAAATGACACGGTCGAAAGGAATGTTCCAAGGCCTGATAGCACTGACGTCACCCTGCAAGTCGTCACCAGCGAGGTACTGCATAGCTTCGGCGGTCTTGAGAAGACTGCTGCCGATCTCGGCCTGGAAAGTGTCCTTGTTGGCGCAGATCTTCTCCACCTTGGCCTGAATCTCAGGCCAAGGTGCATACTTGGCAAAGTTGTTCAAAGTCTGTCGAGAAGCGTGGCTGGTGATGTCGAGGTAGTGACGGAAGACAGCTTCGTAGGTGGTAGGGACGGGGAAGGGAACCTTGGCGAGAGTAGGGTCGAGCGACTCTACGTCGATGACGGTAGTGCGCTTGTCGAGAAGGCCAAAGACAGCCAAGGCGCGGTCGACTTCCTGTTCGGGGTTGTGGGCCCATACGGCAATGTGATCACCGTGCTGGTAAGAAATACCGGAGCCTTCGATGTCAAACTCGACATGCACACAGGTGCGGTCGGCAGTTCCTTGGACGAAAAGCTCGCGAGCCTCCTTGACGACAGCGTTGTAAGGGTTCTTGGCATCGTGGATACCCTTGGTGCCCAAAAGGGCACGAGCGGAAAGCTCGCCGTGGTGAACCTTGTCTTCGGGGTGGTCGGCAAGTTGGGTAACCTTGAAGTCGGCAACATCGCCTCCTCCACCCTCTTCAAAGTTGAGCTGAGAAGCAAGAGCCTCGAACATCGAGTCCTTCCATGCCAAGTAGTCTTCCTCCATACTCTTGTCGTCGTCACCCTCACCGCGTTCGCCAATGCGCTTGGCACCAAGCGACTGGAGACGAGCATCGAGCTTACGAGCGACAGCGTTGAAGTGTTCGTAGGTACGGTTGCCAAGACCAAAGATGACGTAGTTGAGGTTCTCAAGACGCTCGTTGCCGTTGGAGAACTCGGGAGACTGGTTCTCGATGAACTCCATCAGACCAACAGCGTTGTCTGTGGGTTCACCTTCGCCGTAAGTAGCCATAACAAAGACAGCAACAGTGTCCGCGGGCATCTGGTCGAGCTTCTCGAACTCATACTCTTCGGGGTCAAGAACGAGCGATGAAGTGCCGAAACGAGCTTTAGCCTCCTTGGCGAGTTTGGTAGCGTACTCTTCGGCAGTACCGGTCTGGGATCCGTAGAAGATAGCGATACGTTTCTTCTGAGACTTGAGCTTGGAGACAAAGTCAGCATCACCTTGATCGGTAGCAGCGAGAGCGGAACCGTTGGCGAGCTTGGAACCAGTGTCTTTGGCGACGCCACCTAAGAGACTATCGCGGAAGAGATAGAGAAGGGCGAGCAAGCCTCCAAGGCCGAGGACGATCAAATCGAGTGAGGATGCCATATTGGCTAGAGAAAGCGTTAAGAGCTTGAGCACCAGTCGACAGCGATCACCGACGAAAAGGAGGGTGTGGTAGTAGTGTTATTGATGATAATCGGTGACAGAGAGCGAGTTTGGTGCTCAGTCGTCTCGATTGTAGGTGATGATGTTGTGAAAGGAGAAGGGGCGGAGAGGAAGGTGAGAAAGCTGAAAGTGAATGGAAACGGTTGCCGCCGAGTCAAGTCGGATTTGCCGATGGAATTGTTGTATGAGAGCGCTTGTGTGTGGCTGCGTGATGCGTGTGTGTGGGTGGCTGACTTGCTAAGAAGAATTCAGGGTTGAAAGCCTCTCTCAGATGTTTCTGTGCTGCTTGGGGAGAAAGAAGAGCGCGATTCGCTCGCTCACACGCTATTCCGCCGTCAATTTGGCCGTTCAGCCGTGTCCGTCTGTCTGTCTGTGTTGGCTAAGCTTTTTGCCACGTCGGCTGCCACCGAGCTGATCAGCGCAACACAAACTCTCGCACTCCAAATGGCGGTCACCTGTCTTTGTTCAAGTCACCACTGCCGAGCATACCATTCCATCTAAACTCACAGTCATGGTCGACAGTTGAAATTGTACATGCTGAAATCGACTGCCGTTCCCTAATTTGAGCCTCGAACAGGCTGCAGAGCGTCACTTGACATGTTTCTTTCCAACAAAGTCCGGGCTCCATTGATCTGAAGCCTCCCACATCTCCGATGCCATGCACCTCGAGTGGGATTCTCGAGCTCGAAGGATATACCGGCCAGTATCTAGTCAGATCAGCATTGCATTACGAAGTGTATGTATGTTTGACATCCAAATTGCTGCTGTCAACCATCTGTCAGGTGAGCCAAGAGTTGTTGATGATGAGCCGCAAAAAGAAAAAGGAAGAAAAAAAAAAGAAAGAAAAAAAAGAGAAAGAAAAACACAGTTTTCGGCATTCACGGCGGTGATGCGGACGAGTAGCGGAAAGGGTCGGATATTTGTTACAGTATTTCTCCTGACGAACTCGCTTTCACGTAATCCTCTTCGGAATTTCCTTCATTGCCAAGGTATGCTTGCACCGAGCGCTCGAGCTGTCTCATCTGCTGTCTTCGAGTGTTGTACGGATAGCGGCTGATTGCGCTGTCGAAAACTGGCAGTAGACAAGCAAGGCAGCCAGATTCTCAGTGGTGCTGGTGCAGACTCGAAAGTCGGAGCCCCACACGGCATGCTTGTTCCGCAAAGCTGGTGTCTGTCACCTGCTCAGAAAATGCATTGTTCTCGAATCAGTGTCGTCTTCATCTTCCCCCCCCCCCGCTGTGTGCTGTATGCAGTTTGGGTTAATTGACAAGCTCGCTATCAGTTGATCACCCTGACAGCGGTTTCTTACCCGCTTCCTCGCCGTCCATTCCGAAGAAGGGATTTTAGACGTTTTACCGTTCTCCAGACCCCACAGTCACCCTTGAATTCCGTCTCTGATCGCTCATGACTGGCTGTATGGCCGTCAAAGGGCTCAATTCAAGCAGCTCTGAGCTCTCAACTGTGCAGGGTGGGCCATGACAGTATCCATAGCAAGTGATGGAACAAAAGAGCTTTCAACTTGCAGATTATCCCAAGGTGCTATAAGCCTTATACTATAGGTTGTACGTCTTTCACATGTTAAAGTTGCGGTCATAGTGTAGTGGCTATCACGTCTCTTTCCCACATATCCTACCAGGTGGTTAAAAGAGGAGGGCGCGGGTTCGAACCCCGCTGGTCGCATTTTTTTAAACCTGTTTTCCATACTCTTTTTCCCCTCGATTTTTCTTTTTGTTGACACCAGCCCAACACACCCTTGCGAATATTGGATGCACACGAAGCCGTTACAGAGGGTACCGTCGTCGGACAGCTCGTTGGTCGAAGGATTTGGGATGAAGGTTTCCATTTCGTACAATGTAATACAATTGTCGCGGTGTAGCACCGGCCGCTCAAACACCAAAGTAGACAGCCGAGATAGCCTTCATGATCCGATCAAAGTTAGACATCCTCGCCCTTCTACCGGTAGCGATCTCCTTCTCTGTCTGTGCTTCGATTCGTGTCCCAATAGCAGCGTATACCGAGCAAGCTGCTTTCAGTCCTGCTCTTGCCGGTTTGTTGGGAATCTGCCCTAATGCTGGGTAGGATTGATCGTACAGCCCTTTCGAGATGGTGAGCAGTCGCAAAGCGTATTTGCGTACTTCTTTGGGTTTGATCAGTTTGCCTCCTGCCGCAGAGGCTGTCGTTGCTGCTGCTACTGCTGAGCGCTTCGCAGAGGGTTCGGCAGGTACATCGAGTCGGCCTTGTAGCAACGCATCTTGCATGCCTGCATCAACCTTGGCAAACAGGTCAGCTGGTAAATAGCAGCGTCGCAGGTCGACAGCGTCAGGTACGATATCACGTGCAATGTTGACCAGTTGTAAGCTAACACCCATTCGTCTTGCTTCATACAACAATATGTCTAAGTCTGCTGTTCGGGTGAGGTCTAGCTTTCTCTCTGCTGCTGACTTGTCCGCGGTCGCTGGTGTGGATTGCATCTTGATACTCCTATCGACTTGCAAGTCAAGCGGCACTGTCAAACCACACCTACCCAATATGACTCTTGTGCACATCTCGCCCACCACACCAGCAACGCACTGCGAGTACTCGACCAGATCCTCCATCGTCCTCAGCCTTGTCCTTTGGGCCTCTTCTGGATGTTCAAACCGCAAATCGGTGCTGTAGCCCTCCAACATCTCAAACCAGAGCCTTTTCGGGATGTACCGCGAAAGGGGTGCTATTGATGCTGCTGCTGTGCGGATATCCTCTTTTGTTGTTTCTGCAAGCTTGATCGGTGAGAGAAGGTCTCTGATCCGGCTGCTGGTAGGCGTTGCCTCTGACGGCACCTTATCAACTTCAGCGATGCTGGTATAGATCGCATCGACAATACTTCGGATCACCTCCAAGTGGGCTGTCCTGGCTTCGACGCTCTCGGCCTCGTCATCGACCAAGTCATCCGCGACGCGGCAAAAGGCGTACAGACAGCCCAAATCCGTCCGCAGATCCCAGGGCAACAACAAGCTCGCAGCGTTGAAAGACTTTGATGCAGCTCGTAGCACGTTCAATGAGGCTACGAGATCGCTTGGCTCGACGCTTGCTGACGCCGCACTTGCGAGAAAAGGTTCTCGATCCGATCGAAGGAACGCGGACCAGAGCTTGATGTAGGTGCTGAGGGAGTTGAGAGGGAGGTAGCTGGGCGAAAGAGGTGGGAGGTCGGCAGATCCGGTCTGTCGACAGATGGCAACGCAGCGATCGAACGTGAAACAGGCGCTGACGAGGATGAGGTTGGTGACGAAGAAGAAAAGCATTTCCTCCACTGGCAAGTCTGGGATGGGCAAGATGTTGAGCGAGGTCGTTTCATTGATGTGCCATGTCCCCCTGCGCAGTGCGTAGACGTCGGAACACCAGAGGTACACTGTGGGAGCCATCACTGAGAGCGCAAACGGCACTAGCCCGGTGCGAAGACCCATGTTGCGGATGAAGTCGATCGAGCCCCACAGCAGCAAGGCCAATGGCAGGGATGCCCACCATGAGATCATGCCAAAGTAGTAGCCATGCGTGTCGGGTTTCGCCATCTTGGTTCCGACCACAAAGCAAGCCGCAAAAACCACCAATGTCGGCGTGGCCCATCTCCTTTGCTTGCCTTGCGTCGTTGTTGGAACAAGGTAGATGTTGGGCAAATCCCACCGAGTCAAAAGCGTACACCAAAGGGTGGAGATAAGACTCTGAATGATGAAGAAGAAGTACTCTTCAATCGGAACGTAGCCGATGGTGAACCAGATGCAATGGCGATGGTAGTACCAAGCACGGTTGTAAACGATGAGGTTGTCCCATGGTGTGGTCCAGACAAAGGCGATGATGGGAAGGAGGATGAGTTTGGCGCGGTCGAGCTTGGTGAGGAAGGGTCGAGCGATGAGGTAGAGGACTAAGCAGAGAGGGAGGGTCCAGAGTAGATGGAAATGACGGTAGGAAAGGGTGCACGCTGGCCACTCCGGGTTGGGTGGAGAAAGGTGGACCATTTTGTCGACGCGTTTTGATGAAGCAGCTCTTGGCCGCTACGTGTATGTGGTATGATACAGCCCTTTCGGTTGGAGCAGGAATAGGTCGTGAGGGAATCCTTTACTAGCGTTGCATTGTGACTACTTCTCTTGAGTAGCTGGGAGAGGCGCCGCTCAGGTCGTACTGGTGAGAACTTGCGGTATCGATTCGGTCGACTTTAACGGGCGGATGAACCGGTAAGCCAAGAAGACGAAAGCACCTTCTACTGTTCTACCACCTGACCGAGGATTTGCAGCGTGTATACCCGCCAATGCGGATGGAAGCGATGGTGGTAGTGTTGGCGAAGGTGGTGATGAGGTCCAGAGAGAGGATAGAGAGAGACACGGGACAGGGTGCAGAAGGCAGGCGGTAAGCGCTACAGAGAGAGAGAGAGAGACAGACAGACAGACAGACGGGACTCGGAATCGATCGATCGGCTTTGCCGAAGAGACGGAGGCAGAGTCAGGAGGGCAGCAACTGCGGCACAGAGTCACAACAGCTGACGGATTCGGTTGCGCGCCTCGTCCTTCGACTTTACCGTAGGCAGAAAACAAGAAGCATGAGGCAGGCAGAGACAGCGAAGAGCCAATTAAAATCATCATGGAGAGAAATAGGAGCCTGGTTTGGCCCTCCTTGCCGGTCCTCCTTCCCACGCTATGCGTGAATTCAGTCGCTTTCGAATCAATGATTGAACCTTGATTGTGGATGAGAAGTGCCCATTTGAACTCGAACCATCCCTGATGCAAGCCAGCATCAGAGCAAAAAACACAGGTGAATGAGTGATCCTATCGGATCGACCGACCATCATAGCAGCCACTCCACCCGTTTTAGACGTCACCGACAGCCAAGAGAGAGACAGAGGGTGAGAGTGATCAAACTCAGTCTGGCCTTATCGCTGTGATTGAGTTTGCCATGCGACCCACAATGAACTGCAATGTCGGCTCCCCCGGCAAAAGCTCTCTCCGCACCTCTCAAGCGCTGTTTGTACTTACCGCAATTCGGTCAGAGCCAGCCAGAGTGGCACGAGGCCGAGTGTGTGAACGTGGAAAGCGGCGCATTTCTTACATCGACAAGAGGCAAAATCCAACTCTGAGCATGCAATTTCAGTCTCATACAGTGAAGGCAAAATAGGTCAGAGAGAAGCTTCTTTTCTCTCAATTTTCTCATTTCTGAGACACCTTTTTTCTTTTTTTCCTTTCCTTTTTTTTTTTTTCTTTCTTTTTTTCCTTTCTTTTTTTTCTTTTTTTCTTTTTTTCTTTTCTTTCGCAATTTTTGCATCTCTCGACTCGACTGACGTTCGCTTGGAACACGTTCTCTCTTTCTCCCGCTCTCTAACCACCGCCGCCGCCTTCTGCTGTGTGATTTTGAATTTCGGTGTGTGTGTGCGGTCTTTTTCAGCTGAAGCCACTTTTAGTGCTTCCCTGCTGTTGCTGTCTCTCACGCCACCAGAGCGTGCCTCGCCTCGCCTCGCCTCGCCTCGCTCACACCGACTTTTAACGCTCCTCAACCTATCTCGACACAATCATTCCCGTTCCCTCTGCCATTCGCTTCCATATTCACACCATCGACCTTCTCCTTCTCGATCGGTAGCAGCTCAATTCGACATCTGCTAGTTCCAACATCATTCTCCTTTTCGTTTCCTTTCGATCTACATCAAAGTTTCCTTAGCCTCTCTCCGCAGAGCTCGCATCAAACACTTCCCTGCATCTCTCCAGTATCTGCAACAAAGCGCTTTCTCCCACCAGTCTCCAACACCATCGCAATCGCACGGATCATTGCTCATCTACGGTCATCACATACCATTCTTCCACGCTAATCGCACCCGTCCGCTGCATATCCAGCTTTACGCGCAACTCTCAGCTTGGACCCTAATTTGTGCATCTACCACCTGCTTGTCCAGTTGATCAGACGGTGCGCGCGTGTGGCAGAAGCCTCCAAGTCACAACCTCGTTGCGCTCATCTCTTCAAGAGCTTCCTACGAACCATCAGCCCAATATACTCGCCTCTCGCATCTGGAGCGACTCTAGGCGCTCAGATCCGAAGGCTTACCCTCTTGGTCCATACAAGAACAGTAACAGCAACTTGTGGCCACCCTCGTCTCCTTGTCCCAAATGCTACACTGAAGCTCTAACTCGGCCCCGTCTTTGATTGTGGCTCCTGCCCCTTCCTAGCTGCATTGCTTCAGCGCCTATTTCTCAGCACAGAACAGAACGCGGAAACCGATATAGCTCACTCTACACGGCAACGGCAACATGCAGCATGCTATGGGTCGCAGATCCGACCCCAGTTCCAGCTCTACACAATCGTCAGCATCTCAAATTCCCGCTTCACTCGGCATCGCCACTCCCGCTAATCAGAAGAGATCGCTCAGCGAACGTCTTGGATTCTCCAGCAGTGCTTCTTCCTCTTCTCTCTCCTCACAGCGCAAGCCCAGCGATGGCCTCCAGTTCCCCAATGCAGACAGCACGCCTCGTCGCAATGCCGCCGAATGTGGTTCTTTTCCTTCCATTCCCAGCTGGGGTCCTCAGACGCACAACTCGTTCTCAAACCCACTCAATGGCCTTTCTGTCAGCAGCAGTATGGGCTCACTACGTTCGGCCTCCGCCTCCAGCTCCTCACGCAACTTTCTCGTTCCCATTGGCGCAACAGGTGCTCGTCAAAAGCTCTCGATTGCCAACGCTTCACAACGTCGTCGTTTGGCTGCCTCGGATGATGCCAGAGCTTCCATCCAAGGCTCTCACAGTCCTCAGCCTAACAGACTAAGGCTGCAACGCTCCCAGTCCGACTTTCACAATCTTGCGGCAAGTGCACAACAAGGCTCGTACGATCGAGGTGTCAGCAGTTCTTCTACCGTCAGCAACTTTGCCTCTAGTCGTGCGTCGGCGAGCTCCAATGCATCCCAGGCAACATTGCCTACGAACGCGACATCAACCGAGCTCATGCAACAGGCTGCTATGCAGAGGTTGTCATCCCAGCGCATCCTGCCCAATCTCAAAACAAGGAGTGTCTCTGAGAAAGTCATGCCGGCCCAAAACTCTCCGAGCCGGTCACCGATCCCACCAGCAGCGTCGATCTCGCCGTCAGTCGAACGAGATCAATCCTTCGCTTCGACATTCCAGACACAGCTGGCTCCTGCGATTGCGGCGAGACGCCTCGATTCATCAGCATCCATAGATGTACCCTCAAATGTACCCACCGCCCTTGCCTCTCGTGCAAACACCGTCATTGTACCCGATCGAACAGCCTCGAGCCTCAAACCCGCACACGCTCACTTCCCACCTCCACCAAGAGTGATTGACGAGCCCAGACCTGATTTGTCCCCGCTTCTCGACTCGAACGGCATCAATGTTGATAGCAGCATCGCCTCCCGACCACTCACAATTGCCGAGACGTACAAGCGCGCCATGCTCGAGCGTGATGCCCAGCGAGCGAGAACAGCGGCGCGTGCAGCCCCGACGCCACAAACGGACACACCGGCACCCACGCCCCCACCACAGGCACCTGCACCTGCATCTGCATCTGCATCTGCATCAGCATCAGTACCGACAGCAGCATCGACAACGGCAACGGCAACAGCAACAGCAACAGCAACAGCGCCGCCAACCACATCCGCACCCACTCTCGACCTCAACCTGCCCACTTCCAGTTTCTTCTATGATGACGATAATTCTGCCGCTAGCAGCTCGCTCACTGCTCGACCCAATCAGCTGGCAACGAACGGTGCGAGCGCCAGCCCGAGGTCGCGAGATCCCTACAGCAATCTGAATGACGCGCCAAAAGCACCAGCATCGCCAGTCAGTGACGAGAACAGAAGGCGTATGGCTGCGCTAGCCAGCACTTCACCGCAGAAGGGTGGTGCCAACTTGCCCTCCCTCCAGCGATCCTACGACGAGGCTATGGCAATCCAAGATCGTATACGCATGGGCGTTACGGACGAGCCAGAGTTCGGCGGTCTGTTCGATGGCAGCTCCCCACCAAAGGTACGACGCAGTAAGGAGGAGTCCAAGGCTGGGCGCTCTTATCTGGCTTTGCGAGACGAGGAGGAAGATACAGCAGACCGACAGCTCAAGCGCTCGCCAAAGCCGGATACGGCAGCATCGGCCTCGACCTCGACCTCGACCTCGACCGCGTCTCGCGGGCAGATACAGAAGCCTCGGCAGGTCGAAGCAGCTGCCATCGCAAAGTCGGCACCAATCCCACCCGCCGCCGCCGTAATGCCACAAACACCTCCAGGAGACAAGAGCTTCGTTCAATTGTCTACACCTGACGATGACCGATCCACGCCAAAGAACGAGCCAAACTCCTTCGACCTCACCCCATCGCCAAAGATCGAACCATCAACCGCACCGGCCGTTGCGCTTGCTGCACAAGAGCTCGAGCGACCTAGCTTGCCACGCGAATCTTCAATTCAGACGTTTCGATCACCGCCAAACAAGCTCGAATCACAGCCAGGGCCTCGTGAAGAGGCGGCATTGCAAGCCGGTGCTTCGGCGGCAATCACGACTTCTCCACTGCTGGCCGTATCTCAAATGAACGCAACGGCGACCAACAATGACAGGTCACCAGGCTTATCATCACCCATCAGCAATGGCGAGCGCACCGTACAGTCGAGCGAGGATCTTTCGGATGCGAACAGGTGGAAACGCAGTCAGGACGTTCTTGCAGCCTTCTCGCCAGCACAGCAGAGTCGATTCTCCGAGGCTAGCACCGATTTTTCCGACTCACGTGCCCCCACACGCAACGAGAACAGGTACTCTGGTAGAGCATCCAGCGTCTCGAGCAACGATGGCTTGGAGGAAGAGTCGAGCGATGGTCACATGCTTCCCACAAGCGCCTGGCAAGAGGTTGAGAATGCACACAGACGATTCCGTGACAAGAACTCCGGAGCGGCAGCCGACCGCGGCCACTTGCTTCGTGCTGTCTTGCTACCCTTCCTTGCGCTCGAAGCAGAGACAGCTTCTGTCGAAGCGGTAGGTTCAGGTGTCTATGTTAAGGGCAAGGCCAGGCGTGCACTCTTCTTCGACTGGATCCGCTCGCTTCTCTTGGAGTTGCAGCACGTTCAGACATCTGCCGACCGTGGCGCCATCCTCGAAAGCATTGCTTGCATCATCGAAAGCCGCAACTTCTCCGCCTCGATCCTCAGCACCGACCCTGAAGACGAAGCTCGTTTCTCTTCGGTCTTTGGCCACATCTTGTCGTACGCGATGGGCGAGCTTAACAAGAAGGGAGTCTACCAGAACACGCTCATCTTCTCTGGTCGTCTGTTGGCCGTGGCTTTCTTCAGGGTCAACGGGGTTGCCAGCAAGTTGCTGCGTGCTTTGCCAGTAAACCGATTTGCGCTCGAACGTGTGGCTCGCGAGTTCGAATGGCAGAGGAAGAGACCAACGGACTTCCAGAAATTCGCCAACCGCTTCCCTGCAACGTTACGCCAGCTCTGCTATAAGGACTCGCGCGAGTACCTCAAGATGCTCGACAGTGAGTCGATTGCTGGTGCAGGCAACGGGTCCGATTCGGGGGCACAGGAGGACGATCGGTTCTTGGTATGCCAACCTGAAGTTGAAGTGGAGATGTCAGGCAACTGGCTCCGTCGATGGCAGTCGGACGATTCGGAGCTCTTCTTTAGTTTCTGCCGCAGCTACCACCGTCAGCTCGCAAGTCTTTATGCTAGCTCCAAATCGCTTGAGAGCGTGTCTAAGTACTTCTTTGGCGGACCCGGCTATGCTCATTTGGCCACGTGTGTCCACCAAAAGTGCTTGGCGCTGGTGCACCGAGTCATCTTGTCAGTCACCACGCTCTCGTCGCAGAAGAACTTCAATCCAGCTGGAGAGACTGCCAACGTACTGTCAGGAAGCACAGCAGGTAAGCCACGCATCTTGGAGGCAGCCAACCGCCGATGCACCGCCATTGTGGTCGACATTGTCCGAGCTCCCGCGGGTACCAACATGATCTTTGCACCAATGCTTGGCTTGCACATCAAGGCGTTGATTAAGCGCACCTCGTTGTACGACGTGCAAGGCGTCTTTTGTCTGCTGGACTGGCTGGATGGCGTCATCAGCCACATGGACTCGAACGACCTCATCAACGAAGGCTTGATCGATGTTTCGTTCATCATCACCACCATCGGCATGCTGTTGGAGAACGCAGATCACGCGCTCGCTTTGATGAGGACCATCGCCTTCTGCTACGCCAACTTTGGTGTGCTTACCGCTACGACCGAGAACCGCATCTACTTCTGCGAGCAGATCTTGCTCAAGCCGACCGTATTCCACAAGCTCTTCTTGTCGTGGTCGTTCACCATCCGCGCCTACTATTTGCATCTACTCGTCTTCCGTTTGGCGCGCATTCGTGACTTCCCGCCGCCCAGGGATGACCCAGGAGGACGCACGGCACTTCGTGTGGTACGACTCTTCAACCAACGTCTCGAGGCGTTGCGAAATAGACACGACTTGCTCTCACCTGAGATTGACTCGAGCTCAGACGATACCAAGTCGGAGGATAGCAAGTCGCGCAAGTCTGGCACCTTGACTTTCGTTAGCACTATCAAGCGTGCTTCCACCGACGGAGATGTCACCTCGGAAGGCAGCGCAGAAGGCCGTGCCAAAGCCGAAAAGATCATGGGTATGACCGCTGTAGACGGTCGATCTGCCACAAGCAGTCCAGCAGTTAAGCCCGAATCCGGCAAGAAGGTATCACACTCCAAAACCAAGAGTTGGCTTAAGGCGTTCGGTCGAAGCAGCAGCTCGAACAAGCTGAGTGACAAGGCCAAGGGAGGCGAATCTCATCGTCAGGTCGGTGTCTTCTCGCCCACTTCGGGTAAGGTCATGTCTCCTACCGAGTCGGATGACGACAGCAAGACCATCGGTAGTGCCAGGACAACGCCACGCACCTCGTTCGAATCGACAAGCTCGGATGCCATGTCGGATGTATCAACACTGGCTGGGAGTGTCCGTGGCAACGCAGGTGGAAGGAGTTCGAAGAACGGCGCTGGATTCGAATTTGACATCAAGCAGCAGACTGCATCGCAGCAACAGCAATCGCGCGCGTCCTCGCAAGCTTCCAAAAATGCCGCAAACAGCGCTGTCCTCAGTCTGGCACACGATGCCGGTATCGCCAAGGACACGGTGTTTGATTTGCAGTCGACTCACGCACACCCCCCTCCTACACCCGGACGAACACCACAGTCTCCTCGCATCTCGAAAGCCTTCTCTCGTCGTGCATCGATGCTTCCTGGCCCAGCTTCCGAGTTGGTTGCTAGCATGATGGAAGGCGAAGAGGAAGTGCCTCCCGTTCCAGATCTGCCTGCAGACACCTTTGGGCTTGGATTGAGCGGGATGAACGGTGGTCTAGGAGCAAGCAACAGCGCGGACGTCTATGACGAATCACTGCACATCTATGCGGTGCAGAGTCTGAGAGAATATGAACAAACGGTGCAGGAGCACGACGAGTTCTTTGCTTCATTGCCAGAGGAACAGTCTGCTCAGGTGCCTAGATTGCCTGTCAACTGGCCAGCCATGTGGTCTTCAACGGGAGAGTAGCTTCCCTCTCGAGTTAGAGAGATTATTATACTTGCATTCAATAAACACATACCATCGAGCATTACTTGCTGTTCTATCGAGGTTGTGCAATTTGAGATTGAGATCAAGGGGAGAATTCAGTTGCCTTTATCGCACTGAGCAGACCTGTGAGCTGTTTGTCCGCGGAAATACACGACATGAAAGTCTCCGCACAGAGCCGATGTCAGCTCGGCAATCCAAAGAGGCGCGCGACCGCGGCTGTCACCTTTCTCACTCAGCTGTGCGGCTCGATGCGTATGGAGATGGTTGCCGATCCGCTCTTGGATGGCAGATCTGTTCATTTTCCTCAGGCGTAAATGCGGGAAAAAAGAAGGTCTCTTGGACATTTCGCTTTCTCCGGCGAGTGACTCTCTCTTGTGTAACACTGCGTTTGGAAGAATCACCGGCGTGGCTTCTGTGTAGAGTACTGGAGCTGAGAAGCTGAGAAGCAAGAGAATCGTGAGCGGTCAGCAAGCGACCCGGTGTGCTGAGGATGTTGAGCGACGTCCCTTTGAGTGCATGCCTCCTCTTCGATCACACACTTCTACCCTCCGTCACCGTTCCGCACGAAGATCTTAGTGTATCACGGTCTCGAGTTTGTGGCCGCCATGTCGTCTTCGACAGCACAGCAACCGGTGCAAGACACCAACTTTGCCTCTGCTCTTTCCGACGATGCTTCTGGTCAACAAAATGGCCGCCAGCACTATGGCTCGCTGCCCACAACCTCCCCGTCCGAAGCCCTCTCGGCGACCAAGCCAACCGCGGTCTCGACTCGTGCTATTGCACCCGACCTTCTCCGCGGCCTGATCCTTCCTCTCATGTCACTCGACCACGCAGCTCTCTTCATGGGCGCCTGGCTGCACGGTACACCCAGACAAACCGAAAACGCAGGTACACCGATGCACGAATGGAATTTCACCTCTGCCTACGTCTCCCGTACCATCACCCACCTCTGTGCACCTGGGTTTTTCTTTCTGATGGGCATGGGGACTGTGTACTTTCACAAGTCGAGAAAGAGGATTGGGTGGGGGAAAGGCAGGATGGTAAAGCATTTTGTGATCAGAGCGGTTGCATTGACCCTGGTCAGTGAGGTGATGGGCGAGACCCTGATGTGGGGGAGAGGAGTGTGGTTGATCAACATTGTGCTGATTGGGTTGGCGGTTGACTATCTGTTGACCGGCCTGCTCTGTGTGATGTTGGAGGAGACGGATAAGCTGGTAGTACGAGGACTTGACAAGCTCAGCGCTGGAAAGGCGGACGCACTGAGAAGACCTTTACTGGACAACTCCAATGCAGAGCAGCAGAATGATACTCCCGCCGCCTCGCCTCGATCACAATCGCTGTCCTTCTGGATCCATAATGTGCTACTCCTCATTCTCACCTACATCACCATCTTTTGGAACATCTGGCTCTCCCCCACACACGGTCACTGCTCAGCTACCGCCACGCACCCCTCCTCTAGCACACCAATTGAACTCCTCGCCCTCCAACCTCTCACCTCCGCCTCTCCCCCTCCGCCTCCTTCGCCATCCTCAGCGTGGGGTCCATGGTTCGACTTCTGGTTCTACCCCGTTCAAAATCGCTTCGTCATGTCCGGCTTCCCTCCTCTAGCCTGGCTTTCATTCTCCATCTTTGGCCTGTTCTACGCTCGCGTCATGCTGTATAAGAAATGGTCTCCATCCGCCGTCATTGTCGGCAATCTCTTCACTGCTGTCATCCTCTCCGCCCTCTTCATCGCCACTCGCCTGCTCCATTTCGGTAACCTATCAGAAGGATGCCTACACATGCCCGAACACCTCGCACACCCGGACAAGAACCAGTACCTCGTCAGCATTCGAAGCTTCTTCTACATCACAAAGTACCCACCTAGCCCGAGCTTCTTCGCCCTCACCATGGCGGTCAATTTCGCCCTGCTAGCGTTCTTCAGTGCGATCCCACCCACGATCGCGACCAAAATTCCTGGATTGATGAATTACGGTGGAAGTGCGCTCTTTTTCTATGTGTAAGTGCCCAGCCCCTTTTCTCTTGTAAGGAACATGTCTGATGGTGTACTGACAACTCTGCACACCTTTGATGGCCCAACGACGGTATTGCAGCGCACACATGTACCTCTACGCCCTACTCTCGATCCCCGCCCGCCACTTCTTTGAGCACGATCTGCCCGATCATTCACCCAACAACTGGGAAAAGACAAAAGGTCTTGGTCCCACCGCGCCTTTCTGGATCACCTGGGTGCTCGGTCTGGTCATCCTTAGCCCATTGTGTAGGCTTTACGGCAAGATTAAAGCTACCAAAGGGCCTGATTCTCTTTGGCGATTCTTCTAGACTTTCCCATTCATCACTCTTACTGTACGATGTAACACAGCTGGAATTGCATATACAAATCATATATTTCTGTGCGGGTATCTCGTGAACTGCAAGGACTATGACTGAAGAGCGAAGATCTCAACTTGGTAGATCGTCACTCGGCCATAGTCATCTGCACTTCCTTTCATGTCGAATCTCAACCATCTCACCTCCCTCCCTTCCTCCCCTTTGACGGCATTGTGTAGGTCGAAGTATTGTTTAGCGTTCGCGTCTTTCACCCAGACCTCAACTCCATCCTTTCCTACATCTTGCCATGTCTTCCCATCCTGCGAGCCTAAAAGCGTCAGACTAATCGGCGAAAAGCCTCCTGCAAAAGTAACAGATATCGAATGGAGTCGATCCAACTTGACAGGTGCCGCAAGTTTGAAAGAGAGCGTGTAGTGTGCAGAAGAAGGATCGGAGTTGGGAGGAAGGTTGTCGGAAGTCCAGCAAGTTTCTGTTGAGCCATCGAGGACGTTTTTCCCTTCTATTGAGTTTCCTGATGAGACCCTGTGGGGACGATCGGAGTGGCAGAATGTGTCAACGTCATATACTTCGAGGGCGGAAATGTGAAGACGGGTTAGGGGACTTACTTGACTTTCACCTCTCCCGAAGCAGCGGAGAGGATATTGACATGGCTTGAGCCAGAAGGCACTGGTGGAGCTGTGAGTGTCGGTGCGATGCTCATCTTCGCTGTTCGAGGCTAGATAAGAGTAAGGATTGGGTTCAGCGAGGGCGAGAAGGAAGAAAGAGGGTGCGGAAACTGTTCCAGACGGCCTGTCTGAGCACGTGTCGGAAGCCCCCTTTACGGACCCTTTGATTCTCTCGCACGAATCCTCACTACCTCTTGTTCGTTATCACCCTTTGATATCCATCGCAGCTAGAACACAGCCAGACATGTAAGATATATATAGAGGGGATTCGCACCCCCCCCCCCCCCCCCCTTCACGTCTTAATTCTAAGCTTCCCTTTTAACGTACTTGAAGGCCCTAGGAAACAAAACTCCACTTTGAGAAGAGCGGAAAGTCAAAGTCAAGACCGTTTTCCGAATCCCGCATTCTTCTTCCGAGCTGTTCTAGACCTGACTACGCCTTTCTTCATTTGAACTGCATACACAACACCTACCAACTAGATTAAAAACATCGTCCATCGACAGCAGCTTCATCTCGCGCTCTTACCAGAATGAAGCGGTCTGCATGACCCGTTTCTCACGCTTTGTCCTCCCTTTGTTCGCACAAAGCGCACGGTCAGCAGTTCCTTTCGCCCACTTCATTAACGCTCAGGCCGCCTCGCTTCACATTTGTCCTAGATCGAAACTCTACTTAGCTCAGCAACATCGTTCCTTTGCTTCCGAACATCACCATCAGCACGCAGACTCGATCAGCACAGCTCTGGGCTCGCCATTCGATAGCTTCTACACCCTCCATCATCTCGCATTCGTCGACCAGTTCATCGAATCGACCTGGACACCCGAAGAAATGGCCAAAGCAATCAAAGGCGGCTACTACGCCGTACAAGAAGGTCGACAACCTGGCATCTATAACACCTGGGCAGAATGTGAAGCAGCAACAAAAGGCTTCTCCAGAGCAGTGTACAAGAAGTTCGTTACCAAAAAAGAGGCAGAGACTTTTGTCAAGGGCAACGGATACGGTCGCGCTCCCTCCTCCTCCTCTTCTTCCGCTGCTGGCAGCTCCTCCTCAGTCGCAAGCACATCGAAATACAGCGGCAGGGGTGTCTTGAGCAAACGCAAGCCTTCACCATCCTCACACCACACCAACAGCAGCGCTTCTTCATACAAACGACCTCAAATCTTTCCTCCATCAGGACCAAAAACGATCGTCTACGTCGACGGCTCATGCCTCCACAACGGCAAGTTTTCCGCTCGAGCAGGGTACGGTGTCTACTTTCCTGATTCCTCTCTTTCTCATCTTTCCGAGTCACGTCGTCTTCCTGGTCCGCCCAAACAACAAACGAATAACCGAGCAGAACTCACTGCTATCATCCGCGCCATTCAGCTCTGCCCTGACGACGACTCGCGGCTCGAAATCTACAGCGACTCGAAATACTCAATGAGCTGTGTTAACGATTGGATACACAAATGGAAGAAGAACGGGTGGAAGACTCAGATGGGGAAAGAAGTAGAGAACAAAGATCTGATTGTGAAACTGGATGAAGAGATGGAAAGGAGAGTTCCGAGACCAATATTGATTTATGTATATGCACACGCGGGGATAGAGGGGAATGAGGTGGTGGATAAGATGGCCAAGCTAGGTGCTAGTATGCCGGAGACGGAGAAGGATTGGACTATAAGGGAAGAAGAGAAACAGGAGAAGAAGAAGGATTGGACTATAAGGGAAGAAGAGAAACAGGAGAAGGAGGCGGGCGGGGCTAGAAGGCTCGATTTCGGAGGGTTTACGATCGATATTAGGGTTCAACCTATGGCTAGTAGTGATGCTAGTAGATAGCGTAATAGCATGAAGAATGTGTGACAGGTAAATTGCTTTTGTGTGCCAGTCTTTGCAACGTAGGTCAGAGGTCTGTGGAGAGAAGCGGTGAGGGGGAGAGAGATCCGTAATCCGAGTTTCGGAAAGCTTCTGGGCCCTGAGAGGTATGACGACAAGGCTATGAATCGGGGGAACGAGCTTTGGATTTGAGCAGCAGCCCGGACCCTGTGCACGATAGCTTGTGCGATTCTGAAGTGTTGAGGAACGTGCAAGCGAAGAGCGGCGAAACAGATAGCGATTTCGATAGATCGTATGACAACTAAGTACAAAGCATTGAGAAGCATATAGATCTCTCCCAACGACCAGTGTGAGCGTGTGAGGAATGAAGTGATGCCGAGGGTTGCGTGCCATCACAATAGGAATAGGGGAAGGATGACGTGAATCTAAGCAACGGCGGTAGGTGATGAGGAGGAGCGTGGTGAGCGAGGTTTGCGGAAATGTTAGGGCGAAGTAGAGGTCATGTCGTCACGTGCAACAGTCTCACAAACACGTGAAATTGTTGAAAAATAGCAATCCAACATGGTGACACAGGCCGATCTGATCGGAGATCAGGCAGAGCTGATCACGTTAGATGAAAGATCTGATCAGAGATCAAGCCAGGATGACCTCACCAGAGATTGGGTGCAATGCAGTCCCACTCATTGTCATGGTAGGTCATTAAGTAGGAGTGCTCCCACATTCAGCTAGTGCTGCTCACAATGTATATATATCTCACAGAGAGCACTAGGCTCTTGCCACATTCTCTTAGGTCAATTGAGTATATATGTTTCTGTCTTTTAGCAGCAGTGACATCATACTTAGACTCTCCCCGATCACCAGTTTTGGGACCAAAACAACTCAAGTTTCTGACAGGTTATGAGCCCAAGCAGCCAAAACACTACCAGTATGTCTAAAGTAAACTATTCTATCTACAACTCCTTTGTCACCACTGTGCAGAACCTCCTGCCATGACTACCTAGAATGGTCCAAGATTATTTTAATCAGGTCAAGGAAGATGAGGTCTATGGTACACCCAATGCTCTGAAGGATGGCCAGTTGTTGAAATTCATTATCAACAATGATGAAGAGCAAACAATCTCACCCCTGACTATCCTGGTTGAGTGCATTAGTGCACTCTACAAAGGAACACACAGTCTTGGCCTGTTTGCAATCAAATTGAGCTTGGTAAACAAATGTGAATTAGAGTGAACCTCTTTGTGAGAAACAAAGAATGGGATGCATCTCACATACTTGACCTCAAGATCAAAGGACAGCCAGAACTCACTCCTGAGCAGACCAACTATCCAATGAAGATGGACACCCCCATGTCTGTTGGAGACAATACCCCCATTTTCGACTCGGATGACTCCAACCAACGGTTAGTTGGGCATGACACCACTCCAGGGCCCACACCTGAACTCAACCCACTCACAAATTATCACCTGAAGGTGCTCTCTGGTTTGAATGACAAGATGAGATGGGACAATCAGGATCTCCTCAATCTGAGGAAGGTCTCAGTACATGCATGGTGATGCAGGATCTTTGCAATGCTGTCCATTGTCCCATTCACATGAAATGTCCTCAACCAAAAGGCAACCACATTTGAGGATGCCAACTCAATGCTCAGCTCCATCATCATGTGTAGTTTCTCAAATAAACTACACACCAAATACTTTGCAGAGCACAGAGATCAGCCAGTGCCAATCACTGTTGATCTCTTCGACTGGGCAGTGGACAAATGTAAGAGGCACTCGGCCACTAAAGAATATGAGCTCCTTGCCACTGCTTATGCAATCTGCTGGGATCAAGTCAGCAGTAACACATACAACTTTCTCATCAAATGGGAGGCACATGTGTCCAAACTACATGCATACCTGCATGAACCCTGGATGCTGGACCACCAGTATAGGATGCTCAAACATGCTTTACCATCTGACAAAAATGCACTCTTTAATTCAGTCTTTATCCTAGATGAACAACTCTATGGGAAGGATGAAATGGCTGAAAGCATTGCTCATGTTCTTTGTCAGTGCTATGAGCTTTCTGCTGACAGCACAATGGTGAGCATGCAACACATGACTGAAGAATTGGAACTAATTGCATTATGAGCTGCCACACTCATCAATTGCTGGGCATGCAGTGACATCGGGCATGCTGCTAACTGCTGTCCGAATGACATGGCCCATGCCCAATGGAAGGAGAGTAGGATCAAAGTTGCCCCAAAGGGCTGGGCAAATGCATGTATTGTATTGCCACTCACAAACACATGAGAGGAATAGGATGCATTGCTGGCCTTGGCCTTCTTTACAGATATCAGGCCAGCACCAATAGAACTCCCCCCACAGTTTGTGCGATTTGTGTTTGACTCAGGAGCATCCTGTGTCATGGTAAACTCCTCACACCATGGGAAAGGTTGGTGCAATATAGATAATTCAATCAGCATCACCACTGCCAATGGAGGAAAGCTCTCCACCACCAAAATGGGCAGAACAGTTAGTCTGCTCAGTTTCAGTCCAAAGATGCACCAGTGGGAGCAGATGACATACTTGGATTGTCTACTCATTCCCAGTCTGGTGACAAACCTAATCAGGACAAAGTCAGTCATGTGCAACCATGGTTGAGTGATCTTTGAGGACTAACTTGTCACTGTCCAGGACAAACGTGGTAATGCCATTTGTGTACATACGAGTGGAGACGGCTACCTAGTGTCATGGGCCTGAATGCGCAGGAAGCAGGAAGACCCGCTAGTTCATATGAAGGGAGCGCAGGAATCAGGGGATCGGGCAGAACGTAGGATTTGCAGCAGAATTCACCAAGATCTGCAGTAGAATCAGCTCTATGACAGATCTCAGTGAGATCGGTATGAACAAGGATGATATCACGAATTCTGCTGAGATCAGTAGTAGGAGAGGTCATATAGCAGATTCCACAGAGATCAGTGACAAGGATGTTCATATGATGAATTCACATGCAAGGAGGACCAAGCTCACAGGCGAGGAGGACCAAGTTCTGCCAAGACAGGGACCAAGCTCAGTGTTAGGGGTCTCGCGCCTGAAACCCAGGTCGGTCTGTCGAGGTACTTGGTGACTATCAAACTGTGCAACAGCTATTGTCTCAGTATTGATCTCAATGAGCTAGTCATTTGGTGACTATCAAGTTGCACAATGACAGCAGGTGGTGTTCATTGTATATACTATTGTAGGTTTTGGCTGACCTCTGTGGACACTCCATTCAGGGGTAGCTCAGCACAATCAATATCAATATGTAGGTTATGATGACACCAAGGTCTGGTGTGAGTGTTGATGATGGTGAGGTTGATGGTGTTGGTGATAAGGTTGGTGGTGTCAACATGAGTGTCCAGTGTGTTGACTGATGCTTGAGGTGATCCCCAGACCACAGTGTACTACTGCCTTCAGTTCTATCTATATCCAGACTGCTGACCTGCTATGGGTCGCCTTTGGATGTCAGGTAGTGGTGATACAACACACACACTACGATGAGGAGCAACCTTGATAGACTGCTACTATGCTGACTGAAACTAATGTATACTTATGCTGAAGTGATAACTAGTTATGATGGGTGTAGAGTGGATGAGGATCCACTCGACCTTTGATGATGAGAAAGTATGGTTATATACCTCTTCACAGCATTGCCAGCGATGCTGCTCTTGCTGTCTCTCCAGAGAGTACCTTCTTCATCGAGTACTGTACAGGGGGGCTCCTCTAGCACCACTCCTGTCCTTCTTGAGCTATCGACTCCTTCAACACTGCTCCTCCTCCTTGCTATCCTGCTGCTTGTTTGGCACCCTTGTGCCTCCTGAGTGGTGTCGACTCCTTCGACACTGCTCCTCCTCCTCATGACCTGGTGTCGACTCCTTCGACACTGCTCCTTCTCCTTTGATCAGTGACAGTTCCTTTGGCTCTTGTCTCTCGAGCCCCTGAGTGGTAACCATCTGCATGCTCCTTGAGCTTGGTCCTCCTCGTGGCTGTGCTTGGCCCTCCTTTGCATGTGAGTCTGTAGGAGTCCATGGTCTCCATGGAGACTGCACTACGACCATGCTCTCTACTGGTATCGACTAGATCTTCGATACCTGTGCTCCTTCCATATGAACCCGTGACCCTCCTGCTTCTTGAGCATCCAGGCCCATGACACCCAGCTGCTGCTTCATCTTCATCCCGCTCGCCCTTCTCTTCCTCATCCAACCCGTCTTCGATTGGCCCCACCCCCTTCACCATTACCCCTATAGACACTCCAACCCACCAGCACTCATCCAGCACTGCTTTTGAGGCTGATGAAGTGGACGATGGTGATGGTGACTCTGTTTACCATTCTCCAGCCACAGGTACAACACCCAAGAAGTCTCAACCCTTCAATTCCAAGAGCAAGCGAGAAGAGCTGTCGGAAATTGTGCAGGCCTGCACCCAAGACATGCTTCAGGCACGAATCAAGGTTGAGGAGGAATGCACAAAGAGGGAGGAAATGCGCATTCAATTTTCCAGGGAAGAAAGTGAGAGACAAGAGTGCATGCAAACTGAAGAGCGTGGTTGGCTCATGGAGATGGTGCAGATGATGAACCCTAATCTACCCTTTGGCAACATCGCTGGAAGTAGTCAAAGCAATCTTGATCTTGACCCACTGGTTCTTGCCATGGATCAGCAGGACAATAGCGATTCAGCTCGTGAGTAGACCATTTGGCAAGAATGGTGTTCCTTTTGAGTTCTCCAAGTTCTGTTCCTGTGTTTCCAACTTGTTGTACCATTGCTCTCTGTAAAGCTAGCTCTCAATATGTATGACTAGCATACCCCATACCCAGTCTTCCATGTAATCTCTCAAATGTAGATTGCTTCAATGTGATGAATTGTTCCACATACAAGATGCTGATTGGTGTAGCCCCAGTTCTGAGCATGTGTGTTGTGCAGAAATCAGCTGTGCAGAACCCAGCTGCACAGAACTCAGCTGCATTGTGTTTGTAGCTTTGGACTCTCTTTCAGACCACATCATCCTCTCCTATTTCTGGCCCTCTACTTCAACCATGGTGCACACTTCCGACAAACAGCACCTCCTGGATGACATTGAGACCACCATCATGCATTCATTGATGGTGGAATCCAAGATGCAACTTGATCTGATGGATGTCGATGCCACTTGGCACCCTAATGATGACCTTGAAGCTTCTGATGATGACATGTTTGATCATGCTATCTCATTCATGCTCATCAGGACTTACAACATCATCAGCCAGTCTCGATACACAGTTGAATGTCTTCAACTGCCGCAATGAAAGGATCCCCTCATCAACATGCTTGATCGATATGCTGTCATCAACCGCAAGCTCTTTTGAGGGGCTGTTCGCATGACCCCAGATGCATTCCAAGCTCTCACTTACAGACTCAGCACAACCAATGCCTTCAGATCAATATCAAGCTTTTGGCGTGTTCAGCAGCAAGTGGTAGTTGGTCTATATCAGCTTGAACGGTCAGGAAATGGTGGTGGAGTTCGTGATGTTGCATTTGCCTGCAGTTGCAGTCAGGGCTTAGTTCATGTGTGGACAGATAGGACTATTGCAGGCCTATATGAGCTGAACAGTGAGGTAGTAACCTTTGCAACTGAAGACGAGCATGCTAAGGCAAAAGCATGGGTTGCTGATAAGAGTGGAGTCAAGGAATGGTCTAGAGGATGGTTGGTGGTAGATGGTACACACATCAATCTTGCTTGGAAGCCAGCACTCAATGCTTGCGAGCATTACTCATACAAGGGTGATTATACATTCAACATTGCCCTTGTCTTCCTCCCTCATTCCTTGTGCATTGTCAAGTCGGTGGTTGGACATCCTGGGTCATCACATGATGCGCGAGTCTGGGCTTCAGGCAGTGGTATTGTTGCAAAGCCTCATTTGCATCTTGATGAAGGTGAGTTTGTCTGGGTTGATGCTGGTTATGGCTACTCCAGCTACACAGTTGGACCGTACAGCAACACTGCAGCTGCAAAGAGCAGAGATCTCCACTACTTCAACTATTCACTCTCCTGCATTTGTGTCAAGGCCAAACATGGCATTGCCTACCTCAAGAACTGCTTCCAATGTCTCATGGGATTTCAAGGCAACCTGTATCGAGAAGAGGACCACGAGAAAGCTGCACATATGGTCCAGGCTTGTATCATTGCACATACATTCGCAAGCCATTATGATCGACCAGATGAGGTGGCAGAATACCTTAAGGCATCAGAAACTCTATCTGAAGCTGAGGTGCTGGAGACCACGTCAGGGATGGAAGCATATCAGCAGGCTACCGAAGATGCAAGGATACAACGAAGGGAAAACCAGCAGCAATACGAACAGGAACAGGCTGCTGCCATGGAGGGCATGTCTCAGAACCGAGTCCAGAAGTTCAGGCAGGAGAAAGCACTGGATCTTAGGGAGGAGATGCTCACTGCACTCTTTACTTCTCATGGCTGCCCTTTTGAGGACACAACAGCAGAATCTCAAAGGATGGGAATGACAACATTGGCCTTCGCCAAATGGCAGGAGAGACAAAACTGAAGGCATGAGGCTCGCAGAAGACAGCAATCAGAACAGGTGTGATGTAAGCTATTTGCTTTAGCTTTTCAATCAAAGGTTTTGGCATTGTTCAGTATAGTGTTCAACAACATCTGATATGATCACTTTGATCTTGACCTGGTGTAGGGAATCAGAGATTGTTTTTACCGGGCAAGTCAAGTGAAACTCCAAGATGCATGTGTCACAGGCCTGTGCAGTTTCTTGGGGCATCAAAAATTGGGCCCAAACATATTTTCAAAGTATTGTGTTTTCAAAACTCAGAGATAACTGAAACCCCCTAGTGTAACCTGCAAAGGTTTCTCATATTGCACTCGGCGGAACGAGGGCTGCAAACTCATCACTTAAAAGATATATAGACATTTACTCTTGTTCGCAATCGACTACCACTTTCAAACCTTGATGAAAAAGAGTGTAAAAACATGCTTTGCTAGTCGTCATGATATTAATGTGTGAAAGTGAGGAAACGGAAGAAAGAAAAGTCGTGTAGCGAATCGCATCCCTGGCTGAACGATAGGATGAAAAAGAAGGCTACGAAATGACAACCAAAGCTGTAAACGCGGCGATGACCAAGATGAACAGGAAGTCGCCCCACACGCCTGCCTGGGCTGCACCGTTGGTATGCTGAGTAGGAGTAAAGCTGCCAAACCCAGAACCAGAGGCATCCAGCTTTGGCAAGGCATCGCTGCTAGTGTTGTTTCCGCTGGCAGTTGTGTTGGTGGCCCCATCAGTCTTGTTCTGCGGCAGCACAATTCCTGGAGTCTGAAGGTAAGGCTGAATCTGGCTAGGAATAGCTGTCTGACCGGAGGCCGGATCGGGAGCGGAGCCTTTAGGCTTGATGACGAATTGAGGAGACTTGTACAATACTTTGTTCTCTGTCCTCACCAAAGTTTAAAGAGGTCAGCAATCCCGTCTCATTAATCCGATGGTGAAGGTCGGGGGTAGTGCTTACCTTTGTGATCATAGTCGGTCGAGTTAACAAAAAGCAGCGAATAGCCGGAAGCGGGAGCAATACAAGGGACGTAAACCATAGCAGCGTTGAGAGAACCCTGAAGAGCGTTGCCGATCTCAAAGTCGTCGTTGAGCAAAGTCTTATTCGAGTTGGTGAGCATGATAGTCACCACGTTGGAGGCAGAGGGAGGGGATTGAGGTGTGAGGCTCTTCCAAGTGAGATTGTTCCAGCCACATGCAACCCAGTAGTTGGAGGGGTCCGGGAAGGTGACGTCGAACGATGCTGGCGGGACAGGGCCCGAAGGGTTAGGGGTCGTAGCAATAGCCATGGTGACAAGGGAGAACAGGAGGCCGAGAAAAAGGGAAAGGTTGCTATGCATGGTCGAGACTAAGAGGGTGATATGCAATGGTGTTTCAAATAGGTTAGAGGGAGGTGAGAGGACAGAGAGAGGTGAGAGGATAGGGAGAGGTGAGAGGATAGGGAGAGGTGAGAGGGCAGAGAGAAGGAGGACGAAAGAGATGAATCTGAGGACGGCACAATTGGCTCTTTATATCCAACGGTGGAAGCCTCCCACCAACTGCTGATCAAGACCGACGCTGCGTCAGGGTGGAAGACGAGGAAGCACCACATATATTGCTGCAAGGCGCCTTCCTTCTCGCTGCCCTCTCTTATATTAGGCGAGCAGAAGTTGAGGTTCATCAACTTGGCTCCAGGCCCTTGAGTCAGCGCGACTACCTCCCACCAGTGTGTAGAGGGAGGCGTGTGCAGCGATGATAGCAAATGAAACAACGGTCTGAAGTACAATCACCCTCGACCATTTTGAATGATCACACCCCACCAAGCGGCACGTTCAGACACTTCATTCCCGAGTCGCTACCGAGATATGCCCTGTTCATATCGGCTTTGTGTATGACGTAAGCCGGGCTGTGGATGGTGTTGCTCTCATTGACTAGTCACTTGAACCGCACACTGTCCCCCAATGTTTTCCAAAAGGCAAAGTCAAGCTATGAACATTCTTGATTGATCAAGGTTGCTGTGCTGAAGAGCCACAATGTATGCATTGATTGACAGGCATCGACATGCGCAATACCGCTTATCGAGAGCAAGACCAACAACCATCATCCCAGAGCGTTTCGCAAATGATTGGGATGTTAGACCTCGTCAAAGCTCGCTTTTTCTTCACGTGATGTGCTCTTTTGTGGGAAATTTTTGGACGAAGCTGCCTAAGACCCTTCTTTTTTTACATCTTCCTCCTCCACCTTGGCCCTGACGCTCGCCATCAACTCGTCTTGTCCACCCGTCTCGTATCTACCTCACCACATACAATCAGAACGAACGGTACAACCACCGCGCAAACCAAACAAGTCCGAATTTACGCAGACATTGCTCCTCATATAACCGAGGATGCGTCTTCTAACACACAACCTCCTTGCATGCCACGCAAAAGCCTGTCAAACGACATCGAACAACTTCCCACTTCTCCTCCAAAACGTTCAGCTTGAACTCATCGAAGCCGAACCAAATGAGACGTTCATCAAGGGCTTCCTACCCAAGCTCGATTGGCCAGCACTAGTCAAGACCGCGAGAAGTTTGGGTGATACATCGTTGCCAGACCAGGGTCCGGATCCGTCGAAGCCGTTTGAAGATGAGGAGCTGATCAAGGCGTTACATCGGGTTTTGCTAGAGGTGAGTACAACTCGACAATGCAGGGGAATTTGTGCAGAAGGAAGGACGAATGTTGACACAAAACTCTCATTTTGACGTCGTTGCGGCAACAGATTCACGTCGTCGAGGGTCAAATGGTGTGCCCAAACTGCCAACATATCTACCAGATCCGAAGCGGGATCCCAAACATGCTTCTTGCTGAGCACGAGATCGGCAAGTAAGACGCTTCGCCTTGGCGCCAACCTGCGAACATTGACCTCAACACGCACATTTGATAGCTTTCTTGAACGAAACACGCCAGAACGAATCTACTGCCATCCAAGGCAATACCATCTTGTTCACTACTTTGTACTTGTACCTGCACCCATTTCATTCACATTGCATACTCTAACCTAGCCTTTCACGGCATCAGTTGACATCAGATCAAATGCGGTCTCACCTTTGCCCCTCGGCTTCAGTCGTCGGCGGCGACAGTGTAGATTCAAGCTGAAAAGTCTTTTTGATCTGCCCTTGCGCTTGCATGCACACATGAGAGGAGCCTATTGCACAATTGTTTTGAGAGGCTTACAGCGAGAGAGTCGTCAGCCAAAGCACAAGTACAGAGTGGGGATGCTGAAATCGAAATCGGGACCCAGCTTAAATTTTGGAATCGCGATACGTTCGAGCCACGCGTGTCAGCTCCGCAACTGCCAAAATTGATGCACAGGTGCCGCAATGTCCACTGAGCGAGATCAAGAACAACACCATTCCTCCACTCTAACCATCCCTCTCATCACGATCTACTCGACATCTTAGTACAGCTGCCATCGCCACCATCGTCCAAGCGCATCATCCAGTCGCAGCATCCGAGACGCAGCATCGCACTCCAGCAGACTCGATTCACATCGCACGGAGACAGAGAAGCGCACAGACCCAAACATTCATTCCAGCATAGCCAGTGTCCTCCGGCGAAGTACACCGAACTTCACTACTAGCACTTTGCTGTTCAATACGACCACGATCAGGATTTCTAATAGCTAGCTGGAAGGCAGTAGAGCGATCATGGCGTCTTTCTTCTCATTCTCCAGCCCGGTCGACGTCGACGTGCGGCTAGAAGGTGAAGATGCACGCAAACAGGTGGAGATCAAAATGGACAAAGCGAGCAAAGAGAAGTGTCCAATCTACTTTGATGGAGAGAGCGTCAAAGGGTCGGTACGTACACGGAGAAGCTCTTCCTACTAAACCGCATTCTTGAGGATTGTTCTGACTGACAGATTCATCCCAACTCCTTTGCGTTCTCTCATTGTGAACTGCAGGTATCAGTGCGTGTAAGAGACGGGAAAAAGCTAGTGCATGAGGGGATCAAGATCGAGTTCGTTGGCAGCATCGGTACGTACCATCGGACCCCAGGCGGCTGTTGATCAGAAGGCTGTGAGAAGTTTTCAGACTCATGCTGACATTCCTCTCTCCCAACTTTCGTACGGCGCACAGAAATGTTTTACGACCGAGGCAACCACTACGAGTTTCTTTCACTCGTGCAAGAGCTTGCATCACCAGGCGAGATGCGCGCAGCACAAAACTTTGACTTTGAGTTCAAGAACGTCGAAAAGCAATACGAGAGCTATAACGGTATCAACGTCAAGCTGAGGTGAGCACTCAAACCAACTCATCCATCCGGACTTCTCAAAGGGTCATGCTAACCAAGTGTCGCATTGTATCCGTGTCGGAAAACAGATACTATATTCGGGTAACGATATCGCGGCGGTTAACAGACGTGGTAAAAGAGCGAGATATCTGGGTCCACTCGTATCGCATGCCACCAGACTCCAACAATGCGATCAAGATGGAAGTCGGTATCGAAGATTGTCTCCATATCGAATTCGAGTACAACAAATCCAAGTATGTAACCCAAATTCTCTCTTCCTTCTCCTCTGTTATTCCTCCTATCGCTAACCATACCTCCGTCCTTTGCCTTCGTTACTTCAGATACCACCTCAAAGACGTAATCGTGGGCAAAATTTACTTCCTTCTGGTCCGAATCAAGATCAAACACATGGAGCTCTCCATCATCCGTCGAGAAACGACCGGAGCAGCACCCAACCAATACAACGAATCCGAAACCATCACCAAATTCGAGATCATGGACGGCGCGCCAGTTCGAGGCGAGACCATTCCGATCAGGTTGTTCTTGGGAGGATTCGAATTGACACCGACGTTCAGGGATGTCAACAAGAAGTTCAGCACAAGGTATTACTTGAATCTCGTCTTGATTGATGAGGAGAATAGGAGATACTTTAAGCAGCAGGAGATCACGGTCTTCAGGATTCCGGAGAATTAGAAGACTATAGGAGAGATTGTAATACCCATCACAAATTCGTCCTTCGCTCAACTTGGCTTTCTTTGTGCCGCGTGTGATGTCGGAAGCTTGGTGAAGGAAAGGTCCACGCTCTGATTAGTCGAGGTAAAGTTGTAGTGAAGGTCAACCTGAACACGAATGTGTGGAAGCGGGTCGAGCGCAGAATGTTAGGTGAGGTTCAGACACAGACCTCGTCTGCTGCTCAATGAAGGTCATGCTCTACGGCATTTCCCTTTCTGTCATGCGTCAAGTCCGCAGTCACAGTACAAGCTGCTCAGACGTTGTCAAGGCCATGCAGGTGCTTCACATGCTCAACCGCGATCAGACACCTCACCATACAACAAGAGAGATCGGAGCCCAGCTTCATCACCACTGCAAAATTGGCGGGTTGTGTGGTAGATGGTGCTCGAGCCCCCGATCTGCAAAATTGTGCCTTGATACTCCTGGTATCTGGGTGCAGATGTGGGGAGCAGCATCGAGCTCGATCCCCGTGTTACACCAAATTGAGTGTGCCTTACATGTTTGCGCCGGTATGTCTGATGGATGGCCAGCTCAAAGGCAGGTCCGGGCGGGACTGTAGTTAGCAAAGCAGCGCGGTAATGCAAGCCCGAGGATCTGATCGCCGGCAAGCTTCGCCCTCAGGCTCGACCTTCGCCTGTGCCTGGAAATACGCTTGAGCAGCAGCTTAGTCTTTGCGTCTGCAGATGTCCACGGGATTGTGGTAAGATCGAAAGCACGCACAATCTTAGTCTTCCTTGCTTTGACACGTATACTTTTTCCAATCCGTGCTCTGCATCGACGCTGGGGAGGATATATTCAGGACTGTCTTTGATTGCTCCCGACGCAGAACGTCTTCTTCACCCTCATACCTTCTCTCACGCTCTCAATCTCAAGCACCACTGCCCGAACTTCAAAACAGCTCAAATCGCCTAGCGCAAAAAGAGTTTACCCAACGTCGTCATAATGACCATCCCCCCTCGATCCCCACTCCGCCTGCTGCAAGCTCAGAAAGGCGCCAACACCACCATTTCTGTCTCATCTCATTCACCTCTTCTCACCAGCCGGCTACCACACCTTTCACCAACCCCATCCTCATCATGTGGCCTTCCGTCGCCCGATCTGCTTTCCCCTCTAGTCTACAGCCCCCTATCAATGCTTTTCGAAGGCATCATTGCCGACTCAGCATCCATCTACACCCTGCAAGGTGGAGAGGGCAGCGGCATCCCCTACAGCCCTCTTGACTCTCCTCGTGACTATGCATGTTCACGTTGTTCCTCGAGCATCAATTCTTCGGAGGCAAGCACGATTGTACCTACTCCACAAACACTCGCTATGGTGCTAGGGAAAAAGGGAGGCAGAGTAGGGGAAAAGCTGGATCAGGCGCTAGAAGAGCTCTTACAGCAGGACAGCGACTCTCGCTCCAGCTCTCGACTTGGTCTGCGACCTGAAAGACGAGAGAGTGGCGTGAGTGTGCCGTGTGGTTTTGCAGCCAAAAAGGAGTCGTCGGGATGTGCAACGATGAATGACGACACACCGTCAATTCTGACAATGCCGGGTGGAGGTCCGCTGCTTGATACCATCAATGCTGAGTGCTTGAAGCCATTTTGGAACAGCCCTTTGCTCGAGCCTACTGCTCTTGGCTTGTATAAACCTTCTGCACCTTCAGACGTGATGAAAGAGCAAGTGCAGCACAGGGGAAAGGTACCAAGCAGACCTCCGCGTCCAGCTCACTGCTCGACAACGCTTGAAGATCTGATCGATCTTAGCCCCAACAGCTTCTCTGGTACCTTCAAGCCGGCAAGCATTGCTGGCACTGCATCACCAAGCCTGCGCAGCCTGAGAAAAACTCCAGCAGAGTACCTCAAGTCGCACAGACGGACTAGTAGCATCCAGACGCTTGATACTTTTGGGGTGCCGAGGGGCCTAGGACAAGCAGGAGTGACAAAAGCTGATCCGGCTCCTGTGATGCTGGAAGCAGAGGCAGCGAAGGAAAGTGATAGTGTAAGTATTAGCAGTATGGCAACTTTTGTCTCCGCTCGGTCCATGGATTCACTCCAACAGAGATCGGTGGAGCAGGACAGGGAGATGGTGGTAGAGAAAGTTTCCCAGTATCCATCAGTACCGATCGTCCGTATAGCACCTGCACCTGTCCGCCAGAAGAAGGAGCAACAACAGCTACAGCACCAGCGTAGACCAGGTCTCGAGAACAGATGCTATCCACCCTCAGCCAGCCGCTCTCCTGCACCGCCGGCGCCGCAAGAGCTTCATCTTCCCCAGTCAAAACACGGCGAAAAGCCACAAGCAACACAACGCAAGCCATCCCTCCTCCGTAAACTCAGCCTGAACATCCTCTCCTCCAGGAAAATAGAACTGCAGAACCATACTGGTCCAACAGACTACAGCAAATCTCCTCGCTTCTCGTCTTCTCTCCCCGTCAGCGTCAACACCACTGTCACGCCTTTTCCCATCACCGTCGTTCCCTTTTCCACTACCCCCCCGGTAAGAACGCCGCTGAGCCGAAAGACGAGTTTTTTTCGCCCTGCACCGTCCAATCCTAATATGAATGGAGGATCGCCTGCCTCTCCCGCCGTTGTGAGCTCCCAATTGAACCGCAAAACTAGCTTCTCTTGCGAACCGCCCAAAGGAGCACTGGCACGAGAAAGGAGCACATCCTTCTCCACCCGCCCCTCACCACCACTATCCACGCCCATCTCGCCACCAATGATGCGATTCCGTTCCGCATCAGACCTGAACTCTCGATACATCTCCCGCAACCGATCCGGCTCAATGAACTCCTCTTACCCCCCTCCCTCGGCTTCTTCTCTCAGCAACAATTCGCCTCTGCCACGCAAATCATCGCTCAAGCGGACTCCCTCCCGCAGCTCGCGCAGCAGCAGTAGCACCACAAACAGTGCAACCGCTTGCCCTGGCAGTGCCAGATCGCAACCCAAGAGCAACAGAGCGAGAATCGTCGGAAGCGCAACAGAGTGCGTCAGTGCAAGAAAAGTCACGTTTGGAGATGTGACTACTAGTCGTGTTGCTCGTGTTTCGCAGTTGGAGGCTGAGGAATCGGTCGAGATATTGGTGGATGAAGATGCCAGGATTCAAGAAAGGTTGGTGGAAAGCAAGCAGGATGAGGATACGCGGCAGAGGGAGATAGAGAAGGAGGCTAAGAAAAGCAGGGAGGAGAAAGGGATCGATGTTTCGCCTGCGGTGCGCGGTCCCTGGATCCAATTGCACAGCTTGTCGATGCCTTGGAGTAGGAGATCCTAGACACTCCCTTACATTCCGCACTTGTATCAGTCCTTTGCGATCGTCGTAAGTGGTCGTCCACAGGGGCGCACCTTATCCTTCCATTTGTATCGAATCACTCTGCGATCACCGTCTTTACAAGAATCACAATCATCGTTCATTCTCCTTCCAATTGCACTTTGTGTCAGGTAAAAGAGTGAACATTAATATCGCCTAACAGTACCCTCAGCACCAGCAATCACAACCCTCTCTTTGCTATCCAACCCAATCCAGCTCGTTTGATCGCAATCCCATCCTGCGTACTCGCACACTACTCTCGGTGCAGCGTCTGTCCAGACTCCCTCTCCCTCTGCACCTTCTACGTCCATCCTCTCGCCACCAGCCTCTAACGCTGCACGATACGGCAACCCATCTTGCGTCGCGACTAGCACCTCCAAGCCCTTCTGACCATCAAAGAGCTTCAAAGAGTTTACTTCTGCATTGTTCCTCCTCCATGCCGTGACGAGACCCTTTGGCGGCTCCGTCCCTTCAGCTTTCGAAGAAGAGGAGGTGGCACGGGTATCCCAAACACTAACAATCCCATTAGCTGTACCTGTTATCACCGTGTGACCTCTGACATCAATTGCCGTGACTCCCGCCGTAGGCCCTTGAGTCCACAAATTAGACGCAGAAGGCGGCTTTCCCGGCGGAAAAGCATATTTCTGAGTAGTGACATTCGCCACAGCAGTCCTTATATCGAACTTCTGCCATCCACCGCTAGCCAACCCCACCGCAAAATCTTCTTCTCCACCATCTGCCTTCTTCTCCAGCGCCAAACAGTTGACCGCGGAATAACGATCACTACCGAACAACCTAATCTTCTCCCCTGCCGCAACGTCCCATAATCGTACAGACCCATCTGCTCCACCGCTGAGCACTGTCCTCCCGCGTCCGATAATGCCAGCTGTCAGCACAGCCCGTTTATGCCCTTCCAGCGTGCGTGGGTTGTCGCCTGTGAACGGATCCCAGATTCTCACCGTCAAATCGCTCGATGTGGAAAGTACGACCCGATTGGAAGGGAAGAATTTCACAAAGCGGATGTCTCCTACATGACCTTTGAGCGCAGTCTTCTTGCCAAGGCGGGCTTTGGCGGAGTTGACATGCATACGAATTCTTGCTTCGATATCCCATTTCTTCTCCTCCGAATCTCGTGCTTCTCCGCTGAGGATGTCTCTCTCTTCGGGAGTAAGAAGTGTTTCGATAGCTTGCGAGCGTGCTGAATCGGGATCGAATTCAGATAGCCGTCCTGTATGGAGCGATCCTTCAGCACCACCTGCGACAAACATATCAACCTCGTCCTCAGAAGTCCCATGAGAGATGTCGAATGCATCAATGGTCGGATAGTTCGTATAGTTGTCGTTCACTTTCGACGTCCCCACTGTCGGCAAGAATTTTGTTAATGTCTTCCGTGCAAAACGGACTTGCACGCCCGAATCGAGCTCTATACTGGACTGCAGGCCTCTAGCAGACCTGCTACCGCCGCTGTTCTGCTCTTCCTTGCCGGGCACAACCTCATCAGGGTCTTCCGCTGACGCATCCTGGGTGAGTTCCAAATCCAACCAGCTACCCTGGACTCTGCTAACTTTCAGCCCTTTCGTCGGCCCTCCACTGATTTCGACCTCCCCAATGCTAACTCCACCTTGCGTATCCATACTCTTCCCATCATCTTTGACTTGTTGAAGCGGCAGCTTGAGATGTACACTGGAGGAAGGGGCGTTGGAAGAATAGTACGAAAGCCAAACTTTTTCCCCTGCAATGGTGGAAGAAGAAATGTCGGAGAAGACTTCCGAGTAGTTCGGTTGGATGGATATGTATGGTAGCGCTGCCATGATTGCCGAGTTGTAGCTCGAAGATTGAGTTGCGGTTGGTGTGCAGCGAGGTGGTGAGTGTACGGTGTTGGGAAAGGAGTGGGAAGGAAAGCTGAGTTGAGAAGGTTAAACGCCGCGTCAGTGTGCTTCTGCAGCTGCGGAATCGGGTTTCGGAATACCAAAGAAAGTGGAGCTGCACCGTGCGGCAGACCCTCCTTGCACTTCTACTACTTCTACTTGTCCTACCTTCCGCTACTCAAGGATGATCCTCAGACACACAGGCAGCAGCACCACAAACTATCACACGATCGAACAAAAAGACGATGACAATGAATTCCATGAGACATTACGAGCTTATTTGTGCGTTTTCGGCCCCTTATAGGCCAACACAACAACATCACCCTCTCTCCTCGCATCCTCGTGTTTCACTGTATTCCAATACCTTCCCACCTCCCTGTACCCTTTCAAACTCAAGAGATTCTTCAGCGTCCTCGTGTGTCCCGCTTTCCTAGACCCTTCTTTCAGCAAAGCATCGAAAACAACTAAATGACTAGGCCAAGTATGTCGCCATCCTTTATCCCACACTTCCTCCCTCCCCTCTCCTGTTCCTGACCCTGACCCTGGCACAGGAGAAGGAGGATAGGAGGTATCAACATTAAACGGCATCCTTTCGACCAAGTACTTGATCGGATCATGGTAGAAAAAGTCACTTTGATCCCAGTATTTTACCCCTTTCTGCCTTTGCGTCATTTCTGACTGTGCTGGAGGGGGAGGACACTGAATGAACCAACTCCTGTCCACCAAATCTTTGCTGTGAAGATGCGTAGCCCAGGGTGTCGAATGACAAGGCATGAGAAAGCCAAGGTTGTGGATTCGACCGAAGCCTGTGCCGAACTCCTCCGATTCTCCTCCGACTGGGTCTCGTTGCTGTTGACGGTATATCCTTCCGAGTTCGTAAGGAACTTGCTCTTGAGCAACGCCGTGAATGCTGGCCAGATAGATAGCTGCGACTGGTTGCAGTGTTAACAGCACCGCTCGCAGCCACAGGGGAAGAATATTGATTGCTCTCCAGAGCTGCTTTGCTACTCCACCCTTCCTCTCAGACTCTACCTGACCCGCTGCCCCACCTTCACTTACGTAAGAAACCGCCAACCCGCTCGCAGCTAAAACACTCAACACCGGCAGCAAAGGTTGCAGAAACCGAAACTCCTTATGTCCCAACAAGCTATACACACCAACAGTCACCAACACCAGTCTTGCTAGCGACTTCTTTTCCTCCCCACCCCTCCCCTCCCTCCCTACTGACAGCATCGCATCAATCAACCCAAACACCGTAGCAGGCAACCAAAAAGTACATAACACTGGCAAACCTTGCGTCCAGTACCAATGCCATGAATTTGCGCCGTAAAAGATGCTTAAATTACTGACAACGTTCTTGTGCAAGAACGCAACCAAGCTGAGTGCTGGTAGAAAGGGCCTAGTGTGGGGTGATGCGTTCGAGAGATAGTCGTAGGTCGTATCCACCACAAGGGCAAAACTGAGGCCGGTGAGGCCGATCAGGGTGAGAATGCGGATGAGGGAGGCCGTTTCGCCGATGATTTCTAGGGTTGGAAGAAGAGATCTTTCTCCTTCCCCTGATCTGCTGGACTTGTGGGATCTAAGACATCGCAGCTGCTTCACGAAGAGCTCAGCGACGAGATAGACCCAAAATACCCCATTCGTCGGCCGGAGAAGACATGCGCCAGCAGCAAGCCATAGACTTCTTTTGAGGGTTCGATCATAGATCGCCCTGGCCAATTGCTTTTGTTCGAATGCGAGGTCTTCTTGCGATTGCCAATTTCCCTTCCCTTTCTCCTGCCTTTTCTTACCCAATGCTTTAAGCTTTAAGTGCTCCTTCTTTGTCGCAAAGTACTCCACCTCAGCCCCGTCGCCGCAGTAGAAAGGTTTGAAAGGCCAATAAAACAAGCCAGCAACCGTAACGGCCGCCTCTGTACAATTGCTAAACGTCCTCGTAGCCGTATACAGCCCATACAAGTTCGTCAGCCCCACCAGGGTCGAAAACCAAGCAACCCTCTCGCCTCCTATACGATGCGCTAATCTAAACGTAAACCAGTCCCCTATCGCCGCAATCACTGCTTGTTGCAGTCGCGGGAACAGCAGCAGCAGATACGTCTGATCTAGATCTGTCACTTTCAACAGCGCATAACTGGGCACGAAGAGAAGCGGGTGTAAGATGGACCGTACCGGGCCGTTAAGTACATTATGTCTCGCTAACTGGAACCACGATGCATTGGCCGGAAGAGGAGAATGAGGATTTGTAGACCACTCCCAACTCTTAAATCCATGGCCGAACACGACTCGATGCGCGATCTCAGTCGTTTGGTAGTATTCATCGGGTTGGAAGAACGTCCGTGTTACTAGGGCGTTGATTAGACGGAAGGCGAGGAAAAAGAGAAAGAGTGAGCGGAGGTTGACTGTTGGTGAGGGAGGTGTGGTTGGTATTGAAGTTGCTGGCGAGGGTGTTGTATCTGAGCCATCTGGACGTGATGCGGGTGATGGTGGTTGTGCTCGCGAGCGGCTGCGCAGCTCCATGGTGGAGTGTTAAGGTCGCCAGCGCTATCGAGAAGTCGAGGCAGAGATTGCGAAAAGGAGACGGAATGGTGTACGATGTAAGAAGGAAAGATGGGAAGTGTTGGTTCAGAAACCTCCACTCCAACACACAACAGAGCGCTGCCGGATTTAGGTGTTTTCGGTGTTGATTTCGAGGTTTCGTGTCTGCATCACGTGATCAGTCATGTTGGCGTGCGTGTCTGGGCTGGACTCAAAACAATCGATTTTTTTGATTTTTTTTTTGGCTTCGCTTATGAAGTGCGGAGCGGAAAGCTCTCCGCTCCTCTCTTCACTACCATCATCTCTTTCATCTTCACCAAACCAGGCGCGCTGATAGCAGCCTGGTTCATCGATTAAATTGCCCTCCCTGTACTCCCTCCCTTGCCGCTCGTCTCTGCGCTCGACCGGCCCCTGTTACGGCGGGCCGGGAGCCTCCTTGTCGAGCTCCGAGGACCTCACGGGTCTTTGCCTGCAATCTATTTAGTCTGGTTTGTCTTTTTTCGTGCGATTGAATTCAAACGGGATTCGCATCTTCTGTTCTGCTCATACACAAGTGCGGAGTGCAATCTCCATCATCGAATCCTTCCATCAATCACGACAGCAGTCGACAATCTCACATTCACAAGCACTTGTCTCTCACATGGATCGCACTTTCGCAACAATGTATTTGCATTATATGCTGCTCTTATACTACGCTCTCCTTCTACGGATATAATCGCGAACAGGCTCATTGCCCGCCTCATCAACAAAAAACCTCCTTTTCGACTCATCTTCCCACACGAGCACGCCCAGTTGCTTAGCATAGTTCCTGACCTCCTCGAAGTCGAACTGACTTGTGAAGTCCGTAAACAACGAACCCAAATTCTGCACTACCCTGTTCTTCTCTCTTTCCCATAACCTGATCTGATCCGAGACCGTCACTGGCAACAACGGGTCGTTCCGGTGCATCTGAACATGCGCATGATGCGTGAGATACGTGATGATCTGTTCTGCTGTAATGCCATTCGCCAGTGCTGACTTGACCGAGTCTCGCGTGATCGACCCGACAACAAGGTTCGGAAACCGCGCTTTGATCGTAACAAACAGCGACAACACCGCAACTCGGAGAGGGTTGGAGGTGTATGCATAGAGTCGGTAGTTGGTCTCTAAGATAATGTAGCCTCGTTCTTCCTGTTCGGCTCCGTTACTCGACAGGAGTGGGATAGCTGCTGAAGAGGTCAACGTTGTAGCTAGACGAGTGGGGTAGAACCGCCGGCTGGAAGCTTTGCGTTGATAGACCAAACCGTAATCACGGAAATCTTCAAGCATATGCAATTGCGTCTCTGGCAATTCTTCCGTTGAGTAATCCCTCCCAAGCTCCAAGCTGCCCAACATGAACAGGAAAGCCAGCACCTCAACCAGATCCATGTTCCTCTCTTCTGCCATATCTAGATACTGCAGCAACAAGTCCCACAGCTGCGTGTTCACATCTTCTAATAAGAACTGGAACCCTCTACTCGTAATATTCAACCCGCCGCTACCCGACCCCGAACTTGGCCTGGGCTGCATCAAGTTACTTCTCCTCAAAAGATACAACACTGGCTCTCTCGGCGTAGACGAATTCTCACTACCGACCATGTAATGCAAGATGGTCTCCCACTTATTCCTCGCATACTGATCCAAGAACGCAACATCCACCGCATTCTTATCCTCCGTATCACAAGGAACACCAAAAGACCTATGCTTGCCTCCACCAGTCAACGCTCTTCTCATCCCATCCGTAAACACTGCATTCAGCAGCAAAATCTGCTTCCCTCCCGTCGACTTCAACTGCACAATCGAAAGGCGGGAAAGCTTGTCTACAGCCGCATCAAAGTCCTTCCGCGCTTCCTTCTTGATCCAGGCAATGAAATCATCTGCTGCGAGTGGAACGTCGAGGAAGAGCATATGCATGATTAATTGCCGTGCCATCATGGGAAGTAGACGGAAGATGGCTAGACATGATGCTGGTTTCTCGTAAAGTCGGATGAGAACGGAGCGAGGTTGTCGGTCGAGGAAGTCGTCGATGGTTTCTGCGCCAATGCCAGCCGCTCGAGAATGTTCGGATATTGATAAAGCGTTGTTGTTACCACCTCTGGAAGTCGAGGTTACGCCTTGGCCTGGGCCGGGAGTATGTCTTTGGCTGGCCATCGTTGCTGTTGCTCAGCCTGTGTAAGCGGCCGAGGGTATCGATGATGTACGCGCTTCAGAGCTCCATGAGATCCCAAGAGTGTCCCGAAGCGAGCTCTTGCGGATCTTCACAGATATATCCGCCTAGATCCTCCCTGATTTAGGCGCCAAAGGTGACGGTGGACGGCCGAGAATTTCGAGAAGGCTTGGACGATGATAGGTAAAGGATGTGACATGGCCTCGGCTGAGTCGTATTGAGCAACTTGGCCTCCACACAGCGCTTCTCAACATCCGAGTTCCGAGGATTAACGAGGAAGCTCAAAATTCATTGAGACTTTTGGCGGGTTCATTTTACGGCCAAAAAAAGATCAATCAAATTTCGCAGCTTGTGGCCTCGACCAGAAGAAAAATTGTGGAACCTTCAAAGTTCCTTTGTCCTACCCTTCCTCCTTTCTGCCTATCCTCGACACCACCATCCTCCCCCTCTCCATTGAGGCGCCCACAACGATGGCAGCCTTCAGCACAACAGACGAGGCAGTCCTCACCGCACCTCTCGAGCTAAACCCTCTCGCCCAGTCCGCAACCGCCTCTTCCTCTGGTCGCTCCATCTACCACGTCTACGACATTCTCTCGACTGCAGCCAAGATCCGCAGCGGCCGATTCCGCAGAGTCGCACTGCAATTTCCAGATGAAGCGCTAATCGACTCAGTACCTGTCTACTGGGCTCTCAAGAAGGAACTCCGCACGCTATACTCCACGGAGGAGGCACCAACATCAGCATCCACCTCCAAAGCCAACACAGCTTTGCCAGAGTTCTACATCCTCGCAGACACAAGCTATGGAGGATGCTGTGTTGATGAGGTAGCAGCTAAGCATGTCGATGCCGACTTAGTGGTGCACTATGGTCATGCTTGCTTGTCAGCGACGGCTAGGTTGCCGGTGATCTACGTGTTCACGAAGCAGCCTTTAGAGGATGTGAAAGGGGCAGCAAGAAGCTTAGCGGAACAGGCAAAGCAGCAGGTGGAGAGAAATGAGAATATCAAGGCTCTTGTCCTGACCTATGATGTCTCATGGGATCATGTAGTGGAAGAGGTGTATCAGGCGACAAAGCATGCGTTGCAAGAGCAAGGTGTCCAGTTGCCGCTGGTAAGAACGCATGTTGACTTTAAAAGAAATTACGATGAGAAGCTGGTCAATGGCGAGTCAGCTGCCCCCGACGCATCGGCACAAGAAGCAGCATGCTGTGGAGGATCTAACGGTACATGCTCAACTTCAGCACAACCAACTTCGTCATGTTGTGGAGGCGGATCGTGCTCTTCCAACTCGTCATCTTGCGCCAAAGCCACCTCAACATCAGCATCAGCAACAATACTCTCAACACCAGCCTCGTCCACAAAACACGAAGACATTGTCTCCGAAAGAGGATCCCGACCACTCGGTCCATCACGCTCTGCCACCCTTCCTCCTGGCGTATCATCCTCCCAATGCGCCTACCTCTACCTCGGCCCCGAGTCCCTCTCCCTAACTAACCTCCTCCTTACCCTCGGCACCTCAACCCCACTCGTCTCCTACAACCCAATCACTTCCACCGCACGAGTCGAAACCGGCTCCACCAACCGCTTACTCATGAAACGCTACGCATCAGTCCTCAAAGCGCGGGATGCCTCCGTTGTCGGCCTCCTAGTCGGCACCCTCGGCGTGCACTCCTACCTCCCACTTCTCAAATACCTGCGCAACCTCCTCACTGGCAAGAAAAGCGGTCGAAAAGTATACACCATCTCCGTGGGCAAACTCAATCCGGCAAAACTAGCCAACTTTCAAGAGATCGATGTATTCGTCCTTGTTGCTTGTCCCGAAAACACCTTGGTGGATAGTAAAGAGTTTTACAAGCCAATTGTTACGCCGTTTGAGATGGAGCTTGCCGTGAAGGCCGCGGAGAGGATGGAGAGGGGGGAAGAGGGGGTGGATTGGACGGGGAAGTACGTTTTGGATTTGGAAAATTTGGTTCCTTCTGATTTTGATCAGGAGGAATTGGTGAAGAAGGCACAGAAACTTGATATCCATGGCAGTGCTGAAGCGGAAGGCCAGCGAGAGGATGAGGCAGGGGAGGAAGAGGAGGAAGAGAAGGAAGAGGACGGTAGACCACACTTCTCTCTCATCAGTGGAACATACGTGCGTCGACGAAAGTTCAACAATAACTCTAATACAGCCACTGCACCCGCTGTGCAAGGTTGGACAGAACAAGCACTGCAACTCAGCAATACAGCTGCTAACGGCGAAGATTTGGTGGTGCTCCGAAACCCTACTACAGGCGAACTGACAACTGTGTTGGAGACTGCTTCCATCGCACACCTCAACAAGCGCGGATGGAAAGGATTGGAGCAGCGACTGGGTATGGACGAACCAAGCGAACTGGAAGAGGGTCGAGAAGGTATCGCCAAAGGATACAAAGATGCTGGTGGGGAAGGACACATCATGTAACATTATACACGCGGTTTCCAAACCACACACTGAAAGTAGCATTCTGGGTGACTAAAACGAAGGTGCATTAACAGAACCAAATGAGTGTGCTCTTCATCATTCTTTTATTCTAAGAGGAACTAGAGGTGTCCATCTCCCCCACCCTCCAACAACCCAACAATCAACCAAGAAGCTCCTGCAGCCACACCTCCCACTGCCAACGTCGAAACCGCACCGTACGCATAACCCTTGAAGCCACCTTCTCCGCCAGTAACCCTCTGCTTGACCACACCAAAGATCAAGAGAATCACACCAGTAATCACCACTGAGAAGAGCAAGGCCTTGCTTGCCTGTTCCAAAAACATGTAGGGAAGCAGAGGAATGATGCCGCCGATGAAGTAGCTGAGACCGATGGTCAACGCTGAGATGTACAGACGCGAGGTGCTGACCGGCTCCAAACCTTCGCCAAGCTTGAGGAGGAATGGAGTAAGACCAGCCTGTTCGAGGTCTTCTGTGTCATCGTTGTTGAGGAGCTGCGATTCTTCGTCGCTTGAGGTGCGCTTGTGTGCTGGCACTGATGAGACCGAAGACAAGGAGGAAGGAACTGGTATGCAACCAAAGATGCTCCTACGCGAAGAAGAGGCAGCACGTTTCTGCTGAGCCAGTGCGAGCTGTTGAGCTTCCTTACGCGCCTGCTCCTTGGCTGTGAGCTCGGCAGCAATCTGAGCTGAAGTCTCGGGGGCAATACCGTAGTCCTTTAAGATATCATGTACCTGACGCTGCACCTCACTGCCGCACGATCGTTCTATCCTCTGCTCGGTGCATCTCTGGTTGAAAGCGAAATGGCTCATCTCGGCCTGAGCCGACAAGAAACCACCAATGCCCATCGAGATAGCACCCGACACCAACTCGGCCAAACCAGCCAACACGACCAGCTTGGTCGATCCAGTCGAAGACAATCCTGCGGTAAGCGCAAACGGAACGGTCAAACCGTCGCTGAGACCAACGATGCAGTCGCGAGCAAAGTCCGGATCGATGAGAGTGCGCTCGTCTGTACCAACAACTTCTCGGCAACAAACAAAGTTGGGGTCGTGTTGCTGGAGGCCAGATGAGGGACATTCGTGAGTAGCGCTGAGGGTGGAAGCGGAGGATGAGGCAGCGCGCGAGCGAGATTCTTGTGTAGTAGAAGAGTAGCTGACAGCGTCGGCGGTGCTGGTCGCCCAGAGGAGAGGAGTGGACTCGGACTTGGCCATCTTGGAAGGAAGCTTGACGGAAGCGCCGTTGGAAGTAGAGGGGCCAGTGGCGGCACAGGAGCAATTGGCGCAGCCACCAGTGCCGGCTTTCTTGGTTGAAGAGCATGCCATGTTGGAAAGAGAAGCGGGTGCTTGAGACGGAGCAAGATTGCAGAAGGGTTATATGAGGAAGCGGGTGAGAAAGAGAGAAGTGGGAGGGGGCAAGGTTATATAGAGATAGCGCAATCACGGACGTTAGCTTGAGTGAGGCTCAGTCGACTTGTTTTTTCCCTTCTGGGCAAAAGAAAATGGCTTTGGTGTATGTGCGTGCGGAGAGTGAATTGCCAAAAAACTCGTCTAGACAGCCGCGACAACCTTTTTGCTCTCTTCCCGACGAGCCGAAGAGCTGCTGCAGGTCGCAAGTCAAAAGTTTGGACGAGAGCCAATGATGTTGGTTGTATTATACGCCATCACCTTTTCTGTCACATCAATGTCGACGCAGCCACCGGCAGCCGAAATGAACTCGCACTGACACTGCCGTGTCACACTCGGAGCGAGTTACGATTCGGCCCATCCGCCTTGACCGACATCAGACCTAAATTGAGAGCAAGAAAGCTGCTTTTGTGTGATCAAAGCTCTGTCTGGCATCACCGCCGGCACAGAAGAACGGGTCTGCAGATCTAAAATTGATAAAGAATTGATAATGGAGCGAGAGCTTTGAGCAGGCGCAATTCAGCCAATCAGAAGCTGTCTATTGGAAATCGTCGTTCAAGGAGAAAGTTGGCCGAAAGAAAAGCCGGTCTAACAACTTTCCCACACGAACTTCGGGTCCTAACACGGTAAAAGTGAAAAAGAAAGAGGCCTATTGGAAAGGTGCAGCAAGGCGCGACGCGTTAAGCAGTGAAACAGCAGCAGAAGGGGCAGCCAAAAAGGGTCCCACTCTCACTCACGACTCACACTTGACTCAAACTCCACTTTCAGGCGAGCCGCCGCCGCGTTCTCCACGGCTCGAGACAAGGACAACGTTCGACTCAGCCTTGCTTACGCCAGAAGCATATCTTGCCTCAATCCCTTGAACCTTCACTGTCACTGCACCTGACATTCGCCGTTGCCGTCCCGTCGCCATCGGAGACGCCGACTGCTGACTCTTTGCTTTCGGATCAAGACCGACGAGCTCGCCGTTCGGAAACGCATCCGACATTCTCACTCATTTTTTCGGGTGTTCCGTTCAGCCCCTTCTACCACATGATCGCTAGCCAATCTCAGCCAGGATGCAAGTCGAACCGCCCAACTTTGCCTCTTCTTCGCCGCTTTCGTCGCTCGTTCCCTCTTCCGATCCTTCCATCGAACCTGCTCCTCCTGTTGGTGCGAGAGTCAAGGTCACATACTCGCGCAAGCCTGCCGCACAACAAGAGGCTGATAGCACCCGTCCTGGTCAGGAATCCTCTTCCTCCTCGTCGCAACCTGCTTCACCCTCCGATCACCTCTTCGATACACCGGTGCGCTCATACGGTCGAAACACCGCAGCTGCCGACACCGCTGAGGACCAGGATGCAAATGATGTTACCATCACTACAGCCGCCGGACACTCGCCATCGACAACTGCACACGCTGCCAACTCTGCGATCAAGCCCATCACTTCCTCCTCCCTCTTCCGTCGTGTCGACTCTCAACCATCTCAACACAGCGACAACGATGACGAACGAGAGCAAAGCTCAGCCGATTCCCCAGCGGTCAATCGTCCGAACAAGTTCCAGTTTGGTATCGCTCGGGCCATCTACGATTCCGACTCGGACAGCGAGGTGCCTGCTACCGGCAACGATTCGCTCCCTGCGCGCCTAGCCAGCAAGCAAACGGGCAACACTAGCAAAGACAAACGCGACGATGACGCCATCATTGCACGCATTCGTGCCCAGCGACTGGACAACACCGACTCCGATCCTTTCGGCGGGTCATCTCTGTCCTCTCTGAACATGTCTAGTCCTCAAGCGCAGTCTTCATTGCAGAAAAGTGACGACGAGGAGATGCCGATCGATGATGCAGGAGGCAGCCTTGCCGTCTTCCGTCCTCGTGGTGCCAAGATCTCTGCTATGCGTGGCAAGGGTGGGCAAGCCAAGCGATCCAAGTTCTCTTCTTCTTCTTCTGACAAGGAGGCTAGCGCGGCATCCGATGATGAGGACGAGGGCGTGAACCGCAAGGCTCGCGCGTTAAAGCTGGCCAGCTCGCCATCTTCTTCGTCGGCACCACAGGCAGATGACCATGACGCAGAAGCCGGACCATCGACGGTAGCCTCGCGACGCGAAAAAATTGCAGCGCTTGCTGCCAGAGCACGAAAGGCACATGGCGGAGATCAGCCCGAAGCAAACACTGAAGCAGACCCACTCATCGATGCCTTCCTTGGTGGCGGAAGTCCCGGGCGTATCCCTTCGCGTTCTCCATCTCTCGACATCCAGGATAGCGACGAAGCCGAACACAATGATGCCATGCCAGCTTTCATGGCTTCTAAGTCTAAGCAGTCCAAGCCCAAGAAGAACAAGTCAAAAAAGTCCAAGCGCGTCGCTGTCGAGCGAGACATTCTCAGCGATCTCGAAGACGACTTTGAACGTGCCAACGCCAAGGTCGCCTCAAAGCGAACTGCTTCATCGAAGGAGAAGGCACCACCCAAGGTCAAGCCACTCAGCAAGAAGGAGCTCGAGACGATGAACAGGCAAACTGCACGGATCGCTCGTGAGAACCGTGCAAGACTCAGCTCTGCCTCGCAAAGGAAGACGATCGGTCTCAACGATCTGCTCAACAAGATTCAGGCTAGCGAAGGCCGTGGCAAAGCTAACAACAGTGCTGATAGCGCTACCGTTGAGCAGCCCTCTTCACAGATTCCATCTGGTCAGTCCAAGAGCCAGCATGCATCTGATCCTATCGAGTCCGATCCGATCCCCGAGCGGTCCAGCCCGCATCCCACTTATTCCAGCAGCCCTGTTGTTCCCGTCTCGAGGCAGCAGGAGCGTAGGCTTGGGCTTGATCAGTTCAACAGCTCGGCCAACATTCTTCCTGCTGGTCGTGTTCCCGGCGTGGCAACGAAGCCAGATGACGCCGCGCAGATGCATCAGCTTCTCGCTGGTGCAGGTAACGACGACGACGATGCACATTTGCCGGACTTGGCGTTCATTTTCAACAAGGGTCGTGATCAGCAAGAGACTGACAGCGAGGCCAAGCGCAAACTGCAACAGCTTCGCGACATGAAGCTTCGCCTTCTGGAGAAGTCGCGGCAGCAGCAGCAGCCGCAGCCAGGCTTGGAAAGAGCCATCAAAACCGTCATTGCAGAGGAGAAGAACATGCAATCGAATGTCGGTCAAGCTGCCGGGGAGGAGGATGACGACCTTGAGGTCTACAAGCCTGGCGAGGTGCTTGCTCAGAAGCATAACCTGCCCACGACTCCCGGAAGGAAGCGACCCACCGACATGGTCTACCGTGAACTCGATATCAAGCCTGGGAAGACACCTCCCGGTCGCAAGCCCTACATCGGCACCGACGCCAAAGGCTCTCCCAACACTGCGTCCTTGGCACACAAAGCTGATGACGCAGAGAACGAGGACATTGACGAACTCATGGTGTCTGACAGCCAACTTCGAAGTGCAGGCAAAGGTCTCTTTGTCGCTGCCGACCAAGCTGCTGGTAACATCCCAGCTACACAGCCACAGCACGCATCAACACAAGCTCGACAGGACGAGTCTCACGCGCCTCCTCCCGCTACACAAAGTTCGGCACGCACAGGTCCACTCAAGATGACTCAAGCCCAGCTCAACGCTGCATTAATGCGCAAGATGCAAACTCAGAGTCTCAAAGCTCGATCGCAGAAGGACATTAAGCCTACAAAAGAGGCCGTCGACAAGCATGGACGTGCTGCCGCCCCTGACGTCAAGGGTATGCTAGCTGGTCTCAGCGCATCGGCAACGGCTGGTGGTCAGGCTCAGGACGGCGAGCAGGAAGCGGATGAAGACGAGGACGACCCGGACTTCATCATGCCTCCTGCGCGTGATGCTGAGTCGGTGATTGGTAGTGATGTCGACATGGGCAGTGCGAGCGAGGCTGAGGCTGTTGATGACGCTGATGACTTGATTGACATGGGCAGTGCAGATGAGGACGAGGAGAATCAAGATATCGACGAACAAGGTGTGAGGGACACGATCGAGGATGCGGAAGAGGTGCACGATAGTGAGAAAGAGAACGCTCCTCCACCGGCCAGCCAACAGTCTCAGCTCTCGAACGCTTCTCCAAGCCTTGGTCGCGCCCTACCGCCCAGCCGTGCTGTTATGGATGATGACGAGGACGAGCTACCGGTTCCTCGTGCTACTGCTCGTCGAGGACGTCGCAGTGCGTTGGCTGATGACGAGGATGGTGATGACGAAGGAGAGGAGAACTCGCTCCAGCCCGGTCCTTTCGATCGCAGCCGTGATAACACCAACAGCGAAGACGCAGTACAGAGTCAGAGTCCCAATCGAGCTCGGGTCCCACTCGGCGACATTTCCAGCCAGTCTATCGATCAGAGTATTCCCTTCTCTCGCTCCAACACTTCTTCGCCAGCTGCACAACACGCTCAGCCTCCAGATCCAACTGCTATTCGCCGCGATCCTATCCTCTTCCCTCTCACTGGAGGACAGGAGGAAGACGATTCGTTCCGTACCGACGACATCCCTTCGCAGGCCGGCGATCTCGGTCGCTTCTTCGAACCGACCATGCCACCTCCTGCTGCGCCCAGATCGCTCCTTTCGCAAGCTCCGCAGAAGTCGTTCTGGGATCAAACGCAAACGCAGACCCAGAGTCAGACTCAGGATCAAAGCCAGCTACCCCCCTCGACCCGTCCAGCACAGACAGCAGGTGGCGCACGAGGGCTCGAACGAGACGAGTCTGCCAACTCCGCACTTGGCGCTTTTTTCCAAGACACACAGCAAGACGAGCTGCGTGGCGAGAGTCTTGACATCTTTGACAATCCTAAGAATGCCGACGGAAAGGCACGTGGATATACTCAGTTCTACTTTGACGGCACACCGGCTCCTTCCGCTGATGCTCCGACCACTGGTAGCAGCGTATGGGATGCTTCGGCGATGCCTCCGCCCAAATCGACTGAAGTCGATGCATTTGCGGCCCTGCGAAAGGCTCAGATGGGTGAAGCGATGGATTTGCTCGATGCGACTCCCTCGGTTTTGCCCAGTTTCGACGAGAGTCAGGCTGAGCGTGAGGCGTATGCTCAAGCTGAGGGAGGCAAGTTGGCAGCGAACATGTCTCCGGAGAAGATGTACATGAATCGGGATGGCTTCTTTACGCAAACGAAGCCGAGTCAGCAGGCGGGATTGTGGTCTCAGTACGATAGCCAGAGTCAGTCGCAAAGCCAGAATAGGGGTGGTGGTGTGTTTCAGGGTGGGCCTTGGCCTAGTCCTGCTGCTGATGCTTGGCGGGGTAGTGAGCTCAGCATTGCGAGTCACGTGCAAGGTGCAGATGAGGGAGAGGAGGATGAGGAGGAAGATGCGCCTGTTCAGCTTAAGCGATTGCGACGTGGTGTTGCGTTTGCTGCGTCGCCGCAAGCTGAAGAGCAGAACGACGGTGAAGAAAGCGGGATCGACGAGAACGGTGTTCCCTCCAGCCAACCCGAGCCCAAGCCACGCAATGCGTTCGACGTACTACGCGAAGGTCCGATTCACGCCTCACCATTCGAAGAGGTCAGCAAAGACAAGAAGCGCAAATCGGCTTTCATCGAAGGTGAAGCCGAAGAATCAGAAGACGAAGAGCTTGGAGGTGACAAGAAACGCGGCGACGGCGGTGGACTCAAAGGCATCATTGGCGATGACAATGACAACAATTCTGCCACTGACGAAGACGAAGATGACGAGGACGACGCCAACGCTGAAGATCTCCAAGAACTCGTTGACAATGAACGCGAAGTCGATGAAGCGGAGAAAGACGAACTCGTCAATGCTCGTTACCGTGAAGATGTGGAAGCACGGGAACGGGCGGATCTCGAACTGCACACAAAAGCTGCTCAAGGTGGTTTGAGAAACCGTCGTGGACGAGCTGGTTTGAATGGGATTGAAGGGTTCTTGGATGATGATGCGGATGAAGAAGAGCTTCAGAGAAGGGCTGCGTTGGGGCAGCGTGTGGGTTCGGGGGCGTGGAAGAAGAGGAAGTTGGATGGCACCGAGGATGGGATGGAAAAGTTGGCTGAGCATGAAGAGGCGAAGGCATTTGTGAGGAGTTATGAGGGGACGCACAGGGTTGATCATGAGTCGGATAAGTATGGGTTCTTGGCGCTGCCAGAGGGTGAGAGGGATGATGATGATAGTGATGATAGTGATGATGAGGATGAGGATGAGGGGGAGAAGGATGAAGATATGCGCGGAGGGGAGGACGAGGGTGTGGAAGAGGACGAGTTTGGACCGGTTGTGACGGCGCAGCCAAAAACAATCAGGTTCGATGAGGTTCGAGCTGCGGTGAGGGAGCGTAAGAAGGCTAAGAATCGACGTGCGCTCGATGATGATGAGGATGACGACCAAACACAGGATAAGGGTTGGGATTCGGACGAAGATGATACAGAAGCTAGACTTGCTGTTGCTTTGAAGGATCGTACTAAGCTTCCTACCACTCAGCCTTCTGCAGCGTCTCTGGAGATCTCGAAGCACAAACAAGGTGTGGTGCAGTACGGCAAACGAACTCGTCCCTCTAACTCAGACGATATGGATATCGATCGTGATTCCCTACCCCACCCTTCCACCACCACCGAAGTGGAAATTGAGGATGAGGATCACTCAACATCTCTCATGGCCCGTCTTCTCTCCCGTCCAACTCTCCCTCATCCTTCCTCGTCGTCTCTGCGCCACTCCTCCATGGCTGTCGATACCCTGGAAGACGCAGAACCGGAATGGGGTAACGACGCGAACCTTGTTCGTGCGCCGAAACCTAGCGCTAACGCTGGAACTTCGCAAAACTCTACTTCTTCCAAAGCGTCTAAATTTGGTGCTTCACCGTTCAATGCGAAGACCGCAGCAGCAGCGGGGAGTGAAGGGAAGAAGAAAGCTGGCAAGGCAAATGTGGGAAGTATGCTGTTGGGTAAACAGGGGATTATGAGGAGAGAGAATGGGTTTTCTGCTTCGAGCTCTGGGTCTGGGTCGGGTAGATGATGGGTTGTGGGGAGGTGCATTGCATTATTCTATTTATTCATTGGCAGTGTTTCTATCGTGCAGTGATTGGATTGTGGTGTGAGGGTTTGAAGGTATGGTGAGCGAAGAGTGTTCGCTGAAAGCGATGCTCATAAGTGAGAAGATAGGTCGAAGGAGGTTTGCAGATTTTGTCGTCATGTTTTCCGTTCCCATTTCAGTCTGATCCTTGTCATGGTGAAAAGTTGGCATTGCATCCTTCACATCAGCGACAGATGGTGACACAAAGCATATTTGGCCGATCAATAAACCCATACAGTGCGAAAGACTCCGAACTGATCCTTTCTGGACTCGACTCTCAACTTTTCCAAACCACCCTCCCCTTCCACCGGTCCAGAAGAGGAGGAGGCAAGCGTAGAACACCGATCCCTGATCCAACCCAGACACAACTCGTTTGTGTCTTCAAGCACTTTTCCTCCCTCACAACTCTCCCTTTCATCAGCTTTCAATGGGGATAGGACCCAACGATCGATAGCGATCGGCTTGCCGCCTTTCTTCGACTTCGAGAGTGAGGATGGTAGCCAGCTATCTTTCCCCCCTTGCTGTTTCTGCCGGGTTTCAGGTCTACCGATCCCAATTCGAATCCGACTCAATTTCAGTCCATCCCCTTCTCCTCCTTTAGAGTGAGATGGTTGATCAGGTATGTTGAGCCGAGAAATAATGTCTCGAATACCATTATGACCTCTTGCACTACCCGAGTCTTTTCGTTTTACTTCGCCAAATGCTAGATCGAGCTCGTCTTGAAGGATGAGGATGTCGTTTTCTATTCTCCAAACTTGTTGTGAGGGTTCCGATGAGGAAGAGGAGGAGGGGTATTGGGGGTGATGGTGGGTGAGGAAGTTCTTCAGGCCTTGGCCGGAGAGGTTCATTGGTTGAGATGGTTTATAGAACAACGCTTCCACACAGTAGATCGTAGGGGGAGGAACGGCGGGATTTGAGGGTTGGTAGAGAAAAGCGGGCGAGGAAGGAATTAAAAGCTGAAGAGAAGCACTCCAACCGCCACTCTGATCTTTCTTCAGACTCGTCGCCACATCTTGCTCCGCCTCTAGATCAAATCCTTCGTTAAGGCCTTCAATAGGAAGCAATTTCGGCACCGAGTCCGCCCAGTCTCTGCACTGATTCACATCAACTTTACCATTTTCCAGCGCCTCCAACCTCAATTCCTCAAGTTGGTCCCTGACCTCCCGCAACTTCGCCCTCATCGTCCTATCTTGCGCAATCACCCTCTCCAGCAAAGGCTCCAACACCACCTGCCCAATACTATGCCTAGTCAACGGATGTGTTGTTGCATTGCCCACACCTACAACCACCAATGGATGTCCCTCTATCCGCTTGATGGTTGGTAATCGATGTTTGGGAGGTTGAAGCTCATAGTGTAGCTTTTCGACTGGTTTTTGTTGTCCCTTGCCGTATTCGGCTACCAGGTGAGGAAGAGGCGGGGAGCGAGTGGAGAAGGAGGATCGATAGAGGAGGATTGCTAGGCGTGAGTGGAATGCTAAACCTGCTCTGTCTAGGTATGCTTCTCTAGTCTTGGTTTCGTCGGTGGTCGTGGTGCGTGATGGAGGATCAGAATTGAAGGTGGGGCCAGTGGAGGTTGGGATAGAACGTTCGCCAATGAGCGCAGCCGGATCTTCATGCAACTTGACTTCGGGTGAAAGGTTGCTCCATTCACGTTGTGGAACATAGGGTGGATTGGAGAGTATCAGGTCGAATGGGCCACCTGCTAGCTCTGCCAGCTTATCCATTGATGCATCATCGAAGATGTCCGCTTCTACGATGTGAAGGTTTGAGTCGGACTCATCAATCTTGAAGCCAAGCTTGACGGCGTTTTCCTGAGCGAGATCGACTGCTAGCGGAGATTTGTCGCATGCTACGACACGCCACTTTTCCTCCGATCCCAGCTTTGCCCTCAGTGCATGAGCGATGAGTAGTGCGATGCAACCGCTGCCCGTGCACAGGTCCACTACTCTGATATCCTTCCTACCCTCCCTTTCCAGGCTTTTGATGAGCTCGTTCACTACCTGTGTTGCCCAATGCTCAGTCTCTGGCCTCGGTAGTAGTACTGGCGGTCGAACGGTAAGCTCTTGAGGAAGGTTGCCGAATGGCATACTACCTAAGAGGTACGAGAGGGGAGCGTTTTCGCGTGTCATCCTCGTGCACATCTGAATGAGAGCTCTTCTGGATGCCCTGCTGAGCGATGAGGAAGACGAAGACTGGGAGAAGCGTACGTGCTGAACCGCCCATCGGATCTCAGATTTGGCGAGTGAGGTCGCTTCTAATCGGTCAGACTTGCGTGGATTTGGAGAACTGATAGAGCGAAGGCGATAGGACTTTTGCTTTCTGCGAAGGGCTCGTAAGAGGGGATCGTCGGCCGTGAAGAATCGCTCAGCGCGTTTTGAAGCCTGAGATGGCGACTGCCTGCTGCTGTAGAGGGAAGGAGAGATGTGTAGCTGCCGTGTAGTGCTAGGTAGGACGGTTCGAATGGCACTACTCGTCGAGGCGCTCTTTGTGGTTCTGGCCAGCATCTTGCTGAAATTATACAAGACTGGCTTCCTCAATGTATCGTTATGGTCTTCGGAAGGGTCGAGCCATTGCTTAGATTGTGTCGGTTAATGTTCGATGGTAGTGGCTCAGAAGAAGAACGAACCAAGACCCATCGAAAAAGTCTTTAATGAAGAAGAAAAGTGGAGGAGCCTTACTTCCGAATTCCGAGCTTAAACCAAAGCCATGCGAAGAACGGTGTTGGTCGGGCAGATGTGGGGTCGAAGTCCGTTTTTGGGGTGTTTCTTGCCAATTACAGTATTCACGGTGCAGAGGCTTCCGATCGCAGGTCGAGTGTTGTGCTGGTCCGTGCAGTTGCGTAAGAGAAGTGTGCCGCCGCATTTTCTTCACCCTTTATGTTGCTGCGTCGGCTATTACACATCTGGCTTGTTTCCGGCACGATGTGACCCGCCGTCGTGTGGCAGCGTTGGTTGCTATGCGACACTCGCTCCGAGATGAATCATTGTCGAGTGAGCGTCGTCAGCGGTTCTCTTTTCAAGTCTGGTGAGAGCCCCTGATATAAGAACCTGACCCTCATCTTCCCTCGTCTTGCCTCCTTCTCACCTCACCATAACCTCTTCCACCCCAAAATCCGTAAAATGGCCCCCACAGCTGCTAACCCCAAGGACTGCCCCGAGTATGATCCCAAGAACATGATCTTCCGTCGTCTCGGCCCCTCGGGTCTTCGAGTCTCTCTCTTCTCCCTTGGAGGCTGGCTTACCTACGGAGGCACCGTCAACTCCGATGAGACTAAGGAGATCATGAAGCTCGCTTTCGAGAACGGCATCAACACTTTCGACACCGCCGAAGTTTACTCTGCTGGTCAGTGCGAGGTCGACATGGGCAAAGCTATCCGCGATCTGAACCTCCGCCGTTCGGATCTCGTGCTTATTTCAAAGGTAAGGAACTTGCAGCCATCTTGGTTCTAAGTCGAAGTGATTGTGTAGGAAACTGACTGGCTTGCCATCCACCATCTATCTGGAACACCTCTTCCAATGACTGTAGCTGTTTTTCGGCACAGGGTCCAAAGACCCCAATGGGAAAGGACTTTCTCGTAAACATTTGATCGAGGCAGCCAACGCTAGCTTGGAGCGAGCTGGTCTACCGTACTGGGATGTGTTGATGGCTCACCGACCCGACCCTACGGTCCCTATGGAGGAGATTGTTCGCGGTTTCAACCGCCTGATCGAGAGCGACAAGTGTTTCTACTGGGGCACCTCCGAATGGTCTGCTCAGCAGATCGAGGAGGCTCATGCTGTTGCGAACCGCCTCAACTTGATCCCTCCTATCGCTGATCAATGCCAGTACAACATGTTCCACCGTGAACGCCCGGAGAAGGAGTACGACCCTCTGTACAAGTCGCACAACTACGGTACCACGATCTGGTCTCCTCTCGCTTCCGGTTTGCTCACTGGCAAGTACAATAACGGGATCCCCGAAGGCTCGCGATTCGACACGAACAAGGGCGCCTTCGACAACACCGTCAAGGAGCTTCAGACTGCTGAGGGCAAGGCTAAGATCGAGAAGGTGCAAAAGTTGACCACAATCGCCGAAGGATTGGGAGCCAAGGTGACCAACTTGGCTCTTGCTTGGTGTGCCAAGAACCCCGTAAGTGCCAAACATCTTGCAGTTGTGTGTTTGCTCTGATTGAGGTGGTGTGATGCTGACGTTTGTTCCGTTTGCTCTGAGCGCGGAATTACAGAATGTCTCTACTGTCATTTTGGGAGCTTCGAAGCCAGAACAGATTATCGAGAACCTCAAGTCGCTCGATTTGATCGAGAAGCTGACACCCGAAATCATGTCGCAGATTGACGAGATCTTGGGCAACAAACCTACTTTGCCATCTCTTTTCGGAAGGTAAATGTTGTCCTTTCTTCTTTGCCCTAGGAACGCCGGAAGGAAGACGGAAAAGGATTAAAAGAAGCGGTAGCAATTTCAACTGGTTGCTTCCAAAAGGGACTGTGAAGCTGTGATTTGTACACAAAGGAAACAAGCGGTCTGACAAGTTTGCTTCTCTACCTTCCCATCTGTCTGACACTGAACGCCTCGATTGTCTTTCACTCCGGCAAAAAGAAGCCGACAATCGTTCACTCCCAACCGAACTTCCGCAAGAAGCAAGTTGTGATGTGAGGCAATGCCCGCTCGAGCCTCTCGAAGTGAGAAGCTTCTTTCGGCAGAGATCCGAACTGTTGACAGGAAATGAAGTTGATAGCCAACACAATTGATTTCGAAAGCTAGTAGTGTTCACACGGCTGCAACTCTTAAGACGTGGGAAAGCAACTCAAATCCGTGAGCTTGATCAAGGCTTCGTCGACGGAGAAGCCGATGGCTGGAGGCGTCTTCAGTGAAGCTGGGGAGTGCTGCTCTATTATAGCTAGCAGCGGTGACAGCCACTGACGACGCATCCATCCGTCGGCTTCTCCGTCGACAAATGTGTTGAGGACTACACGAGCGATGAGCGGTAAAGCGGATAGCAATCGTTACCATTAGGAGACGACTAAGTGCAAAGCAATGCCAGGTATATATGTCTCTTCTGATGGTTAGTGTGTGCGTATGTGAATGAAGTAGCACATATGATTGCGTGCTGTCGCAATAGGGGCAAAGGGGTGTTGGCGTGGATGATGAGTACTGAGTGACGACGGTGAGCGAGGTTGGCGGACATGTTAGAGCGATGAAAAGAGGTCATGTGATTTCACTAAATGAAGGCTGCCAATTTCGAGTTTGAAGCCGCAGGAAACCTGCAAAGCGGCAAAAAAAACAAAAAAAAAAAAAAAAAAAAAGCAGCAGCAGCAGCATCATCAGGTTCCTGGCGTCCCGCTCTTGGTCAGGAATGTACAAACACTACACACTTGATTCGGATTTGACCTCGCTTCCAAGAGAACAAAATAAAGCATCCTCGGGCCACGCCCACGCCACGAATTTGACAGCTGATTTCCGCTTTCTCGCCAAACGCTGCTTGCTGCATTTTGTTCTCCGCACGCACGTACCCAGACACACACACACACACACACATAAGAAGAAGAAGATGCGAGACTGGTTTGAAGCCCACACGCATGCGCGCACGCCATTTTGTGTGGATTTCATCTCCGAGTCTAAAACTCGAGCCAGCAGAACAGCACAGCGCATGAGAGATAAGAGGGAAATGCGGCGGCGGACGAGGCGCTTATCTTTCCCCAAATTCAAAGAAAGGCGCTCGACGTACATCGAAGCGAATCAACAGCTGCTGCTGTCGTTGCAAGAAAAGTCACCGAGGGAAGGCTTGTGTGCTCGAGTGCCATATCAGCTTTGACCTCTTTCCGCTTCTTTCGCCAAAGTACAGTGAAGGGCACCACCTTGCTTCTGTCTCCGTTCTGTCGATCCGTTCATTTGGTTGTTTGCGATCCGCTCAAAGTGCCCTCGCTTCCATTCCTGTCCTCTTGCTCATCATCGTCCTTACCTTTTCTCCTGCCTTGTCCATGCTGCCATTGATCTCGCTGTCTCCTCTTGAATCCCTCAGCAGCAGCATCAAGATCCCAGCATCGGCTCTTCCGTATCAGCTCATTTCCTCTTCGAGTCTCATCAAAGTTCTCGCACCTCAGCATTCATCCTCGCAATCACATCAAAATCATGTTGCAGCCAGAAACCAGCAGCAGTATCCATGCGCTACAGTCACAACCCTCGTTGGTGCTGGTAGCGCCAATGCCCCGTCGCCCCATCGCTCTCGTAGCTCGCAGGCACCATCATCACCACGGCTCTCGTTCTCGTTCATCTCGAACCGTCTCGACCAGTCAATCCGAGGACTCCTCGAAGGACTCGGCGGCTCAGCGCTCTGCCACCTCGCCAGACTCTGAGTCTGCTGTTGGCGGCTGCTCCGCTTCATCAGTCAGGCTCGTCGGTCATCCCTATTCTCGTGCCAAGACTCCAAGCAATGCCAACGCTGGCTCAAACCCGGTCTCGCCCGCTGCTGCTAGCGGATGGCCTCTCGGCCTGGGCATCTCTCCCGTCTCTCCACCTCCTCGCTCAAGAGCTGCGTCTCGAGAGGGAATTGCCTCTTGTCCGCTTTCTCGTCTCTCTTCGCGAGAAGGCACGACCACGCTACCTTTGACTCTTGAAGCGGTCGCTGTCAGTCGCTCTCCTTCGCTCGGGCAGGTCGTCGATGATCAAGCTGCAGACGTCAGCAATGCTTCAATTGCAGATGAGCCAATGCTAGCGTCTCCGATCGCTCCTTCAACATTTGGCTTTGCCGTGCCGATGATGGACGTCGAGCGCACCCCAACGAAACGCAACAGCCGTGCTCAGCTAAGCAGCAAGCATGTTGCATCTCCCATTCAAGCTCGCTACAACACCGCCGCCGTTGACAATGACCAGGAGTCTCGATCGATGCCTACCATCGGCGCCACTTCGCCTCGTCCTGACAATGACGACAAGCGTCTTACCCTCTCGTCTACCTCTCCCTCCCATCAACGCAGTACAGCTCAGCTTCCTCAGCTTCCTCAGCTTCCTCTCTCCCCTTCTTCACCTCCTGCACCCTCTCCCATCCATGACACTGCGGCTAACAATAAGGCTCCCGCAGTGCAGGAACGCATCAAGGGCCACAACGCTACAGCCTCTGCTTCAGTGGCCCCTTCCCCTTGCTTGTCCGAGAGTCACTCTCGCAGCCCCACAGCTAGTCCTTCGCCCTGTCCTTCGCCCTCCTTCGTCACGCTCTCTGATCTGCCCAAACCTGAAGAGGAAAGCCAGCAGCAACAGCATCGTAAGATGGGCCTTCCTTTGCCTCCCATCCCCACTTCTCCCATCCCACGCAAGATGACACGCAACCCTTTCGAACGCTACATCACTGCTCGCGACGGCAACGGAATTGGGTGTTCGGGCAGCATGACTTTACATGCTAGGCTTGCACTAGCTATGGCGAACGGCGGAAAGCATGGTCATCTCGCAGTGGATGCTGGCGAGTTCGATGAGGAAATGAACACGGTCTCTCCTACTTTGCATCGTCCTGCGTTTGTTAGCGTCAACTCTAGCAACAGCGTTGGTAGCAGGATGGATATGGTTGACTGAATCCACTTTCCCTTCGCCGGTACGCTTCAACTCTTTTCGCTTCAAGTCTCGTTCTCGTTCTCGGTCTCGGCTTCGTCTCTCAGTCATGACCATGATCAACACAACTCTGCAATCTGCGAATTGCCTCGTCCCGCTCCGTCTCGTTTTTCGCATCTTCCCAACATTGTCTCGCAAATGCTTCTGTTGATCTCTGTCACGTTTTCTGCATCTTTCCCTATTCTGTTGTCACCCTTCCTCCGCCTCCTGTCTCAGTATCTCGCTTTCAAGGCTCTAGTCGTCTCTGCTGTTCCTCAGTCACCTCTACCATCGCTCCATTGCTTTATCGTGTTTTCACCGTCACGCATGTCACTTGCTTCAATCACAGCTTTCGTCTCATCTCAATTTGAATCTGCCGTCACACTTGTTTCCGTTGCATGCCTCTTGATGAGATGTCTAGTGCTTGTATTACCGTGACTAACAAAAGCTTGAACCACAAACCTACCCTCTATCCCCCTTTGTTTCTACTCTAAACATTTCGCAAGTTCCTAGCAGCAAACTCAAAAGCGACAAAGGTAGCCGCATTAGCAAATGGACTTCTAACCAACGTCGGTAACAAACCTCTGAAGAACCCTTTCACGCCATCTCCCCTATATGTCTGTTTCACACAATCCAGAAGGCCTTTATACCTCCTATCCTCCTTCCTTAGAGCATCTGTTTGTAACTTAGACTTGATAATATCAGCCGGATAAGCTGTGAGCCAGAGACCATACCCTGCCATGGCGCCGGCAAACATTGCATATGTTCCTGGCAACTGATCCCTTGTGAGATTGCAAGATTTCAGTTTATACTGGACCAGAGCTTCGTATGTTAGGAAATACATTCCCATTCCGTGAAATTCTCTTGCGAAAGTTGGCAGTTGGCCGCGATAAACACCGCTGAAGAGGCCAGCTTGAGTTGAGATCTGTCTGATGCAATCGATTGGTCCACGGTAGAGCGGAGGTGAAGGTTGAGTTTGAAGTCGAATTCGAATATGTTCCACTGGTCCAGCGACGAATGAGTTTGCTACGCCTGCGATTCCACCTGCTAGATAAAACTGACCGTAAGACAACTCTCCAGTCAAACACCCAGCATTTTTGTTACTCTGAACAAAATATCTCTTCAGAGCCTCAACAACACCGAACTGAATGCTAACACAAGCACCAACTCCCAAAAGAGGAGTCAGAGTGCCTTTGTAGAATGCAAAAGGGCCTTCATTTTTAACGATCCGCGCAGCACAATCGGCCATACCAGTGTAGGTGCCTGGAGGGGAAGTTTGAAGTCGAACTTTGAGAATGTCGAGTGGTTGACCGACTAGGACTTGAGCTATGCCGCCGATGGTGCCGGATAAAACATCTTTCTGGCCTTGAGACAGAAGTGGGTCCTTGGGGAGGGCGTTGAGTTCTGTCATTCTGCCTACCTGTCTGAGGGAGAGTGGGAGGTGGCGATGAGGCGGAAAAGGGAGGAAGATGGAGAGGTGATCTTGATAAGCGATAAGGGTCCACACATGCTTTCTTCTGAAATCCGTTCGTGTGTGGTGTGTTGACTCGGAAGCATTCTTTTGAAGATAGATGGCCGTTTTCGATTCCCGATTCCCGATTCCCGGACCAAAAGCGGCAAGGTTTTCTACGGTTAACAAGATTGGCTTGTCAACTCCACATTTATATCACTTCGTCCTTCTTCCCCGTTACCGTCGACCACCTATCACTTCTTCTCACGATACTAGGTAGCTCCACCATCGATAGCAGTGGCCAATATACCACATTGACAGAGAAAGCACAGCTTCGAAACCAAAATGACCGTCGTCCTACCCGGAGACATCATCTCCATCGCTTCCACCTCCGCCATTAAACTCGGACCTGGTCTCCTACCCACATCTTCCACCTCCTCCTCTAACACTCCCTCCCTCACAGCCATTCGAACAGGCGCACTGGGCCATATTCCCTCCTCCTCCTCCTCCATAACCAAAAAGAAAGATCCGGAGTCCGCATTTTGGGTCGAAACCAATACCTCACGCGTACGTACTCCACCCCCCTCTTCCCTCTTCCCTCTCCCCTTCCTATTCCCCTCACTAACCCTTCCTCTCTCTGTTTCTCTTTGAACTCGTAGTACGTCCCTGCACCGGGAGACCCAGTCATAGCCCAAATCACCAACCGAGGCTCCGAATCCTACACCTTAACCCTTTTCTCTTCCCATTCCGCAACCCTCCCCGCCCTCTCCTTTGAAGGCGCAACAAAACGGCATAAGCCGAACCTCCGCATTGGATCCCTTGTCTACGCGCGGATCCTTACCGCCGATCGATTCACCGAACCTGAACTCACATGTGTCAACCCTGTTACGGGCAAAAGTGACGGTTTTGGCGATTTGAAAACCACAGATGAAAGGGGCGAGAAAAACGGAGTGGCGATGCTGTTTAGAGTCACTTTGGGTTTAGCGAAGACGCTGCTGGCAGGGAAAGGCGGTAGGGGAGGAGAAGGGTTATTGAAGTTGGTGGCGGCAGTGTTTCCTTTTGAGGCGGCTGTGGGGGCTAATGGAGTCGTTTGGGTTAGAGCGAATGAGACGAGACATGTGTTGGCTCTGGGGAAGGTTTTGTATGCTGCTGAGGTGGGGGTGACACAGCATGGGTCAGAGGTGGAAGAGGAGGAGGAGGAGGAAATGGGGGAGGCCGGGGAGGGAGAGGTGGATGCAGAGAGAGTGATTAGGAACAGAGCTAGTGGGATGGATGCTAAGCGTGTACGTGCTATTGTTAGCGAGCATTTGTAGACGTCCAGGCTAAAATTGAAACGTGGCTCACTCGTTAAGGGTTATAACATGCTTGAACGGCATGTGTGGTCAAGCGTGATAGGAAGGTGCGAGTGCAAGTCGAATGATGCAAAGTTGCTGCTGTGAGATGTCCAACGCCACTTGATCTCTAGTTTGCTAGTGCCTTAATGCACACGTGAGTGTCGTGACTCCAGAGCTGCTTCTTCAAACAAACAAGTCGAACAGTTATCTGAGAGCACGGAGACAACCAAGCATTGGTATCGCTGGTATCAGTTGCTGGAATTACAGTTAGTTTGACGAGGCGTCTGGACGATATCCTGCGAAGCGAGCTACTACTTCAGCGAGATGCCTTACGAAACTCTGATCTGTACCTGCTCGTTTCGCTTTCATCGTCGTACGTTGCTCGACGACTACAGGAACAACCTCATCAACTCAAAGAATACTGTACACCACATCACAATAAAGAAAGCAAAAATGTCAGCAACCCTCATCCCCCCTTCTCCCCTCTCTCTCCCATGATGGGTGAGGTGTGTACTTACCGCCACCAATGACAACAAAAACGATCAATCCCAGCGCAACTTTATTATTCCTCAAACGACCCCCACTCGTCATGCTAGCCAAACGGTCCTTTTTTGCAGGCTTAACAATCTGTCTTCCTTTCCTCTTCTTCGCTTCTCTAGCTTCAAAAGATTCTTCTGTTCCTCCAGCATCTTCGGCGGAAGAGTTTTTGGGGGTACGAATGCGAGGTTTACCAGCGTTTTCTCGTGCAGTAGCAGCAAACTGGGCGTTTTTCGCTTTGATGTCTTTAAACGTAGGCTAACTCCCATTCCAACCGCAAAGAGAAGAAGGGGAAAAGTGGATGAAAGTCAGCGAGAAGAAAGCAAACGAAGCGGAGAGGAAAAAAGCTAGGGAGATAAGGCTTACCATATTGAAGAAAAGGTCGAGAGGCCTATCGAGGTTGGAGATCAGAAAGGAAACAAGAGGAGCTGGGAAGATGCGAGATGGCGAGCGTGTGAACCCCACACTCTAAATTCCAGCTCCCGTGTCTGTGTTCGCGTGCTTCAACTACAGCTTTTGGGCAAAGGAAGATCTCTCGGCATCCCAACGGCCAATTCAGCCCAAGAAATTCAGTTGAAGCTATGCGATACACCTCTTCATCCGAGCCCCACTCTAGCTCCTTTCGTACTGGTGTATGGTAGATGCAATGCTTAAGATTTCTCATGAACTATGTCTACAGTATCAATTGTATATATACCTTTAGCCCACTGTTATGAGTTCCTTCCATCTCTGATTGACTGTGTGTACCATGCATTGCTTCGATGTTGTTCTCTCTCTAGTGCCTCCTGATTGGTCACCACACATCGATCATGCAGGTTCATTCTTTGAACTCTTGGTGACTTGGCCTTTATGCATGTTGGCTAGAAATCCTGGTAATTCTGTCAGATCTTCAACTCCCCCCCTCAATGGTATTCCCAGGCCAATTAGGTTTGCTAGCCACAATGTGTCTATCCCCTTGAGTGGCTTCGTCAGAATGTCTGTGACATTTTCAGCTGTTTGAACATATTCTATCATTATGTCCCCATCCTGCATGTGGTCCCTGACAAAGTAGTACCTGGTGTCAATGTGCTTTAGCTTCCAGTGTTTTGCCAGATCCTTGCTAACCTGTATGCATCCTTGACTGTCCATACAAAGCACTGGCTTAACATTCTGTTCTCCTAAGTCTCTGAGCAAGTATGAGAAGAAAAGGGCTTCTCTCACAGCCTCTGATGCTGCCACAAATTCCACCTCCACTGCTGACAGTGCTATACATTTCTGGACATGTGATCTCCAACTCACCAGACACCCAAAGACATACATGATTGTGCCAGATGTGCTTCTTGTCATGGGCCTGGATGCTCAAGAAGCAGGAGGGTCATGGGTTCATATGGAAGGAGCACAGGTATCGAAGACCTAGTCGATACCAGTAGAGAGCAGAGCATAGTGCAGTCTCCATGGAGACCATGGACTCCTATGGACTCACATGCAAAGGAGGGCCAAGCACAGCCATGAGGAGGACCAAGCTCAAGGAGCAGGCACAGCCATGAAGAGGACCAAGCTCAAGGAGCATGCAGATGGTTACCACTCAGGGGCTCGAGAGACAAGAGCCAAAGGAACTGTCACTGATCAAAGGAGGAGGACCAGTGTCGAAGGAGTTGACATCAGGTCATGAGGAGGAGGACCAGTGTCGAAGGAGTCGACACAGCTCAAGAGGCACAGGGGTGCCAAGCAGGAGAGGCCCCTGAGCAGTACTCGATGAAGAGGGTACTCTCTGGAGAGAGAGCAGGAGCAGCATCGCTGGCAATGCTGTGAAGAGGTATATAACCATGCTTTCTCATCATCATAGGTCGAGTGGATCCTCATCCACTCTACTCACCATATAACTAGTTATCACTTCAGCATAAGTATACATTAGTTTCAGTCAGCATAGCAGCAATCTATCAAGGTTGCTCCTCATCATAGTGTGTGTGTTGTATCACCACTACCTGACGTCCGAAGGCGCCCATAGCAGGTTAGCGGTCCGGATCAAGATAGAACCAAAGGCAGTAGTCCACTGCGGTCCGGGGATCACTTCAAGCATCAAGTCAACACACTGGACACTCGTGTTGACGCCACCAACCTTATCACCAACACCATCAACCTCATTATCATCGACATCACCAATCTCATCACCAACACCATCAACCTCATCATCATCAACACTCACACCAGACCTTGGTGTCATCATAACATTGATATTGATCGTGCCGAGCTACCCCTGAACAGAGTGTCCACAGAGGTCAGCCGAAACCTATGATAGTATATACAACGAATGCCACCTGCTGTCACTGCACAACTTGATAGTCACCGATACCGAGACAATAGCTGTTGCACAGTTTGATAGTCACCGAGTATCTCGACAGACTGACCTGGGTTTCAGGCGCGAGACCCCTGACACTTCTATGCCCATTTGTGGGGTCTGATGCCCAGTTGGCATCAGTATACATGACCACCAGGTCACTTGCATGTTTGTTCATTCCTCCTCCTAGCTGTAGATGGTAGTCAACCATTTGGTTGAGGTATTTCAACAGGTGTATCACTGTGCTCCAGGCACCAGTTGTTGGTGTCAACATGTGGCATGCCAAAATCCTGATGGCAAATGAAATGTCAGGTCTCGCTGTATTTGATACCCAGAGCAGTTGTCCCACAAGTTCCTGATAGTGTTTTGCTTGTTCTGGGTCACATTTGTCACTATCAGTGATCATTGCTATGCTCAACATAGGTATCCAAGACTTTTGTGTCATCCTTTCTAGCCACTTGCTCACCATCACTTGAATGTATCCTGTCAAGTCCAATGAGATCTGCTTCCAACTCTGCTCTCAGATGATGTTGATTCCAAGGAACTCCCTGATCGACCCCTTGTCCTCAGTCCCCCACTTTGCCATTATCTCTGCTTTGGTGCAATTTACTTCTTCTCTGCTTGGTGATGCAATCAACATGTCATCCACATATGCTGTTATGACCATAATCTGCTTTCCTGAGCCTCTTGTGTACAAGCAAGGTGCACTTGGCATACAATGAAATCCTATCTTCTGTAGATGAGAGTCCAACTTGGTGTTCCATTCCCTACCAGACTGTTTTAGACCATACAGCCCTTTGATCAATCTCAATACCTTTCCTGAGGGTATTTCTGTTCTGACCAGTGGTTTCAGATAGATGTCATGATGCAAGCTTGAATTTAGATATGCTTGCTTTACATCAACAGTGTCTACCTCCCAGTCTCATATTGCTGCCACTGCCAGTACTCCTCTAATGGATTGGATTGGCACCACCAGCATGAATATCTCCATATAGTCAACTCCTTCTCTCTGTGTAAACCCTCTAGCTACCAACCTCACTTTGAATTTCATGGGCACCATGTTTGCATCTGTCTTTATCTTGAGCACCCAGCATGTATCGATGGTGTTCATGCCAGGTGGGAGGTTGGCTATCTCCCACATGCCCATTGCTTCTAGACCTTCCAGTTCCTTTCACATCACCTCCAACCAGAACCTTCTATCCATTCTGGCTAATGCTTCCCAGACTGTGGGGTTTAGGTTCTTTTCACTTTTGGTGTCCATGGCTGCGAGTCCAAAAGACTTGCTGTTTGCCAATGCTTCGAGGTCCTGGCTTTCATCCATGTTCACAGTTGGCTCCATGTCTGTGTATTCACTTAGTGATTCCTGGTTCATTTCATCAAATAGATTCACTTCCAAGTAACCCAAGTTCTTGACATCTTCTTTGTGTCAGGGGTCTCGCGCCTGAAACCCAGGTCGGTCTGTCGAGATACTCGGTGACTATCAAACTGTGCGACAGCTATTGTCTCGAGATACTCGGTGACTATCAAGTTGTGCAGTGACAGCAGGTGGCGTTTGTTGTATATACTATCGTAGGTTTCGGCTGACCTCTGTGGACACTCCGTTCAGGGGTAGCTCGGCACGATCAATATCAATGTTATGATGACACCAAGGTCTGGTGTGAGTGTTGATGATGATGAGGTTGATGGTGTTGGTGATGAGATTGGTGATGTCGATGATAATGAGGTTGATGGTGTTGGTGATAAGGTTGGTGGCGTCAACACGAGTGTCCAGTGTGTTGACTTGATGCTTGAAGTGATCCCCGGACCGCAGTGGACTACTGCCTTCGGTTCTATCTATATCCGGACCGCTAACCTGCTATGGGCGCCTTCGGACGTCAGGTAGTGGTGATACAACACACACACTACGATGAGGAGCAACCTTGATAGATTGCTGCTATGCTGACTGAAACTAATGTATACTTATGCTGAAGTGATAACTAGTTATGGTGAGTAGAGTGGATGGGGATCCACTCGACCTATGATGATGAGAAAGCATGGTTATATACCTCTTCACAGCATCGCCAGCGATGCTGCTCCTGCTCTCTCTCCAGAGAGTACTTTCTTCATCGAGTACTGCTCAGGGGCCTCTCCTGCTTGGCACCCCTGTGCCTCTTGAGTGGTGTCGACTCCTTCGACACTGCTCCTCCTCCTCATGACCTGTGTCGACTCCTTCGACACTGCTCCTCCTCCTCATGACCTGTGTCGACTTCCTGTCTCTCGAGCCCCTGAGTGGTAACCATCTGAGCTTGGTCCTCCTCATGGCTGCGCCTGCTCTTTGAGCTTGGTCCTCCTCGTGGCTGTGCCTGGTCCTCCTCGCATATGGGCTCAGTGCTCCTTTGCATGTGAATCCATAGGAGTCCATGGTCTCCATGGAGACTGCACTACGACCATGCTCTCTACTGGTATCGACTAGGTCTTCGATACCTGTGCTCCATCCATATGAACCAGTGACCCTCCTGCTTCTTGAGCATCCAGGCCCATGACACTACCCCCCTCTTAAGAGCCGAGCTCCGTCGAGGCATGCTCTGGTCTGGTTCATGCTGACTCCTCCTCTTCCTTGACAACATCGCCCCCGTCATCCTTCCTCCTTCTCTCAACGTCATCCTCCTCTCTCTACTCCTCCTGTTCTCTCTTCCTCTCTCTACTCCTCCTGTTCTCTCCTCCTTTCCCTACTTTGTCTACTCACTTGTCCCCCCTCCGACACCTCATACTCCTGGATGAGGTCGGGACAGTTGAGGTTCTCTACTGGTTCCCATGAAGCAGCTTCTTCTGAGTACCCTCTCCACAACACCTTGTACTCTGTAGTCCCATTGTGTGAACGCTTGTCGATGAGTGCTTCGACTTCGAAGTCGAGGTCCTCATCTGGAAGTGGTGGCATGGTGGGCTGTTCAGCACGTTGAGGAAGAGAACTTGTTCTTGCTGGCTCGAGCATGGAGACATGGAACACATCATGCACCCTAAGGTTTGCTGGCAATGTGATTCGGTAAGCTCGGCGTCCTACCCGTTCCTGAACTGGGTAGGGTCCTGCAAACCGGGTATCCAACTTGGGTGTGGGTCTCCGTGTCTTCCAGTTTCGGCGGTTGATATAGACCATATCACCCACCTTAAACTCAATGTCCTTGTGCTTCCTGTTATACTGGTCTACTGATCTACGTTGTGCCTCTCTGATCTGCTCCTGGAGGTACTTGCAACGCTCCTTTCCATCCATGAGGTACTCGAAGCGACCTGGATCATTGACTCCTAGTCGTTGAGGGATGTCAGGATGAGCTTTGGGGTTCCATCCATAGCATGCAAAGAATGGTGAGACACCAATGCTGTTGTGGACCGTGTTGTTGTATACAAAGGCCGCAGTGTCCAGCAGGTTGGCCCAGTCATTCTGCTCATAGTTGCAGTACATCCTGAGATATTGCTCTATGACCTGATTGACTCTCTCTGTCTGACCATCAGTTTGAGGATGGTAAGCCGTGCTAAGTGAGTGCTTCACACCCATTTGCTCTGCAAATGCCTTCCATGCTCCTGATATGAACTGCCTGCCTCGGTCCGAGACCATGTGATCTGGATATCCAAAGAGTCTAACCATGTGTCCATATAGCAATACTGCAGTCTGTTTGGCCGTGACTGTCTTATGGGTTGGAGCTAGTATGACAAACTTGGTTAACCTGTCGACGATGACTAGGATAGAGTCATAGGTCTTGGAGTCATACTTCTTTGATGGTGGTAGTCCTTCAATGAAGTCGAGGGATATGGAGCCCCAGGGCCTGTCTGGGGTTGCTAGTGGCTGTAGCAAACCATATGGACGATGACGAGGAGCTTTGTACCTAGCACATACAGGACAACTTGCTACATAGTCTGCAATCCAAGCTGTCATGTTTGGCCACCAGTAATGTCGTTGAGCTGCCTTGATGGTAGCATCTCTTCCTACGTGTCCAGCAGTGATACCATCATGACATTGGGTCATCACCATGAATCGCAGATGCTCTACAGAGAGAGACTGTCCATCTACCTCTTTGGCACTCCTTGAGTGTCGGTTGTTGGTCCTCCCTGGCATGATCACCTTGGGGATAACCAACCTTCCTCCACTGTACCATAGGTCATCCTTGAGTTCGAAAGGCTTCTTCCTATGTATCTCCTGTAGCTCTTGGTCTAAAGGCTGGAAGATCTTGACCAGGTCTTTGAGACCTTTTGATGCTATGGACTCCATCGAGATCATGGGGGCCACTAGGAGCGAGTCATGGTCTGCTGTCTCCTTGAACACTCGAGGAGGCAGTAGTTGCCTCACATTGTGATCCTGCTCTTCACCAGCTGGTTGCATGTCTGTCCTTCTGGTGAGAGCATCGGGTTCACCACCTTTGTCTCCTGGTCGATACTGCAATATGAAGTCGAAGTCTGCTAGTAGTATGGCCCATCGAGCCTGTCGACCTGTGATGCGTCTCTGTGACTTGAAGTACTTGAGGGCTTCATGGTCAGTGAGGATGACCAGTTGGTTCGGTAGTCCAGCTAGCATGTGTCGCCACTGAGTGAGGCAGGCGACCACAGCTAGGAGCTCCTTATCATGGATCTCATAGTTCTTCTCGGCAGAAGACATCTTCCTAGAGTAGAAGGCCACTGGATGCCATCGTCCTTCATGCTCCTGCTTGAGCACTCCTGCTATAGCAAAGTCACTTGCATCAGTCTCCAACCTTGTTGGAAGGTGGTAGTCGAAGTGCTGAAGCACTCCTGCTGATGTGAAGGCCTGGATGAGCTTGTGGAAGGCCTGTTGGGCCTCCTCTGGTAGCTCGAACTTCTTGAACCGTTCTATAGGCTTTACCAGTGCTGTCAAGGGCTTGGCTATGCGAGCAAAGTGGGCTATGAACCTTCGATAGAAGTTGGCAAAACCCAGGAACCTCTGGATGTCATGGATTGACTCTGGCATTGGCCACTCCTTGACAGTGCGCACCTTTTCTGGATCCATCTCTATGCCCGTTGGCTTGATGATGTACCCCAGGAACTCGACTGTCTTGGTGTGGAACTCACACTTCGACAGCTTAGCAAAGAGCCTGTTGCTCCTTAAGCGAGTGAGGACCTCGGTGACATGCTTCACATGTACCTCTTCAGTGTCACTGAAGATCAGGAAGTCATCTAAGTATACCACTACATATACTCCAATGATGTCTCGGAAGATGTCATTGATGAATGACTGGAAGTGAGCCGGAGCATTGGCTAGGCCAAAGGGCATCACTAGGTACTCATAGAGTCCCAACTGAGTGCCAAAAGCTGTCTTCCATTCATCTCCTTTAGCAATCCGGATGAGGTTGTATGCTGCTCTAAGGTCCAGCTTGGTATAGATCCTTGCCTTCCTGAGTAAGAACAGCTGCTCCTCGATGAGGGGCAATGGTGCCCTGTTCTTGACAGTGATCTCGTTGAGACCTCTGTAGTCCACACAGAGTCTGAGACCTCCATCCTTCTTTGGTACGAAGAGCACTGGTGATCATGCCGGGCTCTTCGATGGTCTTATGAACCCCTTCTCGAGGTTCTCATCCAAGTATCTCCTCAACTCGGACATCTCCTTGGGTCCCTTAAGGTATAGGGGCCCTTGAGGTGGCTTCCCTCCTTCTATCAACTCGAGGTGGAGATCATGCTCGGTATGATGGGGCAGCTTGTCTGCTTCCACCTCATCAAACACATCTTGCAGGTGTTGGTATGGCTTTGGTATGTCTGCAGCCGTCACCACCTTATCTACCTCCACCTCCATCTCGACTCCTTTGTCTGCGCCTGTAGGTACAAAACCAAAGGCCGGAAGTGATGATGGTGGCTCCTCTAACAGCATGAACCCTATGGGTCCATCTTCCAGAGCTGCTCGTAGTATGCGCTCTGCTGAGACAAACTCGTTACCATGGAGGGTTGGTCTCCTCATGGTTAGGTCCCCTGCTCTTGCTGCTTCAGGGGGTCTCCTAGGGGGTCGGTCCTGCTCCTGAGTCTTGAACTCCAGCTGGCCCGTATCCCATTGTATGGTGGGTTTGAGCCTCCGTAGCTCAGTGAACCCCAGGATGAGGTCATAGTCTGCAGTGTCGGCCACTGAAGCTTCGACCACACCCAGATTGTGTGTACCAATAGATACCTGCATGCTCGCAGAACTATTGATGGAGAGTTGGTGCCCAGTGACACCATGGATCGATCTTGTTTTTATGGGTTTTGTGGGTATTTGGTACTTACTAATGAAAGAATCTGAGACTATGGACAAACCAGCACCGGTATCAGCTAGTATCCGAGCAGGATGGTCTTGAACCATTCCAGAGAGCTCCAGTACTGCTTTGCCTCCACTGGTAGAGAAACATACTTGACAATCTTGATATATACAGAGTGATGGCGAGGAGGTTTGTAGAGCAATGCATGCCATCAGTGCATCACCCCACTGACGTTTCCCTCGTCGTCATCATCATCGTGCTCCTCCTCGTGATCGGGGTCCATGGGTTGCTGGTATGAGCTGAGGTCCATGGCCTCGGGGTCACCCATCTCAGTGCTGCCTGTGTGGCCATCTCCTGAGTCGGTGGCCTCCTCGAAGGGGTCTGCTGTGGTGACCATAACCTTTGGTCCCATGGGTCGAGAGCTAAGAGGGTCTACCCTCCTGCTGGGGCAGTCTCTGGCCCAATGGCCAATACCTTTGCATACATGACAGGTGTTGATACCTGATGGAGCAGGGCTTCCTTGCTTCGAGGGTTGGGTGGGATGATGAGGAAGGGGTCGGTTTAGGTTTTGTATAGTTGCTTGTGTAGTTGCTTGTGATGGTGATCGAGCTGGATAAGTTTGAGTGGGTTGTCGGATGGGGATCGAACTTTGATTTGGCCGAGACCCAGTTCTTAGTGGAGGTGATGTGGCGTTTGGGAGTGAGTGTCTAGCCGAGGACTGCTGTAGTAGCATCCTCTGTCGATCGATCTCCTCAACCTCTCGATACCACTCCCATCTCTTCCCAGGTGGATTCCTCTCGAACTTCTCCTGTATGCTACGAGTGAGACTACCTCTGAAGAGATCAATCACTAGCTCATTGTCATCTAGGTTGACCTGTCCTTCCAAGTCTCTGAACCGCTCTACATGACGTGTGGCAGCACCAGGAGCATCACTTGTGAGTCTGAGAGCCAACAGCTTGTTGTATGCCTCCATCCTAGCATTGCGTGGGTTGAACTGCTCTGACAGTCGCTCTGTGAAGTAGTGCCAATCATTGAACAACCTTCCTTCTCTAGCTCTATCAATACGGAGCTTGGAGGTCCACCACTCTCTTGCTGTCCCTTCCAGTTGAGCACCCATGTGATTGATCATCCTAGACTGCTCATACACCTGGTTGAACTTAAACCATGCTTCGGCTTCTAGAATGAAGATCTCCATGTCTCGGGGATTGAACTTTGGAAAGGGGGTGGCGATGGGCTTTGACCGGTTAAGCTCTGCCATGATGCTGGTATCCTCCTCATGGTCCAGGGGGTAAGGGTCCGTCCTAGTCCTGCTGTAGGGGTCCAGCTTAGTCTTGACATATCTTGGCCCAGTAGGTGAAGCATACTTCTCATAGTTGATGTCCTCCTGCTCATCCAGGTTGAATGAGACTGATCGTCTTGGTCGTGGAGCCGGAGTAGGAGTATGTGGGTCTCCTATCATAGACTCATCTCCTCCTCCTGCTTGGTCTTCTGAGTGAGAGAGGTCCATTGTCTCCTCCCTACCCAGCTGAGCTCGTTGTAGTCGTTCCTCTCGATGACCCTGCCTAGTAAGCTCTAGCTGAGCTTCCAATAGAGTGAGTAGTCTATCGAGCTTATTGTTGAGGTCTGGGTCCGTCATGGTGATCGTGAGGAGCTGCTTGAACGATCCACTCTAATGTCAGGGGTCTCGCGCCTGAAACCCAGGTCGGTCTGTCGAGATACTCGGTGACTATCAAACTGTGCGACAGCTATTGTCTCGAGATACTCGGTGACTATCAAGTTGTGCAGTGACAGCAGGTGGCGTTTGTTGTATATACTATCGTAGGTTTCGGCTGACCTCTGTGGACACTCCGTTCAGGGGTAGCTCGGCACGATCAATATCAATGTTATGATGACACCAAGGTCTGGTGTGAGTGTTGATGATGATGAGGTTGATGGTGTTGGTGATGAGATTGGTGATGTCGATGATAATGAGGTTGATGGTGTTGGTGATAAGGTTGGTGGCGTCAACACGAGTGTCCAGTGTGTTGACTTGATGCTTGAAGTGATCCCCGGACCGCAGTGGACTACTGCCTTCGGTTCTATCTATATCCGGACCGCTAACCTGCTATGGGCGCCTTCGGACGTCAGGTAGTGGTGATACAACACACACACTACGATGAGGAGCAACCTTGATAGATTGCTGCTATGCTGACTGAAACTAATGTATACTTATGCTGAAGTGATAACTAGTTATGGTGAGTAGAGTGGATGGGGATCCACTCGACCTATGATGATGAGAAAGCATGGTTATATACCTCTTCACAGCATCGCCAGCGATGCTGCTCCTGCTCTCTCTCCAGAGAGTACTTTCTTCATCGAGTACTGCTCAGGGGCCTCTCCTGCTTGGCACCCCTGTGCCTCTTGAGTGGTGTCGACTCCTTCGACACTGCTCCTCCTCCTCATGACCTGTGTCGACTCCTTCGACACTGCTCCTCCTCCTCATGACCTGTGTCGACTTCCTGTCTCTCGAGCCCCTGAGTGGTAACCATCTGAGCTTGGTCCTCCTCATGGCTGCGCCTGCTCTTTGAGCTTGGTCCTCCTCGTGGCTGTGCCTGGTCCTCCTCGCATATGGGCTCAGTGCTCCTTTGCATGTGAATCCATAGGAGTCCATGGTCTCCATGGAGACTGCACTACGACCATGCTCTCTACTGGTATCGACTAGGTCTTCGATACCTGTGCTCCATCCATATGAACCAGTGACCCTCCTGCTTCTTGAGCATCCAGGCCCATGACACTTTGTTTGGCATTGTTTGAGGTGATTGGACATTTATCAGCTTCCATTTGGTCCAATCAGACCAGTGTTTAGACTCCATGAACTTTGCCAAGTTACTCCAGAATACATTTGGTTGGTAGTCTGGACTATAGAACAACCAACCTTTTTGTTCTAGGCTATATCCTATGAAAATAGCCACCACCACTTGTTGGTCCAAATTCTTGTTGTTTCATTTTGCCTTTGGGATGTTCACCCAGGCGAGACATCCAAAGACATGGAGAAGTCATATGAGTCTTTTGGGTGATCTCTTGAACATCACTTCATATGGGAACTCATTGTCAGCATTTGAAGTAAGGTTTATCTTGAATGCTGCTGCTTTGATTGTGTACAGCCAGAAACTCTTTGGTAGTCCCTGTTGTACCAGTAAGGTATGCATCTTTTCACTCAAGCTTCTGTCATCCATTCCACCCTACCATTTTGTTTGCTGCTGTACCCCACTGTTGTTTGCCATTCTATTCCTTTGTCTTGTGACCATTCAAGAGCTTCGTTGCTTCTCCACTCTGTTCCTTGGTCTGATCAAATTGCCTTTAAGCTTCTTCTGGTCTGTGTCTCAAGGAATGAGATGATTCTCCTGAGCTGTGTGAAAGCTTGGCTCTTTTGCAACAATGGCTGTGCATAAATGTACTTGCTGTGATTGTCGATGAGCACCAGGATGCAGGTGTGTTTGGTCACATGCAACACATTGATGATCAAGTCTATATGTACAAGGTCGAGAGGTGCAGCAGCTCTTTCTCCACTGCCTTGCCCCATTCTTGCAGCTGTACTTTTGGACTGTATACACTGCTCACATGTCAGAGCTGTGTCTGGGTCCATATCCATTTGAATAGTACTTTCTATCTTCTTTATAATAGACTTGGCTTTGTCTCTACCTGGATGTCCAAGGTGCTCATGCCAAAGTTGCTGTGTGGAAATGGTATTCTTCTTTGTGATCAGCTCAAACTCTTCATCAACACCCTCAAACAGCTGTGCTGATGTAGTCATTGCACTTTCCTTCCATGCTTCACTTTGCAACTCTAGCAAGCCACACTCACTGTTCTTTGATACCTTGATTGATGTTCCATTTGCCAGGTATATCTGTCTGCCGGTATGGTCCAAGATCACTTGTGCTCCCTCATCTGTTAATGTGTTGGTTGACAATAGATTCACATTGAGATTCTTAACATACAAAATGTTCTGGAGTAGTGTATCTCCATATTCAGTTGATATGATGGCATCTCCTACAGCACTTGCATCCAAAACCTCCCTTCCAGCCATGAAGATATGTTTTTGGCAAGTTCTTGGGTTCACAAGTGTGCTATAGTTATTGGTCATGTGAAAACTGGCTCCCAAATCCAGAATCCAATGAGTTGTTTCTTCTGGGTTCGGTGTCTTCTTCCAACTTGGTGTGAGGGAACACCAAGCATCCTATTTGGAGTTGGTGAGTGGAGAGTCTTTGGGGATGGTAACAGATGCATTGCATTTGCCTGCTCCATGACCAACTCACCTGCATACAAAACACCAGATCTTTCATCATCTGTATCTGGTCTTGGCAGTTTCATCGCCATCATTGTTATCAGTTTCTTGAGCCAATTTGTCCTGGTCACCATCACTGGCTGTCCTAGCATAACCTTGCTGAGGATCGAGCTTCTGGGTGGGAGTGCTCTCCAATGCTGATTGACATGTGCTGAGTGTGGTGGCCAGTGCCTCGAAGCTAAGTTTGTGGACAGTGGTGACTGTTTCTCTGAACATTGGGTGGTGAATCATGCATTTCTGGAGAGCCGAGAATAGGGTGTTGTAAGCGGTCACGCGCCAGAGACTTAGTTTTGGGGTGCTATTGAGTTTGATTGAGTAAGGTCTACTCAATATGTTTCACCTAAACATAACCAAGTGTCACTGCCTGGTAAGTCTCAACTGACCACCTTGAACACTCTGCTCAGAGGTTGCACAGCACAAATGTTGTTTGTTGGCAAGTGGGTGATACACCCTCTCCTACAGTACAAGTGTTTGTAGTACTGTTGGTAATGCTCTTGGACATTGTCTGGACCATGATATGCTAATCGCCTACAGAGGATGGGAGTTACTGGACCACAGGTGTGAATCACCACCTTCAATAACTGACTGGACTGCTGGTGTCAAGCAACACTGCCTACAGCAAGGGACTGGACCACAGGTGTTGAAGAACACCACCTTCAGTAAGGAACTGGACTGCTAGTGTTGAAGAACACTGCCTACAGTTGTCAACTAATGGTGATACAACACACATGTTGAGAGTCATTGCAAGAGCACTGCTATTGTGAAGGTATGTAACTGAGTAAGTAAGTAGTAATAAGTAAAGTATAGAGTGGATAGATCTCCACTCGTATGCTTTGGTGAGGTGAGAGTATTTATGCATTCGGTTGGTGTTGCCCACAATGCCTATCCTGCTCTTCTTGAGGGGCCTGTCATGGGCCTGAATGCTCAAGAAGCAGGAGGGTCACTGGTTCATATGGAAGGAGCACAGGTATCAGAGATCTAGTTGATACCAGTAGAGAGCATGGTCATAGTGCAGTCTCCATGGAGACCATGGACTCCTACAGACTCACATGCAAAGGAGGACTGGGCCCATATGCGAGGAGGGACAGGCACAGCCACAAAGAGGACCAAGCTCAAGGAGCATGCAGACAGTTACCACTCAGGGGCTCAAGAGACAAGAGTCAAAGGAACCATCACTGGTCAAAGGAGAAGGAGCAGTGTATAGGGAACCGGCAAGCAGGTCCTGAGGAGGAGGAGCAGTGTCGAAGGAGTCGACACAGAGGCACAGGGGTGCCAAGCAAGCAGGATAGCTCAAGGAGGACAGGAGTGGTGCTAGAGGGGCCCCCTGTACAGTACTCAATGAAGAAGGTACTCTCTGGAGAGAGAGAGCAGGAGCAGTGTCGCTGGCAATGCTGTGAAGAGGTATATAACCATACCTTCTCATCATCAAAGGTTGAGTGGATCCTCATCCACTCTACACACACATCATAACTAGTTATCACTTCAGCATAAGTATACATTAGTTTCAGTCAGCATAGTAGTAATCTATCAAGATTGCTCCTCATTGTAGTGCATGTGTTATATCACCACTACCTGATGTCTGAAGGCAGTTCATAGCAAACCAGTGGTCCAGATTAAGATAGAACTGAAGGCAGTAGTCCACTGCAGTCTGGGGATCACTCCAAGCATCAGTCAACACACTGGACACTCATGTTGATGCCACCAACCTTATCACCAACACCATCAACCTGATTATCATCAACACTCACCAACCTTATCACCAACACCATCAACCTCATCATCATCAACACTCACACCAGACCTTGGTGTCATCATAACCTACATATTGATATTGATCATGCCAAGCTACCCCTGAATGGAGTGTCCACAGAGGTCAGCCAAAACCTATGATAGTATATACAACGAATGCCACCTGCTGTCATCATGCAACTTGATAGTTGCCAAGTGTCATGGGCCTGGATACTCAAGAAGCAGGAGGGTCACTGGTTCATATGGAAGGAGCACAGGTATCGAAGATCTAGTCGATACCAGTAGAGAGCATGGTCGTAGTGCAGTCTCCATGGAGACCATGGACTCCTACAGACTCACATGCAAAGGAGGGCCAAGCACAGCAACGAGGAGGACCAAGCTCAAGGAGCAGGCACAGCCACGAGGAGGACCAAGCTCAGATGGTTACCACTCAGGGGCTTGAGAGACAAGAGTCATAGGACACTGGCAAGCAGGTCCTGAGGAAGAGGAGCAGTGTCGAGGGAGTCGACACCAGGTCATGAGGAGGAGGAGCAGTGTCGAAGGAGTTGACACCAGGTCATGAGGAGGAGGAGCAGTGTCGAAGGAGTCGACACCACTCAAGAGGCACAGGGGTGCCAAGCAGGAGAGGCCCCTGAACAGTACTTGATGGAGAAGGTACTCTCTGGAGAGAGAGCAGGAGCAGCATCGCTGGCGATGCTGTGAAGAGGTATATAACCATGCTTTCTCATCATCAAAGGTTGAGTGGATCCTCATCCACTCTACTCACCATAACTAGTTATCACTTCAGCATAAGTATATATTAGTTTCAGTCAGCATAGCAGCAATCTATCAAGGTTGCTCCTCATCATAGTGCATGTGTTGTATCACCACTACCTGACATCTGAAGGTGCCCATAGCAGGTTAGTGGTCCGGATCAAGATAGAACCAAAGGCAGTAGTCCACTGCAGTCTGGGGATCACTTCAAGCATCAAGTCAACACACTGGACACTCGTGTTGACGCCACCAACCTTATCCCAACACCATCAACCTCATTATCATCAACACCCACCAACCTTACCACCAACGTCATCAACCTCATCATCATCAACACTCACACCAGACCTTGGTGTCATCATAGCATTGATATTGATCGTGCCGAGCTACCCCTGAATGGAGTGTCCACAGAGGTCAGCCGAAACCTATGATAGTATATACAACAAATGCCACCTGCTGTCACTGCACAACTTGATAGTCACCGATACCGAGACAAAAGCTGTCGCACAGTTTGATAGTCACCGAGAATCTCGACAGACCGACCTGGGTTTCAAGCGCGAGACCCCTGACACCAAGCAACTAGCTCATCAAGACCGATACCGAGACAATAGCTGTTGCACAGTTTGATAGTCACCAAGTATCTCGACAGACCGACCTGGGTTTCAGGCGCGAGACCCCTGACAGGGCCTTCATCCCTTGTTCGACACTGCTCCTGTCCTGCTAGCATCAATCCATTGATACTGCACTCCCACCATTGGCATGGCATAAGGGTTTATGTGGTACTGCCCTCTCACCTTCATGCTCCTCTTCTGCCTGATGGTATGTGATGGCCTCCTTGTGACACAGCTCCTTCTCGACTTTGTCTTGTGAATCACCTCAGCCACTTGTTGAACCTCATGACTGAACCCCTTGGTCATGTGGTCACTGGTGTGCTTGGTTTTGTGTGACATACACCCACACCCTTGAATCCCATGACCAAACCCCTTGGTCATGTAGTCACTTCATGTGCTTGGACCTGTGTGACATATGCCCATACCCTTTAAGCAGTAACCATCTGAGTGATACTGAGCCCCTAGTTCTAGCATGTGTTGGCTGACTTAGTTGAGGCATGCTGATCCAACTGATCCCCAATGAGATCCATCTGGGACCCAGAGTTTGATCGATCTCATCAGCCCGATTAATCTCATTGATCCCAAATGATTCAATGCTGATCAAGCTGGCACACCCTTCATATATTGCTCTGTTGCACAACCTTCATGTAATGCTCCATTGCACAACCTTCATATGATGCTCTGTTGCGCAACATTCCCATGGCTGCCATTGATCAATTTGGCGCACTCTTTTGCACTATCCTGCTGGCCCTGTGACAGGTGTCATCTGTGAATGGTCTTCCCAGGATGCTTCCTTCGGCCTGGATAGTTCTGATTTCTTGTATCAGCTTCCAAGCATTGGAATGGAACATCTTGATATCACCCAGCTGAGTGATCAGAGCAAGCCAGCAGGAGGTTCTGGTGGCTTTGTCACCTAACCTTGCTTCTATCTTACTCCAGACTTGATGAAATGTAAGGTACTCTCTTATTATGTCTAAAAGAAGGTAGTTTACATTACACTCTCCTATGGTGTCAATGGTTCCATGTAAGGCATTCATCAATGCATCATCAAATAAGCAACTCCATTTGGGATGATTTGCATCATATGTTCCTTCGAGGTGTTACATGGCATAAGGCACTGATCAGAGGAAAGACTTTACATGTGCACTCCAGCTGTAGTAATTCTGGGTAGTAAGCTTTGGCACCAGTTCAAGGAGTTTGCTTAAGGTGCAAAAACTGTATCATTTGCCAATGTCATCATCATCCAATTCATCTTCAGGGTCATCATCGATCTCATTGTCATCATTGGCTATATTTCCGGTTTGTGTCTGTTGGACAATTGTCACCTTCTTGGTCCTTTTAGACCTCTTGGTGGCCTTGCTGGTGTCATGGGCCTGAATGCTCAAGAAGCAGGAGGGTCACTGGTTCATATGGAAGGAGCACAGGTATCAGAGATCTAGTCGATACCAGTAGAGAGCATGGTCGTAGTGCAGTCTCCATGGAGACCATGGACTCCTACAGACTCACATGCAAAGGAGGACCAGGCCCATATGCGAGGAGGGCCAGGCACAGCCACAAAGAGGACCAAGCTCAAGGAGCATGCAGACAGTTACCACTCAGGGGCTCGAGAGACAAGAGTCAAAGGAACTGTCACTGGTCAAAGGAGAAGGAGCAGTGTATAGGAAACTGGCAAGCAGGTCCTGAGGAGGAGGAGCAGTGTCGAAGGAGTCGACACCACTCAGGAGGCACAGGGGTGCCAAGCAAGCAGAATAGCTCAAGGAGGACAGGAGTGGTGTGTCAGGGGTCTCGCGCCTGAAACCCAGGTCGATCTGTTGAGATACTCGGTGACTATCAAACTGTGCAACAGCTATTGTCTTGGTATCTGTCTCGACAAGCTAGTCATTCAGTGACTATCAAGTTGTGCAGTGACAGTGGGTGGCATTCTTTGTATATGCTATCATAGGTTTCAGCTGACCTCTGTGGACACTCCATTCAGGGGTAGCTTGGCATGATCAATATCAATACATAGGTTGTGATGACACCAGGGTCTGGTGTGAGGGTTGATGATGATGAGGTTGATGGTGTTGGTAATAAGGTTGGTGAATGTCGATGATAATGAGGTTGATGGTGTTGGTGATGAGGTTGGTGGCATCAACACAAGTGTCCAGTGTGTTGACTTGATGCTTGAAGTGATCCCTGGACCGCAGTGGACTACTGCCTTTGGTTCTATCTGTATCCGGACTGCTAACCTGCTATGGGGCGCCTTCGGATGTCAGGTAGTGGTGATACAACACACACACTACGATGAGGAGCAACCTTGATAGATTGCTGCTATGCTGACTGAAAACTAATGAGTACTTATGTTTCTAAAGTATTGACTAGTTGTATGGTGAGGGTAGAGTGGATGAGGATCCACTCGACCTTTGATGATGAGAAAGCATGGTTATATACCTCTTCACAGCATTACCAGCGATGCTGCTCCTGCTCTCTCTCCAGAGAGTACCTTCTTCATCGAGTACTGTTCAGGGGCCTCTCCTGCTTGGCACCCCTGTGCCTCTTGAGCTGTGTCGACTCCTTCGACACTGCTCCTCCTCCTCATGACCTGCTTGCTGGTGTCCTATACACTGCTCCTTCTCCTTTGACTGGTGACAGTTCCTTTGACTCTTGTCTCTCGAGCCCCTGAGTGGTAACTGTCTGCATGCTCCTTGAGCTTGGTCCTCTTTGTGGCTGTGCCTGGCCCTCCTTGCATATGGCTCAGTCCTCCTTGGCATGTGAGTCTGTAGGAGTCCATGGTCTCCATGGAGACTGCACTACGACCATGCTCTTTAATGGTATCGACTGGATCTTCGATACTTGTGCTCCTTCCATATGAACCAGTGACCCTCCTGCTTCTTGAGCATCCAGGCCCATGACATGGTGCTAGAGGGGCCCCCTGTACAGTACTTGATGAAGAAGGTACTCTCTGGAGAGAGAGAGCAGGAGCAGCGTCACTGGCGATGCTGTGAAGAGGTATATAACCATACTTGCTCATCATCAAAGGTTGAGTGGATCCTCATCCACTCTACATACACCATAACTAGTTATCACTTCAGCATAAGTATATATTAGTTCCAGTCAGCATAGTAGTAATCTATCAAGGTTGCTCCTCATTGTAGTGCATGTGTTGTATCACCACTACCTGATGTCCAAAGGTGGCCCATAGCAGGTCAGCAGTCTGGATATAGATAGAACCAAAGGCAGTAGTCCACTGTGGTCCAGGGATCACTTCAAGCATTAGTCAGCACACTGGACACTTGTGTTGATGCCACCGAACTACCACCAATGCCACCAACCTTATCACCAACACCATCAACCTCATCATCATCAACACTCACACCAGACCTTGGTGTCATCATAACCTACATATTGATATTGATCATGCCAAGCTACCCCTGAACAGAGTGTCCACAGAGGTCAGCTGAAACCTATGATAGTATATACAATGAATGCCACCTGCTGTCATTGTGCAACTTGATAGTTGCTGAGTGATGTAGCTCATCAAGACCAATACCAAGACAATAGCTGTCACACAGTTTGATAGTCACCAAGTATCTCAACAGACCGACCTGGGTTTCAGGCACGAGACCCCTGACAGCTGGCACCAGCTTGAAGGTCGGTGTCATCCACCATGACTAGCTTTGGTGGAGAGGTTTCAGACTCTTAATCAGTTGAAGCTATGTGATACACCTCTTCATCCGAGCCCCACTCTAGCTCCTTTCGTACTGGTGTATGGTAGATGCAATGCTTAAGATTTCTCATGAACTATGTCTACAGTATCAATTGTATATATACCTTTAGCCCACTGTTATGAGTTCCTTCCATCTCTGATTGACTGTGTGTACCATGCATTGCTTCGATGTTGTTCTCTCTCTAGTGCCTCCTGATTGGTCACCACACATTGATCATGCAGGTTCATTCTTCAAACTCTCGGTGACTCGGCCTTTATGCATGTCGGCTAGAAATCCTGGTAATTCCGTCGGATCTTCAACTAATTCTCCGAGCCACGTCACGACTCTTGCCCCCCTCACACAGAAACACGCTCACATCTCCTCATACCGTGGCTCAACGACGCACACAACTCATGGTACGATTTCATCAGACTTTGCTATTCCACGCTTCGAATCATTTGACGCTTTAAGCTCTGTCACTCATCAGCTCCCTCTTCATCATCATCAAACATCTCATCCCTACTATCAGGATACGAATTCGCACCATCCCTACCACCATGACTCGGATAATGAAACTGTTGTGTCGATGGTGCACTAAGCCCATACCCTCTCTTTCCACCATCACCGAAAGCACCACCTCCTCCACCACTTACACCCATTAACCTATTCGCAGTGCCCGTCAACGGTCTTGTCGAGCTGGACCTAAACCCAACAGCACCAGCAGTAGACTGTGACTGAAGTGACATCGGCACCGCTGCCGCGGCCGCTTGATGTTGTTGGGCAGGAGAATGAGTGGTGGTACGCCAAGGACTATGTGAGCCTCTACCACGTGTGCTTGCTCCAACTTCTTGACCAAAGTTACGTGACATTTCGGCATCCGCACGTCGTCGTTCTGCCTCCAGAGCTCGTTCTCGCTCCCATCGATCTGCTGCATGCCAATCGTGCGTTCTACCCTCGCGATGTGCTCCGACGGGGAAAGTTGCACCCATACCGCCTTCCACCCCGCCTCCAAAGGTTGAGGTGACTGCATCTGCCGGCCGAACAGCTGTACCCGTGCTAGTCTCTTCGTCTGCGACCATCTCCATCTCGCCTGGCAGTTCGTCTTCGGGATCGTAGTCCGCTTGACCATCGACTCTGAACATAAGATCGCCCTCTGCTTCGTACTCTGGCATCTGGTTCGAATCCACAGCATTTGGCACAACAGACTGAGTCGAGGTGACCTCAGCGGGGTCAAGTGACAATCGTGACCCTTGGTCTGCTGCCAGCCCTGAAGCGCTCGCGGCACGCATCGTACTGGTACCATAGGCACGCACTTGTTGAGGTACTGCACTGTGAGACCGTAATCCGGCATCGCCGGACACAGTCCTTGAGATAGTACCGGGATTCGAGACTCGACTGATGGGAGTGTCAGTCACGAGATCAGCCTCCTTTCCAGCACTTCCTCTACCTTTGCCTAGAGTTGCTGCAACCTGTGCGGCTGTAAGAGGCTGTGAGGACTGATCGTTCTGAGATGCTAAGGGTCGACTGCTTGCTGGCCCCGTTGAAGGAGAAGCTCTATGTCGGGTATCATTTGAGGCAGCGACATCTGACGACGTTTCGCCGCTTGCCGACGAGCTCGTCTCCTTCGAGCCCAGAATGCCGACAGACTCGGCCATTCGACTGAGCAGCTCATCCAGCTGGCTGCGTGACATTGGATTGGCAGTACGAAGTACCGCGCCCGATCGAAGACCGCTGCCGGAAAGCGAAGAGGGTCGGTCCTGGCCTAGATTGGACTGCACTGATTCTGTAAGCGCGTCAGACGCAGGACCTGCGCGACCGCCTGCTCCACCTCCTTCTTCAGGTGTACTGCTCAATCCAGGAGCATTCCTTCGCTCGTTCCTCGAGCTAGTCAACTTGCCCATCGATGAAGCGCCAAAGGTTGGTCGAGTCTCTAACAGCCGCACAAGATCATCCATATCTTCATCGTGACTCCTCGGACTCGGGGTCAGACCGCCCGTTTGCGAAACACTTGCACCCGGATTCGATCGCAACCGCGAAGCAGACGAAGCAGTCGCTGCAGCCGTAGCATCATCGAGACTCGAGGTCCTTGCAAATGCCCCACCTGTACCGAGACCTTGACGCTGCTCCATCCTAGAAACCCAGCTCCGGCCGTACGCAGAGCTCAAGCTTCCGCCACCACCAAAGCGCGGATAACTCGACGGCTCAGCACCTGCACCGACAGATCCAGATCCTTCCGAGCCCAGACTGCTGCCATAGATGCCAGAGCGTTCCCGATTCTGCCGGTATGAAAAGTTGGTGCTGTAGCGTTTGATCAACTGCGGCTTGGCTGCGGCCGACGATGCCGTTATGCTCGTAGCAAAGGCAAATCCAGATCCTGCATCGCTAGTGCTCGAGTTTCTTCGAACGCTAGAGTTCCTCGGACCTGTGCCCAGATTGGAGGGCGAGTAGCTGCCTTGTGCAAAGACGCTGGTTGAGGTGGGCGGTGTTCGTGCAATGGAAGCGGTGGAGACATTCTGTGATCGGGGCACGTAGTTCTGGAAGACACTACGAAGGCTCGGTGTGGCGAGGACACCGGTGCCCGACATGGATGATCGCAGGCCAGAGCCTGGCACACTCCTGAACGACGACGACACCGACTGAGAAGCGGAAGGAGCCAAGCCTTGTCCGCCAGCTGACCTTGGCCCTGGCATCGACATCTGCTGTGCCAGTGGAGAAGGTGACGAAGAACTGAAAGAGACACTGGGTCGAGGCTGAGAAGATGGTGGCCCCATGTTGCCAGCCATCGATCCGCTGAAGCCACTTGTTGTCCGTGTCGTGAGCGAAGGCCCTGTCGCGCTAGTCGAGAAGGCTCCAGATGCGCTTCTTGGCGCGTTTGTGCCTGCTTCTGGGAGCTCAAGAGTAGCAGCTGCAGGCGACACGGGCGGACTAGGCTGCCCACTCGAAAGACCACTTAGCGTTCGAAGCCGTCTTTCACTGGTGCTGGGTCTGCGTACAGAGCTTGGGACAGCGAAAGCCGGTTCTGCACTCAATGCTGCGGCTAATGCGGGACTCGAAGGTGCTGCAGGTGTAGTGGCAGGACTCATGAGAGAGACGTTGCTTTTGGTGGAGCTCGCTCTCCTGAAGCTCGAAAGACCGGCCGAGTGACGGCCGGATGCGCTTGTGCTGAAAACGCTGGTACTTGCAGGCGACTGAGACAGCATTGCCTCGGTACTAGCTGGTGTTACGTCAGGCGAGTATCTTTGAGCAGCTAATGTTGCTGGTCTTGCAGCCGAGATACCTCCGATTCGCTGCTGTACTGGTGCTGGAATCGGCGATTTGGTGGGCTGCGTAGTGCGGTCTTCCGATGCTGGTTGGACCTCCGTTCCAGGAGGAGACGCTGCTGATATTGTTGACGGCTTTGACAGTTGGGAAGGGATTCGCTCAGCAGGATGAGTAGTTCGAAAATAGTCTTCGTCCAGATCGACTTTGATATCGTTGGCGTTGCGCAAACTTTCTGCATCTTCGATTGAGAAACCAGTTAGCTTGCGGTAGGTGACCGAGAGCTCGAGGTAGCCGACAGGAGTGGCGATCGGTGGCAAAGTGCGTGTCGCGTAGTGGCCATGAGACGTGTATTGACCGTCGTTGATGGGATCTGCCTCATTTTGCTTGAAGAAAGAGAGGTCTCCCTCCGCTGGCAAGGCATGAGAAACACTGACCTCGTCGGGCAAGGCAGATTGCTTTTGCTCTGCCACGGGAGAAGCCATGTCGAGTCTGCAACCGACTGTCATTTCTGCATCATAGGAACCCATGTCCTCCCGTGCTGCTAAGGACGGATGGGAAGGATGTGATATCTTGCTGCGATCATCGGCAGAGGCTTTAAGCGCTTCAATCTTGGCCGAGAGGTGATTCGCGGGAAGAGAGCAGAGCAATGTGAAAAGCGCACGGAAGTGCACGACGGAGCGTTTGTAGAAGGTGGACAGATCTGGTGGGTCAGAAGGCTGTGTTGACTGAAAGCACAACCTCCACCGCTCAAGCACAATCCTCTGAGGCCGTGGCGATGATGGCGAGGAAGCAGGCTCGCCAGGTCTCCTGCCGTCAATGCAGATACGACTGCTTGATGCATGAGATTGAGAGAAGCGAGTGGAGCCAGGCGGTGAAGGTTTGGTAAGAATGAGGATCTCGTGCCGTTCGGACACCGTTGAGAGATCGAGCAAGACGTCCACGAGCAGATCAGGAACTTCAGACAAACGCGACAATGACTCGTCATCGAGAGAGTCTATGCCCATCAAAGAAGTGACTGAGCGCCAAAATCGAAGCTCCTCTTTGAACAGATCGCTGTCTGGGATATGGAGACCGAACCATCTTGACAGCTTGGTCTGCGAGGACGAGCCTGCTGCCGATGTAGGCCGCTGCTCGGTGGGGGAAGCATCAAAAGGTGGTGTAGCCAGCAAAAGGGGACGCAGATGCGCAAGACGAGACTGGATAATGAGGTTGGCTGTGGTGGTGTAAAAGTGGTAAATGACGCCGTCGAGCTTGGTCAACTGCGATGCCGCAGTCTGAGAGGGCCGTCTCTGCATCGATGCCTGCGCTTCATTTTGCTGTTCTTGATGTCGCGGTTGCTGTTGCTGCGGATCGAACGCTTGAGAAGGGTCGGGAGGAGGTGCGATGGATGATGACGAGGTGGGTTGACGCGAATGGGCGGTACTCGAACGGCGTTGCTGTGCGTTATCGTGCTGTGACTGCATTCAAAATCGTCGCAGTTGGGGGAGCCGACGCTGGCAACGACTCAGCGATGACGCCAACGGCTTTGGAGGCGGTTGATCGTACCGAGCTGAGCCGATCAATGACTCAGGCTCCGGATTGGCCGACGAGGATCTGAGCACAAGCCTTGCCGGACTCGATGTGCCGAGCGTCACAAGGTGGCACGTCTGGGTTGTTTGGATTCGATAGGTACAGCCTGTGCCCTTCGAGGTTGAGGTTGTGGAGAGAAGTGGCAGTGATGATGGTATTGATAATGACGATGGCAGTGCTGAGTTCAGTTCAAGTCAATTTGTTAACCGGCGATAGTGATGATCGACGCTCGAGCCATTTCTCTAAAGTGTTCGGCGCGTCCTCTCGAACCCGTGCTGACACTTTACTTTTGGCTGGCTTGCTTGACTGGGATAAGCCGAGCCAAGTCAAGTGGAGCACAAAAGCTGAGGCGGAAATTGGCCGTGCGTGGATTTACCGTGTGGAGCTCTCTCTCTCCACACACGCATATCAGACGCCAGCCAGTTGAAGGGTGTGGCTTTGATTTTGGTCAAATCACGTGATGTCCACCCACATTGACGCGGGAAAGTCGTGCGGTGGGGCAGTCTGAGAGTTTTGTGTGATTTTTGGAGCTCTTCTGTGACCATATGCGCGTTGAACTCGATTCTCTCGTAATTCTGTGTGGAGACTCGCTGCGCAAGGCTTTCATCAAGCTTGCTATAACTGAGGCATCCATCTTCTTGACAACCAAGTCTCTCACCACAGCCACCCTTTCAACACAAGCAGAGCCTCCATACATCTTCTCGGCAAGTCGAGCGCAGCACGATCGACAGGACCTGCTCGTCACGATGATGCCGTCAAGAGGCTTCGTCCTCTCCGAGAACCAGGCCTTTGCCGGTCAGACGAGGACGCCAGGTGCATCTCGCCTCTATGCTTCACCAACACGAAAGGCGATGACGACAGGCAAGCGAGCGCTGGGACAGTCATCCAGCCTCTTTGGACAAGAGATGGCCTCGGCTGGACCGAAGCAGCTTTTCCAAGACCTCATGTCGTCCAAGTCGCCTGTCAAAGCTCTGGGTAATCGCAATGCTGCCAAGACGCCTGGCCCTTCAAGGTCAGCGTCGGGCAAGCAGGACGGCTCGCTTCGCAAGGGCAAGGGAGCCGGCAACTCTCCCACCAAGAAGGGGTCTAGCGAGCTCAGTCCGCGCAAAGCTAGCACATCAAACGCACTCCGCTCGATCAACGGCAAGCAGCGACAGAATGTAGACCTGCCTTTCAGCAAGCCAGGCCAGGGCTCGACCAAAGATGGAGGCAGCAACATGATGATGATCAAGACACCGGCACCGACGCAGCTCAATGGCAAGGCAAGGACCATGAGCCATCAGAAGGGCTTTGTCACTCCAGCCGCCAACATCGGACGTGCTGGCCAGATCAAAGCACGCATGGGTGAGATTCTGGATGCAGAGATGGGCCTCTCACTGCAAAAGGCAGAGAATCTTACCGAGCAAGTCACCGAGGAGCCAGCAGTGCAGATGACTGAAGAGGAAATGTATCCCGAGATCGAGTACATGCCGCCTAGATCCAAACATGCCGTCTTTGAGTTTCCTGATGAGCTCGAGGATCTACCAAGGGCCAAAGAGATTGGTGCACAGCTTTGCAAGTTTTCTACGATCAATCTCCGAGCAGCCGGCCCAGAGGATCTCAGCGACATGGCGCTCGGGCCAATAAAGTTGGCGGATGATGATGACTTGCTGTCGCCAGCATTTGGAGTGGACAGCGAAGATGATGATCCCTGGCCGAATGTGCCTGTTGAGGAGGAGCCTGGATCCTGTTCGACTGCTCCGGGTGGCGCTATCGGCAAGGCTCCGACATGGACAAAGGTGGCAACACGTCCTTCAGTCTCAGTGCAACCCAAATCGACGAACGGCGCTCGCATGGCAACCACCGCGGCTCGCCCATCCGCAGCACCTCTGACCAAGCGACCAATGTCTAGCGGGACAAGAGCACCAGTATCAAGTGCGAGTGCGAGTGCGAGTGCGAGTGCGAGTGCGAGTGCGAGTGCGAGTGCGAGTGCTACCGTTCGAAGCGTTCCTGGCAAAGCTGCAGGTCAGCCTGTCACTCGCTCTACTGGTCTGCAGCGCTCTATCGCGGCAGCCCCTGGCAGTCGAGGCGGAGTTAGTATCACCGGCTCTGCATCACGTGCTGCTGGAATTGCTATGCGGCCAACAGCAACGGCATCAAGATCCACTGTTCGACCAACAGCGGCTACGAGGCCGACGACAGTCAAAGCACCGGTTGCGCAGTCGGCCAAGCCAGCAGCGTCGCAGACAGCGGCTACTAAGCCAGCCGCGACTAGGCTCAACCCGAAACTCATCGACTTTGTGGACGACGAACTTGGCAAGCAGACAGCCGCAACACTGGAACGGCTGGAAGCTGAGGACGATATCGAAGCGCTCCAGCTCGATCTTGATGAGCCCATCGATGGAGAGGCATAAGCTCTCCCTTCTATCATACCTGTCCGTTTGATCGCTAGTGACACTACACCTGCGCAAACTTGGTCTTTACTCAGCATTGCATTCCACATCAGCATTTCACAGAACTTTCTTGCATCATATACATACCACATCACTGCTATATCGCACTTTACATACCTCATCAGTGCAGCTATCCATTACGATCTTATGCCTTGTGACCATCCATTCATTGTCTTGACGGACACATGCCGGATGTCGATGATGAAGAGCTGAGCGGCATGTGAGTAACAACGACGAGCACCAGAAATTGGAACAGCTCCTCAAGTCGCGTATCGCCTGCCCTGGTGAGGCTGGAAAGCGTGCGAAGCCAAGCCAAATTCTTGCTTTCTTGCTTTCTTGCTTGCTGATTTCCTTTGAAATTTGGCCGACAGCTTCACACAAGAGAGAGAGAGAAAGAGAGAGAGAGAGAGACACACACACACACACACACGCATCGAATCGAATCGAATCGGCACAGCAATTCTGCAGTCAAGGCACAGCAGCAAGAGCACAGCACGGCCCCCGGACACTAAACCCGATTCAGTTCAGGCTATCAACTCACTTCTGCTTTGCTCCATCGGTTCACCTTGGTCGCCATTCTCCTTTCTTCCATATTCTTTTCTTGCTCCACCCTCGACCATCTCCTCTTCAAGGCTCGAACTGGCAGGATATCATCGCAGCTGCTAACAACTCATCGGACAGACGCTCTCTTTGCCGACAGCTCCAGTCTTTCCGGCCTTGTGTCGTTCCTGCTTTGCGCTGGGTCCAGCAAACTATACAGCCTCTATCGAACGCCCACACATTCATAGCCTTCCACCACATCCCATTCGGTGCCTGCTGGCATCCCCGCATCCGCACCCGCATCCGCACCCTGGCGGCCAATCAAAGCTTTGACATCTTACCTACGTCAACTTGCCTGACGCTACGATCGCGTTCCCCCGCTCCCACCTCAGCGGCGCCATAAGAAACTTTCTGCTTCAGAAGCTCGATCTGCTTACGCTTCTGCCTCGACATCTGCGCTCTCAGCTCATTCTCCTCACCGCAGCATCGGACCAGCAGAAAGCTCGAAGCTAGACAAAGTTCTTCCCATTCCTTTATCAATTCGCTACCACTCCACTTCTTCACGGATGACGCAGAGCTACACGGACAGCACTCGAGTCTGATTTGCCTATAGGCAACTGCTCCCCTTCCCTTCCTTCTGGACATACCATCCAACCTACCCAACCCTTCAACCACCTTGCGCGCTTGACCACGACAAATTCGGCACTGTAACAGCCCTGATCTATTCGACCAAATCCGACCTCAGCAGTCGCAGCATCGCCATCATGTCGAGGCACTCAGGCGCCTTCTTCGGCGACGACGTCAGCTCTCTCCCTCTGCACAACGACCCACACGTCGGCATCAACATGGCTGGCCTCGACACTCTAGGCGGACAACATCCAGGCATGGCCCAAGGCAATCCATATCCGCCCAGTCCATCCTCCATGCGCTCACCTCATTCGTCGCATGGTCACGCTACAGGCTCCAACAAATACATCCAGAGCCCCAACTCGGCTGGCAACTCGAATACAGCCGCCTACACCTCACCACGTCTGCATAACTCTCAGCTGACTGCCCATCGTCTTGGCGATTCCTCAGGCGCATCCGAGCGCTATTCCTTCGACAATCAGCAGCAGCACCATCAGTCGCACTCTTCCGCCTATCGTAACGAAGGCTTGGGACGCTCCCACTCCATCGGTCACGGCTCGCACCCAAGTCAGTCCAGATCCGCTTCCAACACAGCCATAGGCACTTCTGCCATGTATCTCTCTCCACAGACGGGAGCCGGTCAGGGATTAGCATCGCACTCCTCCTCCGCTCACGGCAGCAACGGAACAGCCACACACTCGGGCTCCTATCTCTCCTCGTTATCGCCTTCCGGCATGCGACATAGCAGCTTCATCAGTGGTGGCGGTGGAGGTACTAGTGGATCATCGGCTACCTCGTCTCAGGGCTCCTACAGCGGACTTCCCAATCTCTCGTCCGGCTCATCTCATCCAGCCAGCCTGCTTCCAGCTCCGCAAATGCTTTCGAGCCCGTACAGCAACTCCAGCAGCCACCGTTCTTCCAACGCCATGGACACTTCGGGCTCCTCGATACGCGACCAAGCAGCCAGTAATCCATACAGCCCCAACAACTCTCACTCTAGTCGTTTTGTTAGCAGCAATACAGCAGCTGGAAGCGCGAGGTCCGGCAGCCACGACCCATCCAACCTCATGGACATCAGCTCTCCTCGCGAAACGCCCAGATCACCGCATCAGTTGTCTCAGCAGTACAACACCTCCGCCGCCCGTCTCGGCGATCTCTCTGATGGCTTGCCGTATGCATATCAATCCAGTCATGGCCTGCAACAAGCAGCTGCGTCTTCGAGTCAATATCTCTCTTCCAGCAGTCGGCATTTGCAGCAGGGTGCTGGTGGTCTTTGGCCTTCTACTTCCGGAGGGTCAGGGCGAAGCAGCATGATTCTCGATCCGTCCTCAAGAGACAGGTCAGGTGACAGCACTGCTCGCAACGCGACCGTCTACAGCGATGGTGGATCATATGCACAGCACGGCCTTGGCATCAGCTCGTCCGGTTCAATGACCACTGCTTCCGACAACTCCAGGACTAGCTCCGGTAGACGCGATCAGGCTTCGTCGGGAAGATCGTCTCGCCGCAACGAGGGCTTCCGTCGAGTACGTGACTGGGACGACCTTCGACCTGTCATCGACAAGACCACCGCTGCAGCATCGGGAGCAGCAGCCGCTTCGGATGGCAAGGCAGCCACTGCCGCAGCCCTCACTACGATACGACGAGCCGATCCAGCAGGTGGATTCGTCAGTCCACTCAAAGCTTTGACCGCCTATCTGCATCACACCTATCACTTGGTCAATCCGGCTTTCTTCTACGAGCTCAGCTTCAATCCACGACGTGTGCTCACCAAGCCCAGCAAACCTGTTCAAAACGATGGCAGGGACAACGAAGAGAGTGACTACATTCTCTACGTCAACGATTGGCTCGGCACGGAGGAGGGTCACAAGTATCTCATTCTCGATATCCTTGGTCAGGGCACATTCGGACAAGTCGTCAAGTGTCAAGATATGACAACGCACGAGATTGTGGCGGTGAAAGTGATCAAGAACAAACCTGCCTACTTCAACCAGAGTATGATGGAGGTCACCGTGCTCGAGATGCTCAACGGCAACTGGGATCCGAATGACGAACATCATATCTTACGACTCAAAGACACTTTTATTCATGCAAAGCATCTTTGCTTGGTGTTGGAGCTGCTTTCGTCGAATCTGTACGAGCTGATCAAGCAGAACTCGTTCCAAGGTTTGAGTACAAGCTTGGTCAGGGTTTTCACGGCGCAACTGTTGGATTCCTTGACGGTGCTCAATGAAGCGCGCTTGATACATTGCGATCTGAAACCGGAAAACATTTTGTTGAAGACGTTGCAGACGCCTTCGATCAAGTTGGTCGACTTTGGATCCGCTTGTCACGAGAAGCAGACCGTCTATACTTATATTCAATCTCGATTCTATAGGTCGCCCGAGGTGTTGTTGGGTCTACCGTACAATTCGGCGATTGATATGTGGTCGTTAGGGTGTATCGCTGTGGAGCTGTTTTTGGGTTTGCCGCTGTTTCCGGGTACGAGCGAGTACAATCAGATTTGTCGGATTGTTGAGATGCTAGGTTTGCCACCACAGTGGATGTTGGATAACGGCAAGCAGACGCAAGAGTTCTTCATCCTCTATACGGACGAATTCGGACGAAAGAGTTACCGGCTCAAATCGATCGAACAGTACTCCAAGGAGCATAACATACAAGAGCAACCATCGAAAAAGTACTTCAAGGCTTCAACCCTACCTGACATCGTCAAGACCTATCCTATGTCTCGGAAGAGTGGCAAGTCGGCAGACGTGCAAAAGGAGATGGCGAATCGGAGCAGTTTTATCGACTTTGTTACCGGGTTGTTGAATATGAATCCTCATGAAAGGTGGACTCCGCAACAGGCGAAATTGCATCCGTTTATTACGGGCGAGAAGTTTACCAAGCCGTTTAGACCGCCTTTGATTCCTACTGCTGCCTCGACTTCCGGGTCGGGGGCGAGGAAGGAGGTGAAGGGTAGTGATGCGAGTAAGCATCCGTATGGGGGATTGGTGCAGCAGAGTTCTTCGAAATCGTCAGGGAAGAGTTTCCAGGATGCAGCGGCGTACAATCAGCATTTGGCTCAACAACAGGCGTATCATTCCGCTGCGGCTAGGCAACAGGCTCAGCCGGTGTTGAATAATCCCTATGCGAGGGAGGAGGCGGTGCAGGCCGAGGCGAAGGCGAAGGCTAAGGCGCAAGCGCAACTGCAGCAGAAGCAACAACAGCAACAGCAACAGCAACAGCAACAGTATAATGTTAGACACTCGATGGCAGTTCCCCCCTCTGCGTACTATGGTGCTGGTGCTGGTGGGGGGAGTGGGAGTGGGAGTAGGGATGTAATGCAGGGGGATGGTGGTGGGGGTAGGGGAAGATCGGATCAGAGGCATAGTATGATTCCGCAACAATTGGCTGATTTGGTGATGGATCAGCGGTTGGGGGGCGGGATGGTGAATAGGGACGATCCGTTGAGAGAATGGGAGAGACGGCAGAATGGGTTAGCTCCGTCTTCTGCAACGACGAGTGGGAAGAGGAGACAGAGTAATAACAACTACGGGCAATTGGATCTGTTGCAACAGCAAGCAGAAGGTGCCGCTTGGGGTGGTGGTGGTGGTAGTGCGGGTTGGGATCAGATGAAACCCAGCGGCGCCGGCGGCGCCGGCGGTGGTGGTGTCGGTGGAGGATCGTTCTCGGTGGTTGTTGATGGAAGTCAGGATCAAAAGGGAGGAATTGCTGCTCCTCCTGCTGCTTACTCCAGTAGCAGCGGCGGTGTAGGTGGTGGGGTAGGGAGGTATCAAACTTCGCCCGGGCTCAACATTGGTGCAGGAGGTTATGGAGGTATGAATGGCGGAGTGTCAATGAGCAATTCTCATAGTTCTGGTGGTGGTCCAACCAGTGGTGGAGGAAACGCATCTACACTGCCATTCGACATTTACGATGCAGGAATGGCCAACCTCCTGCCTCCCTCCCTAACCCCCGTACGAATTCAAGATAGAGATCAACAGTATCAACAGCAACAACAACAGGCGTTTTTGCAACAACAGTACGCAGCTCAAATGCAACAACGAAGCCATAAAGATCGACGAGATCCCTCCTCGGGTGCTGGTGGGGGTTTTGGCGGCCTCTGATCCTCCATGCCTCTTCCTATCTTTTAACTTGATCTATATATTTGTTATGACTATTGTACATGTGTGGATAGGGCAAGTGAGCAAGCATCTCGCAGACCTTTTTCGAGTGCGAGGAGTGCATGTGAGTCTTGCGCTGACTGGATTCGGCCAGGTTGGGGTAGGAGAGGGTTGGGGATGGAGAGTGAGAGAAGGAGTTGTGGGAGAGAAAGTTTGGATGCGATCCGTTTGGAAATGGAAGAGGCGAGCGAGGTGGTTGAGGAGCTGGTGGAAGTTGTACTGATTGTGGTGGAGATTGGTTCTCTTCTATACCCTCCGGCTGTAGAGGAGGAGGTGGGGGATGGGAGTACGGGGCACATGGCTAGTGCGAAATCTTCTGCTAGTGCTCCTAGTGGAACTGTGTAGGAAGGTTGGGATGGGGGAGCTGAGCGGCCTGCGGCTGCGAGTGCGGCTGATAGTTCTGCGTCTAGAGCTTCTTCCTCTGATGTTTGCGGTGCGGAGGAGGTGGAAGCGGTGGGATTGGGGTTGGGTAGGAGAGTATGTGCGGTGGTGGCGGGGATAGATGTGACATGGACGAAAAGGCTGCTCCCCGCTGTAGAAGAGGAGGAGGAGAGGTGTACGATCTGTGTCAAGAAGAATGGGAACTGTGGGTGAGGGATTTGGATGATGTGGTTTGTGATCGATCGTGGTTCCCCCGCCACCAGCGCTGCTGGAGGAGGGTTTGAGGTTGAAGTTGTTGCCTCGGTCATCTTTCGAATTCTTCATCCGGGGATGATGTGGTGAGATGGAGGACGATTGATGCTATTGAGAACAAGAAAAGTTGTATTGGACAGTGCACTTCAAGAAGAACACTTTCGCGGCCTTCACAAAGAAAGCTCCACTTCGCGCAACCATAAATATGTTAGACCGCGCCGAGTTCGCAAAATATAAAAATATTGATCGAAGAGCCGTGTCACGTGACAGAGGTAGTGAATTGGAAGAAAGCGCTCTCTCCTTTTTTTCCCAGCTGACACCATCGAAGCCAGCGGCTTCATCACTTCTCATCGTTACCACCACATTTCGTCTAGTTGTCATCGTTCAGCCTCTGCACCATCGCAGCAGGCTCTCCATCACCATGGTAATGCCGAACGCAACCCGCTCGCTATCATCGATCTTGCGTCAACTCACGCTCTCCACCCGCTCAACCCCCTCGAACGTCCGTCTTGCATCAACTTCCACCTCCTCCCCCAACGGCAGTAACGACGCATACTCTCGAGCCCGCACACCCCTCCTACCACCCATCTCCCCCCTTCCCAGCCGTCTAAAACCCGTTTCACCAGCATACTACACCGGTCGGCCAGCATATATCGACACGCTTCTTTCTCTCGAACAACTTACACGCGAAACCAAACGTTTGCTCGAACAATCTTATTTACTCCCACCCAACTCGTCCGCTCCATCCATCTCAGCAGGTCGGGGAAACCTTTGGGTTTCTAGTGCAGGGTTGCAGAGTATTCTAGGAACGAATCTTAAAGCTGCGCAGTATAGGCAGATTATTTCTCGGTTAGGGTTGTTAGCGAGGTATGCTGGGTTGGTTAATCAATACGAAGGAGCAGTAGGGGGAGTGGGAGTGGAAGGGGTAAAGTTGGTGGAGAAATTCAAAGAGACTCTGGAGAGATTTATGAATGATAATGCCAAATCCAACAATTTGCTCGCTGAAAAGGATACCGATAAGGCGTTGTGGGAGAATAGTATGAAAAAGGTTGATGGTAGGGGGAGGGCGTATGCGATGGGAAGAAGAAAGGAGTCCAGTGCTCAGGTTTGGATTATCCCCACTAAAGACTTGGATTCTATTGGAACGATCCTTATCAACAACATGCCCATTTCGGAATACTTTACCCGAACCGCAGAGCGAGAAGTCGTTACGTGGCCCCTCAAATTAACCTCTACGCTCGGTAGCTACAACATCTTCGCACTAACCCGTGGCGGAGGGAAGAGCGGTCAAGCAGGCGCAATTGCTCACGCCCTCGCAAACGCTATCGTAGCAGAAACTGGTAGCTCGCTGCCTATGGAAAAAGGTCTCCCAGTCAAAAAGTATGTAAAAGATGTCCTGGCAAAGGATGGAGTACTGAAGAGAGATCCAAGAATGGTCGAGAGAAAGAAAACAGGCAAATTGAAAGCTAGGAAAGCTTTTACCTGGGTCAAGCGTTAAGCTCTCCTTCCCTCCACACCCACCTAAGCATGTTCTTGCTGGCAATCAACATTTTTTTTGCCTCCAATCCGTTTCGACAAGAGGTGTGAATCGTGCCAAGCCGTGCGAGATGTTCGACTGAGGTTGCGTGCTGCCGTTGTTGAGCGAAAAGCCTGCACTGCAATTTGCTGTTCTCGATCACTTTGCAAGTCTCAACGGAACCATCTGCAATTCGAGCTGACGAGCATCGCAAACCATTCCATCGCACAAAATAGTGAGGAAGAGATGTTCTTCTAGAATTGCAGAGGACAACAAAGAGGAGGTGCTTTCGGAGCAAAGAGAGAGAGGGCGATTTGTGTGTGTGTACGCAAACCGACATTACCGTCGATTTGGAAGAGGAGAGTTTCAAAAACAGTTGTGTAGCGGAGGGCGACTCTTCAAGAGCCAACAAAGAGAGTGAGAGCAGTGAATCCCGTGAACAGAAGAGACAACGAGAGTAATAATACCATAACTAGAGAAAAGAGTGAGGGGAACCAGTCCGCTACAGAGGAAATACAGTCGGGGAAAAGTTAGGACCCTTATGGGATAGGGCAAGGATGGATTGGCATAGCTACAGCTAGACTACCAAACGTAGTGTCGCGTGATCGGCGAGGTTTACGTGCTGAAGGAGCACAGAAACGCCTCCCGAGTGGACAGGGTTATGCTATTCCAGAACAAAGTTGTTCGCTATATATATATATAATAATAAAAATTAAAAATTAAAATTAAAAAAAAACACGAAGGAACAAGTGTCAGTACGCAACCAAATGGAGAGTAAAGCTTGACAAAGTTATCCATACTTACGCCAGGCTTTGCGCGTTTCTTGCGCAGACGGATGGGTACCTGTTGCGTGGTTGGTCGCTGATGAAGAGGTGCCGCTGGTGGTGGAAGCATAGGCTGGGTTGGAAGCCGTGCTGGAAGAGGTATGTCCTGGCACATTGGGCCAATCGGGAAATTCTTGGCAAGAACGACGCAAGGGGATTGAGCTAGATACGTGGCGAAGATCTTGTACGTAATGATAGCCGTGTAAGGAAGAAGCAGGGCTGTTAAGCAGGGAACCGGATTGCGCTGGTTCGCTGATACCCGAAACACTTCCAGGTCCAAACGCAGAGACATCACCAGAGTGCATTATGCTACCATCACCCGTTTCGCTCGACGGATGAACACCACCACCAGGCAAGTAAGACATCTCGCTCAAACCCGAATAGGAGTGCGAGACTGTATGTCTTCTAGGCATACCACTACCGCTAGCAGAAGACGAGAGGTGAGCTGCATGCGGCAAACCTTGCGATTGCACCTGCGAATATCGTGCTGCGCTTCCATCTTGAGTACCGTAGGTCGTACCTGAGCTCGTACCGGGAGGAGTCATGACAGCACTATTGAGAGTAGCAAAAGCAGAAGCGATAAGTCGGTCGTCGGTGGCGACACCAGGGTTGTTGCCCAACGTGCTGCTTTCTGAGGAGGCATGGGGCGAGTTGTCGAACTGAGTAGAGCGAGATGATTGAGCCTCTACTGGTGATCCTTCGGACGAATGGTTATTGCGATAGGATGATGACTCGCCATGTTGACCCTCGCATCGAGCCTTGGCTCGTGCTTCCGAGGCATACTCGGCACTGAGACCAGCACTGAGTTGCAGCTTGCCCGCTTTTTCATCTTCGAGGAGAGATTTGACCTTGATCGCTTCGCGCTCGTTGGATGTGCCGAAACCGCAATAGTGGAAGCGTGTCTTGCCGCGGCCTCCCAGACGCCGTTGTGCGACATCAGGGAATTGGCTGCGAAGCACCTTGCCAAACGAAGCGGCTTGAAGCGGTTCAAGACCGAACGAGTCACAAGCTCGACGATACGACTCGTGCAAGATGGTACGTGGGATCGAGATCTGAATCGATGGCTTGAGCGTGTAGTTGCAAGTGAGCCTATAAGGTCGAAGCGAGAGAGGAATGAATGTAGGTCAAGTTGTCAGCAAACAAGTCAACGTCGATATTGTGATGGATCAAGTGTCTTTCCGGAACTTACCACATGCGAGCCCACTTATCGCGGTAGAACTCAGCCATCTTCTTGGTGTTAGCCGTTTTGTAGAGCGTCGAGACCTGATCGAGCATGCTGTCGATCTCCTCAGGAGGGTACTCTGGTTGCGAAGCGGAAATGTATGCGCCCGAGCTGCCCATCTTGGAAGTCGAATCGCCGTACATCGGGTAGGTATGCGAGCCCATATGCGAACCGTAATTGCTATGATCAAACTGATCACCCGACACGTCGTAGTACGTCTGGGAACGGTTGGGACTGGTGTTGGCAGAGGACGAACAAGTGTCGTAGATGATGTTGTGTGACATGGACATCCCAGCTGAGGTCGACCACGAGCTTGAACCGGTTTGCGTCGGATAAGCGTATCGACTGTAGGCGGCGGCATCGGCGGAATGTTGCTGAAACGTGCTGGGCCAAGCAGAGTTGGTTGCTGGAGCGAAAGTGTGTGCACCGGCCATGTTCATCTTGGAAGCATCGAAGCCACCGCCACCAAAGTGAGCAGCGCGGGGAGTGTCTGCAGGCATAACGCCTTGAGCAGCGTGGTCATAGCTGTCCATCGCTCCTTGAACGCCAAAGTGGGACGAACCCTCGATCTGACCTCGAGGAAAGACGGACTGACGAGGAGTGACGACATTCTGACCGAGATAGGCGCCCATCTGTCCACCGACGACTTCAGCGTGTTGTTGCGTTGGCTGCAGAGGCTCAGGTCGTAGCTGCTGTGAGGATGTAGAGCCGTCAGCAGGCATCTGTGCATACATGTCTTGCCGTGTCTCGCCGACGGTGGAAGGTCTGCTGTGATCCCAAGAGACATCCGCTGTGTCAGGTCGATATGGTGAACCAGAGGCGCTGCTCTGACCTGTGTAGTAAGGAGCTGACATGATGCTGCTGGTTTCCTTGCTGAAGGCGAAGATGAGGGGCTGACGGAACGGAAAAGCCGTAGACTTTATCCTGTCTCAAACGTTGCGGCTTGTATACTGTTACCAGACAGAGCTTCGAGAAGCGTTGACTGAGCAAGATAACTAACCAGGCGGGATGCTGATACGATGATGGGAGACGAGATACCGGCTAGCACGATCTTCCGAAAGTCCGGCCCGGTGTTGGCAAGCCTCCGCTGAAGCGGAAGGATCGAAGCGGCGTCGGAAGATGACAACGCTTCGCGAGCAAGGCAGGGCACGAGAGCGGTAGAAGAAGCTCTCTGTGAGGAGGCGGAAGAGGAGGCAAGCAGGTAGGAAAGGATAAGAAGGAAGGAGTCAGTAAACGCAAGGTGAAGGTTGGTCGTGAATAGGCATCAAATCAGCCGATGCTTTCTCTTGTTCGCCCCGAGCTTGTTTTGTAGTAGCGAGGTCTGTGGCAACGAAAAGCCGCAGTTCTGAAGCTGAAGCTCATGCCGATCCGGTAAGGTCTAGATCGAGAACGATGATGAGTCTTGAGCGGTCGCCATATCGTGCCGCAGCTACAGTGATGTGATCGCGCGATCAAGACTGATGCAAGATGATAGACATCGAAGAACGGCTGGAACTCCGAGTCGCCCTTAACTTGGAAAGGCCCACACACTGGTCGCGCTCTCATGTAGCAACGTACAAGGTCACAGCCGCGGTGACCGTATAAGGTTTGCGGGGGAGCCAAAGCTTGATCGTCAAAAGCTTTAGAAAAGGTGGGGGAGAACCTGCGAAATCGAGAGGTGCTCTTGGGGTTGACGATGTATCGTGGTAAGCTCTCGAGGTACCGACTGTAGATGGCTCGATGCAGGTTGATGCCCCTGATCTGACGTAAATCCTAGCCGGAACAAGCTCTGGCTCTGTGAGCCTCTGCTCGACAGTAGATGTGCCTGAGATAGAGGGAAGAAGCTCGCGGTGCAAAGGCAATCCGCTCTCGGACGTGACCGATGACGAAGTGCAAGAAAGAACGTTCCTCTGAAAGCTTGTTCGATGATAACGACCAGAGACATGGTTGTTGCGGATCAGAAGCTGGCCAGATGCGGAGTAGCCGCAGTCGACGCGGCGACCTCGGATGCGAGCAGTACCAAGCCGAAGATGTTGGTTGCGGATCCCGAGATACAATGTAGATGTGAGATAGTAGAGCCAAGACCGTCCGGTCGACGTGGGCAAGAGCGAGAGCAGAGTGAGGATGCTGAGTCGCCACGACGCTGGCTTGGCTGAGCTTGATCAAGGTGCGAGCGAGCTGAGAGCTGAGCAGTGCTGAGCAACGGCGATATGACGTGACAAGAAAGACGAAAAATAAAAATAAAATGCTCAAGAAAATCAAGTGAAATTTGGAATTTCCATTGATTTTCTCCTCTTTTATATATATATATATATATATATATATTTGCTTACGTGGAGCTGACTTGACTCGACAGAGCAAGGCCAAAGGACTTGCTTGACCTTTTAACGCTGAAGCGAGACAGTCAAGCCGCGTCAAGAACATGAGCATGCGCCTGTCATATGAGCCCAAGTTTGCGTGATGCTTTTCAGCAGCGGCGAGCGTCGTTGGTGCAAAGCACGGTAGTGATTGGGAGCTGGAGCCATCGACTGCATGCAAGAGCGAGCGGCTTCTGACTGTTTCAGCGCGGTCATGGCGGCTGTCGATCAGGGAAAACACGGGAGGCGGAACTCTTGGCGATAGGCAGCAAGCTTGTTCGAGTTTGATGGCGGCGGCGCTGGGCGAAACTGCGACTGCTATGGCGCACGACGAGAGCCGCTAGCCTCAAGTGTCCTGACAAAGAGACAAGGCATAGTGCCATGACATGTGTGCTTGGCGCGAGACTCGCAAATATGAAGCCAGGGTGTTGCAACCTTGTTTTCCGAAGCCAGACTTGCCATTATTGTCATGTCAAGTTGGCAATGGCCAAGACAAGGTTTCGCAGCTGTATTGACCGAGCGCCGAACCCATCTGAGAGCGAGGGGCGGCGGCAACGTCTTTGACAGGGCGTCGTGCTGACTCGACACTGACTAGGACGCCGAAGAAAGAAGAGACTGAGAGGGGCGGGCGAGCAGGCGAGTGCTGGCCTGCGTAGAGTGATGGACGTAGAGTGATGGAAAACAAGCTCGGTACGAGAGAAACGAGATGATGCATTTGATGTCGATTGTGAAGGCTTACTTACTAGATGCTGAATGGAATGAGTCCTGCTCGGCGGGGTGCTAAACCTTGTTGGAAAGAGAACGTGTAGCGGAACGAGCTGCCTATAACGATACAGAACAAGAGAGGAAGAACGAAGCGATACCTTGTGAGCCAACTTGAACCAGCAAGAAGGCAACAGCGACCCCAAGACGTGCATAAGGGGGATGCGTGTGTGTCGGGTGACAAAGGCAAGAAGCAAGACAAACGGTTGCACAACAAGTGACAACTTGAAATCACCCTAGCCCCTCGTTCCTGCCAAAGAGTCTGCGAAACACCGCTTTCTTAATCGCGCATGACAATGCTGCCGGCGATCAAAGAATCAAGTTGCAAACGTCGAAAGCTAGCGTGGGCATACCCCCAGTGTATACCTTGGGCGATGAAGACGGCAGAAAGAGATGCAAGGCCTTTGATTGGAGTTTGGTGCAAGATGTGGAGACGGCGGTCAAGAGATGAGCACCAAAGGGCGCAAACAAGCCCTACTTCATCTCGGCAGGTCGAAAGAAGGGGAGGGGGGTGCCTCTCTTGCTGTCATCACAACGAGGTCACACGCATCGCATTTGTGGTTGGGCGCTTCATGGACAGAACAGCGAGAGTACGCAGCGACTCTTGGTTCGAGACCGTGTAGGTATTGACTCACCTTTGGCTTGGACAGACCGGGTTCGGCAAAGTCACCGGCGAAATGTCACTGTGATCGAGTCTCGCTCACGGTGGGTTGGTGGTGCTGCGGATACAAAGTGGGTTGACCGGAAGTGTTAAAGGCCACAAGCTCTGCTGGTCTGAGGCGGGCCTGGACCGAGAGAGCGAAATAGAGCGAGATGAAAGGCCACGCTCCTGACGCTGCTGTGCGTTGGCTGAAATGGGACGACGGTGGCCCAGGGTTAAACGGTCGAATGCCCACTAAGTGCTGGAGGTAACACGGAAATAAAGTGGGATTAGACAAAAGCGTCCAGAAGGTGCAGCTGAGTGGGGCGGGGGCAACGCGTGACTGGTGCCGGTATGCAGATGGTGGGTAAAGTAGGGTATGCTGAGGAGGCAAATGCAGATTCAAATGCAGGTCGATGCCGTCAAGTGAAGTGAAGAAAGCCACCGGGTGCTGTAGGCGTGCAGATATGTATCTGTCCTTGGTTGGCTGGGAGAAGCAACGTGTAAGCGGAAGTGCGACTGGTGGGTTGTCAGTCGTAACGGAGGACGAGACGATGTGATGTTATGAATCGGAATTGCGGCTGTCAACCGAGTCGTTGAGATGGTGGCGGCGGTGATGGAACGGATGGCGCTGATGCGGACGGAGGGGGAAAGGGAATCATCGAGATTGACGGTCACCAGGAAAGGTGAAGGATATAAGGAAAGAAGAGTCAGGATGAGGAAGAGGAGAGTTGAGCCGGACAAGTCGTATCAGAGAGAGAAATGAAGAACAGCAAATTCCGAACAAAGATCAGGCTGAGGCGAGGGGGCGAGCAGCGGCGGCAGCGGCGGCAACATCAACAGTGGAGCAGGAGCAGGAGCACCAGAAGGTGCAAAGAATGGCAATGGCGACGGCGACGGCGCAGCGATCTATCAAATCGAAGAGGGGGGGCAGTGCTTGCAGAGAGCGCAGGAAATGGTCAAATGTCACAACCACGACCAAGAAGAAGCACGCACACCACCAAGTCTGGGTGTGGCAAAGCATCAACATCAGAACTGACACCGAAACCAGAAGATCAAGATCAAGATCGGGACGTGGCAATGAAGCCAACACGCACACAACACAGCGTACAAAGCGGAGGGGAAGCGCTCCAATGCAAAGCCGCGCTCAGCGGTTAACGTGGCAGCGCAACGGCCGCTCGGAAGCAATGCACGCAGAGGAAAGGCAAAGAGAGAGAGAGAAAAGAGAGGGTTCATTTCGAGGGACAAGGGACACGCATGAATACCAGAAGAGCAGAGCAATAGGTGCACCAGAAAACGAAAAGAGAGGAGGAGGCGTCGGGGCTGAGGTAGATTGGAGAGTAGCAGAAGCGCACATGTCTATGAACGAGGGTGAACACATTTTAAGACGTATCAAACATTTCGCGTTTTTAAAAACGCGGGTTTTTCGAAGGGCGCATTTTTGGAGGAATTTAGAACACCGCCAAGGAAATGCAAGTTTCCAAAAAACACAAGGAACTCATACAGCCAATGAGAGGCATAACCTAAGAGTAAGCATATGTTACTTGTCCTGCTCTCTTCACTACCACCCATTGCTTGCTTGTATCTTGCTTTCCTCTTCACACAATGCACTCAATGTAACATTTGATAAAATGGTGACAAGGGTCATATTCAGCAGCAGGAAAGAGTGAGTGCTTGTCAGTTCAAATCAAGTGTTTGCTTGGGTGAACAATGCTAATGAGGATGGTTGCATCAAGGCTTGCTCCTGTCTCCTAGCTGAAGTGCTTTGAGTTATGGCATTGTAGTCTGCAGTAGTCTTCTTGTGACATCAAGACATTGCAGTAGTGTCTTCTTCATTGTGGCCAGGGGTTCTGAACAGCACCTGGAACATATCCTTTCAAAGATCATGTGCAGCAGAACTTTGAAGTCTTGACACTGTGTACTGTGACATTCCTTGTGTTGCAGCAACAAGATCCAGTTCATATTGCTGCTGATTTGTGCATGTTATTCTCCTGAGCTCTTATGTATCTGTGGCATCAAGTTGGAGGCTTTGCACAACTTTGTTCCCCTCATCCTCAGAGAAAGAGGGCAACAGCAGGTTGGCAATATTGGCAGGATGGTCATATCAACTGGCAAA